CATCCTGTACATTTGAGGGGGGCGGGAGGGACAAATAAAACATTTACAAAGAAGGAACCCTCTGGATACCTATTCAGGAGCAAACCCCACTGTGATCTGAAGATAATTTTCCATTCACGGAAATTAACTAGTGATGTGACTCATGCACTTTAAAGGAAACACACCCTCCCCCTTTCACTTGTTTATCCTTTCATTTCCCGCTAGACAGACAATGTATTGAGCAGAGTATGGATTCCACCCAACGCATGTGGGTGGGTGTGTGTGTGTGTATATATATATATATATATATAAATATATATATATATATATATATATATATATATATAAAAGGGATCGGGATCGATAGGAAATAGTAGCATGCGTGCATCACAATCCTTTCTGAATTAGACCAACCTCTATATGAAACTCAAGTCAGGCACAATAGAATTTCCCAGACAAAATATAGAATATGATAGAAGCAAAGTGTGGGAAGATGGGGTAACAGAATAGTATATGGACATGTATACATAACACATTTTATTGGGGTGCACAACAAGGGATGTATATTTAAGAAAACATTTTATTGAAAACCAAACCATCTTAAATCATCTCTTTTAAAACATGTTTTTGTGTTTAACTTGTTTTTTTTTGTAATTCTTTATTTTTGCAATGCATTGGAGGAGTCATACCTAAAGCTAATAAAGCTTAATTTTTAAGTTACCACCTGAGCGGTTATAACAAAGTTCAAAACTGAAGAGTGCTTTTGTAAATAATTGTACTATCTAGTACAGTGTTATAATTCCTCCTGCCCTTCTTCCATTACCGCACAAGCAGACTCACTGATTATAAATGACAGCTGTCTGGATATGCTACTGAGCATGACTAGGCATGGCTAGAATTTAGGTAATTGTTGAAATCTGTCTACTAATCAGAGCGCACCTCAGACATGCTCAGTATGCCCATAACGGTAATGGTTCAAAAGTCTTTAGATCTCAATGAAACCTTTAAATGAGGTGGCCTAGAGTTGGGCAAAGCTCTGAAAGGAAATATGTCATGACTCTCCTCACCCACCACCAGGGCCGGACTGGGAAAAAAATTCGGCCCGGGCATTTTTTTATCACAGCGGCCCACTAAGAAGGGGGCGGGGCAGAGAGGGTGTGTTTTGTCATCACTCATGACAAACACGCCCCCTCTCAAAGTGAGCATGTTGGTTCAATGCTCTTCCAGGGCAGACCATGCACAGAGTTCTGCTGAAGAGCTCTAGCATGAGAAAAAAGCCCTGTATTTGTTCTGCGCAGTGCAAGCAAATTTAATAACATGCTTGCACTGTGTTTCCTTGCAACTTGTCTCTGGTGTCTCTATAAATGGATACCAGGAGACAAATGGGTCAGGAAAGAGTATTGTGCATGTGTTTTGGAGCCTGCTTGGGGTATTGCGTGTGTGCAGAGTGAGCTGGTCGTGGTGTGGTATTGTGTAATAAGGTCGGTTTTAGTCGTGTTGTGTTTGTGGTGTAATGTAATGCATATGTGGCTAGGGGCTTTAGAGAATGTGTGTTTAGGGGATGTAGCAAGTGTGTGTATACAGGCTATAGTGTGTGTGTGTAGGTGATGTAGTGTTTGTAGAGAGTGTGTGTTCAGGGAATGTAGTATGTGTTTGCTTATAAGGAATCTAGTGTGCGTATAGGGGATCCAGAGTGTGTGTGTGTTTGAAGGACCCAGAATATGTATAGGAGATCTAGTGAGCGTGCGTATATAATGGATTCAGAGTGTATATAGGGATCTAGTGTGTGTATGTGTGTAGATGATCCAGAGTTGGGTAGAGGATCTAATGTGTGTCTGGAATGAAATGTGTTTAGGGGTGCTGTGTGTGTGTGTGTGTGAGGGGTGCTGTGTGTGTGTGTGAGGGGTGCTGTGTGTATATTTATATGTGTATATATATTATATAAATATGTTTGGAAGTATTGTGTATGTGTGTTAGGCAGTGTATCGGGGGGTTGTGTGTGTATGTGAGGAGTGCAGTATGTGTGTGTGATGGATCCTGTGTGTGAGGTGTGGGTGCTGTGTGTGGGTGCTGTATATGATTGATTTGTGTGAGGGTGCTGTGTGTGTGGGTGCTGTGTATGATGTGTGTGAGAGTGCAGAGTGTGATGTGTGTGAGAATGCTGTGTGTGAGAGTGCTGTGTATGATGTGTGTGAGAGTGCTGAGTGTGAGAGTGCTGAGTGTGAGAGTGCTGTGTATGATGAGAGTGCTGAGTGTGAGAGTGCTGTGTATGAGAGTGCTGTGTATGATGTGTGTGAGAGTGCTGTGTGTGAGAGTGCTGTGTATGATGTGTGTGAGAGTGCTGAGTGTGAGAGTGCTGTGTATGATAGTGCAGAGTATGAGAGTGCTGTGTATGATGTGTGTGAGAGTGCAGAGTGTGATGAGTGCAGAGTGTGATGAGTGCAGAGTGTGATGAGTGTGAGAGTGCTGTGTATGATGTGTGTGAGAGTGCTGTGTGTAAATGTGTGTTGGGGGGGTAAATAAAAAACTAAGGGGGGGGGGGGGTAAATAAAGAAATTTAAAAAAAAAACCTAAGTAGGCATTAAATCCCCCCTCCCACTTACCTTTAGCCTGGGAGGGGGGACCGGCATGGTGGTAGCTGGGAGGAGGGGGGACCGGCACACTCACATCATCCCTGGTGGTCCAGTGGTGAGTGAACTCTAGCCTGCGGGCTAGAGTTCACTCTCGCGAGATCCGGTCGTTGCCATGGCAACGCGCCGGATCTCGCGAGAGGAACCCGGCGGAGCTGCAAGACAGAGCTCCGCCGGGTCCTCTCCCTCCCTCCCCAGCCGCAGGTCTATTTAAATGGGCCGGTGAGGGAGCTCTTTGATCTCCCCACCGGCCCTCCGTGGAAGACAGCGGGGCCGGCGCTCGGATAGTGCCGGCCCTGCATAGACCGGCAGGGGAGATCCTGGGACCTCCCCTGCCGGCCTCGGCCCCACGGACACCGTGGCCCACCGGGCATTTGCCCGGTGTGCCCGATGGCCAGTCCGGGCCTGCCCACCACCACATCATTACATAGGTGGGTGTTACACTTCTTTAATACCCACCTCCACAGTCTGCTTGCAGTCTAATGTGATTTGTCCTGATTGGCAATCTCCTCTGTGACACCCACTTCATTGCCAGTCTCTGAACAGAGTGAGGTTAGTCACTCTGTTGCTATGTTCCCTAGCCATCTCTCGCATTGTCAGATCGGGAGTTACCTTAACAACCACAGTGCATATGCTGTGGTTGCTATGCTTGGGAGAGCAGAAGGATTGTCTCTGGAAGGTTTCCTTTGCTCTATCGGTCAGTCAATTCTTTGGCATAAAGTCTATGCCGAAGAATTGATTGACATCTGTGGGAAAGACTTATTTTTTTTAAATAGGTTTTTCTCCTAATTTATACATTTGATAGCAAATTTGCTAGAAGGAAGTAAAAATGTGATTTTATGCTATAAATTCATAAACACCTTGACAGGTACCCTTTGACCACCGAGTTACAGAGGAAAACATGAAGTAGCAGAGCACAGTTTCAATACTAGTACTATGTGTGTATAATGTTAATGGGTCATCCAATAGGAACACCGAGTGCCTTCTAGAAATGTATTCCTCTCGTGAGCAATGTGTGTGTCTGAAAATGTATTCCTCAAACCCCAGCACTGTGTCTCCTGGAAAGGTTTCCCCCAGACCCACCACAAAGTGTATGTGTGTTGAAGCATTCTGCTAGACTATGCAGGGTTTTTTATTTTTAAGGTACAGTTCCATTACTGTATTACCCTGCATTCTCAAGCCTTTAAAATTTTATTTTTTGTGCTCACAATGGTAATTGTATTTTAGCATAATTTACTGTATCAAAGCAGAAATAGTGCAATTCCCTACATACTAATTTTTTTTATAATTATACGTTTTAACCCTTCCAGTGCCAGGAGTCTGCCACTCACTTCTTTGCAATGTGCTGGTCATATCCCTGGCAGTCAAAGTATTTCTAATGAAATAAAAGGTCTGTTTTTTTTTTTTTTTTCCAATTTGATAGCTGTTTTAATAAATCATGGGAACCCAATATATCAGGAGGTGGGGTTTCCAGATACAGAGGGAGGAGACTGGCACCCTTAAAATCTTTAAACTTCACCAACCAACACTGTCCTGTATATAATATGCTGTATTATAATTACGGTTCTAATAGCCACAGTGAACACAGATATGTATGTACATGGTTTCTAAGAGCTGCCAAACCGAAAAATATACAGGAATGGTTGGTCTGAATCAAACTATCTAAAACGTTAATCATAACAATCTGGTCAGGCTCGCCCACATCCATGATAAGTTCTGGGAAATATGTTATTTATTTGCAGCAAAAAGTCAGAATTCAGCATTATTAATGTTATGAGTAACTAACAGGATTGGTAAGAGGTAAAAATTCTATGTAATTGCTTAAAACCTAGTTTGTGTTGTTTTCTCTAAATTAATAAGTTTGTGTGGTTTGTTCTAAATTATTTTTTTTAATTTTTTTTACAGTTACAAAAGTGGATGTCTGTAAGTCATACAAAATATACTGGAATAGACTTGCCTGCTCGCCACACCTGTTTTATTTTTAAAAACAATACACAAACATTCTGAAAGGTCACATCCGATTACTGGAAACAATAATACTGAAATCTGACTCAGTGCTGATATGCTAAGGAGTGAATGTAAAATGTCTGGATACTATTAGTCAAAAGAATTTCATTTATTGTTATACTTTTCATTTATAAAATTCAGCTCATCCATAAGTACTTATTTTCCAACTTCTTTACGTCATGCTTTTAGCATCAAACCATTTAAGTCATTATTTTGTATGTTTTATTATAAACAAATTATAAACAAATTAAAATAAATGAATTTTTTAATATATATATATATATATTTTTTTATTTTAATTATTTTAATTTGTTTATTGCTATTTTAATATAGTGTAAGAATGTTGAGCCAAGTAAGAAGCACACACCCTGAAACAAAAAGGGCTACATTAAAAAGTTATTTTATTCAAGGTAATAGAAAAAAAATAACATTTCATATGGCAGGATAAACATGTAATGACTTGCATATTGATTTTACAGTAATTCAGTGACGGAATCATCCATACCAATATTTACATCACAGTGCTATCTTTCCCATCATTAATAACAGCGGATTGTCCGTGTCATGGGTGGCGAGCCTGTGACTATACACCGACAAAATGCCACCCAGGATTGATATTCAGCAGCTGGGAAGTTAAAACTTAACTTACCCCAGTCAAGCAGGCCTTTAAAAGTAAAAAAATATATAAGACTTGATTTGTAACAGTTATGTGAAATGATTTGAAATGCAAACTTTCAAATATATATGTTTTATATCAAAATTATAGTATTTACAAAGAAACATTCTGATAATTGCAAAATATAGAGTCTGTTTGCTTCAGGTTATATGCAATACAACAGTCACAATGTTCGTTCTCGGTGGCTTGGTGCCATTTGGCTACAGCTTCTTTATAGATGAAGAGCTTTTAATATGTACTTTATATTTACAGGTTTCGTTATGACGCTAAGACCTCGTCCCTAGATAATCTATATGGAGAGGCAGCATCGTAAAGGCTATCTCCATCAGTGCTGATGTCATCGTCATCATCTTCAAGTTCATTCAAGATTTTGTTGGAAGAACTCTTGCGCCTACTGGGGGGAAATATGAGAAAATATACTGTTATTGCACATTACAATTTTGATATAAAATTAAAATAAGTTGGAAAAAGTTAGGATTAACCAATTTTTTCCTGTAATTTTTGTTTCTGAAAATTTAGGAGAATGTGGAACAATAAAAATTTTTTTTTAAAAATTTAAAAAATAGGAAAATGCAGATCAGAAAAATAAACCATTTAAATCATTGTAAACACGTTTTTATCCGAGCTCTATAAATTCCTTGATTACAGATACAATTCCCTTAAGTGCACTAGGTATCCGCCTGCTTGGCAATAGTCACCACAATACCAGAATGAATGAGCACAGTAAAGAATAGTATTGTCTGATCAATAAAACATTTCCCCAAATGTTTGAAAGTAGGGACTGCATTGAATGTATAAGCCTTTTAGGATCTGATTATTTATACAACATTTCCTACCTCAGCTCCTTCTTTGCAGCATTCAGTTGACTTTGCAGTTGGTCATTTAGATCCACTTGCTCTTCCAAATCCCTTTGAAGCTTCTTTTTGGCACTTTCCAACCTGTCGATTTCCTCTTCAGCTTCTTGAACTTGCCTCTTCATTGATTTCAATCTTAAACTTAGCTGTAAGATAAAAGAAAATAAACATTCATTTTATTGTCCGTGTGGTTTTAGTTGTGGTTATTCATAATCTTCTTAAAGGGGTACCGTCACATCTCTGGAATTTACACTAATCACCTATAAGTTGTGTTAACCTTTTATTTTTCCATGCAATGCTCCAATTTTTTTTTAGCAATGATCCTTTGGATATCAAACATTGGTATAAGTGTTAGAACCCTAGGAGAATCTGGTATCCTATTAATAGCCTTGGTGGTTTCTCATGGGACCTCAGCAATCAAACCAAATTGTTTATTTTACCTGGAGACCTTCAGGCATTGGGTACCTGCTATTTTGTGATTTCTGCCAATAGTAAGCAGTTGATTATCATATCTATTATAGACTGCATCCCATATTTAATATGACAATATTTAATGTTGAATTAAAAGAATTAAAAAATTGGGGGGGGGGGGGAAATGTAAAGAGCACAGTATCTTTCATGATAAGGTTTAGTAAATTAGTTCTATAAATTTAGTGATTTTCGTATTATGCTGTACAACAAAAATATACATTTTTTTGAAGGTTTACTAAGCTGGATCTGTCAATTTCAGGGGTGTTTGCATATTTTGAAAGGCTCCCAAAGGTGACATTACCGCTTAGTACCAGTGGCAGCAGAGTGCAGTGGAAGGTATGTATACTTACCTGAAGCTATCCCTCGAGGCCGTTACCATCTTCCAGAATAACCAATTCATCTCCCAGCAGCCGCGAGAGTACAAGACTTTGATCTATGGTAGGAGCCACCACAGACCGCATCTTGTTATGAGCGAGATGAAACCTGTATCGATACTTATGATGGCTGCTAGGATTGACAGCAGAACCTCACCTTTTGTCAACTTTTAGTATTGTCTATCCACATAAATTATGAGAAAAAGAATTCCACTTTGTATTTGTTTTTCGCAAATGTTACAAAACAGAAGTCTAAAACTATACCATGAATCTATACTTTGTGAAAACTCAGCTTTTTTTTTTTATAGAACAAAGGGTGTAAACCTCTCAATACAGAATTCAAACCTCAAAGTTAGAATATGTAAAAAAAAAAATAAAAAAAAAAATTAATTTAACTGATAAAAATGCAATGCTCGGTTTTGAAAAAAATGCAGCAAAGAAAACCACCATCCCTCCTTAATGATACACACGCCCTTCTCTTTCCCTAGGAACTATCTAGAGAGCCTGTCTTGTAAACCAAGATTAACAAATAGTTTTAGGTTCACGCACCATACAATTCCTTATTGCCCCTATTAATTATCATGGTACAGAGTATGATCACACATGCAGTTTAAAAAAAGGTAATACAACAGAGTTAAAATATTTAAAATGGTATAGATGTATCCTTTACTGACCCTTTAATTTGTCAAGTAAACAAAGTTAACTACCTGATCTTTTTGATCTGTTAGACTGAGGTGTTCATCATCAACTTGCATCATTAACTCCTTCACTTTCCTGTCCAGCCTGCGATTGCTAAGTTGGAGATTTGCCCGATCCCTGAGTAAAAAGAAAAAGCACATTGTTTGGACATTTAGTAGGGACATGAGCCAGGTCCTTTTCAGTGCTCTAGTATTTGATCTGAATACTGATCACACAAAATCCATTTAATACTTTGTGGGATTATTACAAGCACAACGCTGATTATTCTTAAAAAAAAAAACCAAAAACAGAAAACAACATATTAAACTATCCCACTAAAATTCATACCGCACATATTAGCGGTTCTAAATGGACCATTGATGCTCTATCATTCCAGTTATTTTTGTTTTAATAAAACTACTGTAATTACAAAGATTCCAGAACCTTTTCAGCTTCAGAAACTACAGCAACCAATGTCATCGTAATGTGGCCTTCAAGAGATTAATAAAAGGAAAACACAAAAGTGCTTTAAGAATAATAAAAGGATTTAAAGAAAAAGAAAGAACATTTTTTACAAACATGTTTTATATGCGTAAAATTAAAGACATTGCATGGATAAAAAAACAAAAAAAATAACAAATTGGGGTTCGCCGAATCACATCATCCAAAACTGAAATTTAGTTCGGGACCTATGACACTCGTTCAGTTGATAGTTTGTCAGATCTGAATATCACCCATGACGAAAAATTGGCAAAGGATTAGGACGAACACAAAAAAGGTATGAAAATGGGCCAGTGTTCGACAAAATATATACGTAATGCAAATATGTATATATATTGCAGTACATGGATAGGCGAGTTTCTCAAGCATTTGATTCATAGATCAAGTGAGAAAAAATAACCAACATAAGGAAAAAGACAAAAAATATAGTAAAATATCTATATTTATATATTATATATATTTACATCCAGATTTTTATTTCTGCTCCTATTTTTTCCTCTCTATTGGTCACTTCTCACTTGATCTGTGAATAAAATCACCATTTAGTGAGTGTCCACTAGTCATCAATCATCTTATTTCCCCCACATTAATCATCTTACTTTTTGTACCTCAGACGGGACTCCAAATCCCAAATGAAATTAATATAGTGGGGTTACAATCTTGTAATATGGTACGTTGTTACGAGCCAATTAAAACATGCAGAATACAGCAATCACAGATCCATAAGATTGTGTTGTACCGGAAAATAAAATGTTATTCTGAAACTAGATTAAACTGACCTTCAAGATAATAATAATAGAAATGTTAATGTGCATTTTCACAGATAACTTGTCTGTTACATTGCTCAGATCATCCCAGGCCAAGTTCCATGCTGGGCTGCATTGTAAGTACTTGTCGATATTTTCACATGGTCACAGTGGTGGGAAACCCTATACTACATACTACAGCGTAAATGTGAACAGTGTCCAACACATAAATTAAAACCACGCATTAATTACAATACAAAACAAACCATTCACTGTATAAATTCTCTAAAATGTTCTTCATTCCTTTTACTTCTAGAAGACTCAGGGGGCATATTTGTAAGTGGTGCATTGCAAGCCTTCTGAAAGCCAAGGGTTAAAAAAAAGAGCCACTCCACATTCATCTTCTTTTAAATCACTGTACCTTTCTTCATTTTCTAGGCGCTCCTCCAATTCCGCTATTCTTACTTCCATCTGAGCGACAAGCCCTTCTTTATTAGATCTATGTGAACTTTCCAGATGAGCTATTCTGCTCTTGAGATCTTTGTTCTAAAACAGAGCAATTGAATCAAACAATAAACAACATTATACAAACTAAAAGGCATAGACAATATCAAACAAAAAGAGGATCTGAACAAAACCGTATGAATTTGGCTAGCACAATGTGTTCTTTCTGTTGCTTTCATATTTCATAATGGTTTTCAACAACCTTAGAAAAGCATTCTTCAGACATTGCTGTTTCACGTTTATTTAGTATTACAGAAAAGTTTGTTGTGAGCACCTTTAATTTAATAGACTATATAATCACATGTGCCTAAATTGTATTACACTCAGGAGAGTGAACACAAAAATGCAAACACAAAGAACAGTTTAAATTTAAAGTTTTGAGCTAAATTACAACTGAAAACAAATATGGACAAGAATCCCAAGGAGAAGAAACTGCCGATGTACAGAGATGGCATGTAATCTGGTCACAAAACTGGCAAATTGTGTTGTATCAAGGAGAACAGTCCCAAAGATAACGGAGACATATCCCATACATCGAAAACTGCACTGACAAAGGGGAACAGTGGTGGCAAACGTAGATCCACCCTAAGTTAATGGACATTAAGGACAGCTGCTAAAAGACAAACGTTTAGAAGCACACAAAAAAAAAGTTAACAGAAGTGAAGCAGCACCTTTTTTTTTTCATGATAAAGTTAAAGCAAATACGAACCTAAATTTAATGTCAGGCGTATATTAATGGATATCTAAAATTTTAGGAACAGTAAAAATAACAAAAAAATGCAAACATGTACCTTATCATGTTTCATGTCCTATACCGATTACTGTTCGACAAGTCCTATCCTATACCGTTTACAAGTATAACACATCTGCATCTATGTTTATTTTACTACGATCTCTTTGCATTCTAATTTGTATTTACCAATACAAAAATGCAGACATTTACAGCTGCTTAGATCCAAGACTATAAAGACACATACCATGATGTAAAGAGCACTCCAAAGAGAAGGGAATAAAATATGGTCTCATGAGTCTTTGTTTATGCTATTTTCTAGATAAGAATGTGTTAATATTTTGAGGTTATCAAAGAATTCCTTCCACCCATAATGATAAACATGGTGGGTGATCTGTAATGGGATGGGCAGGTATATCTTAGGAGTCATGAGGTCCATTGATTGCATGATCATAAGCCCATTTGCCACAGACAACCTTACTCTTCAAACATTCAACACTGCAAAACCCTCTAACAGCTGCCTAACACTTTTAAAACACTATAAAAAAATAAATAAAAAAAAATGAAACCCTACAATCTGATTTAAAAATGTTAATGTAGTAGGTGCATGTTTAATGCTGCAGATGCAGGGTTAATACAGCATGGTGTGGAATACATGAATTGTGGTGTTTATATTAACCTATATTTAATAATCATTAAAATATTTCATATGATGTGATTCATATAACACGATATGGTTAAGGATTGGACTTAGGGTGTTGTAAACAGGAGGGCTTTAAGAGGGGATTAAGTTCATATATTTGGACGAGGTCCTACAATTAACCCTCGGGTTATAGTAGGTTTCCAAATTACATTGCCCGGATTGGAATAATAAATATTTGTTTATATTTCTTAATATAGTCAAAATCATCCAACAGTCTTAGTTTTTTACGAAGATCCCTTTCTATGGGAACTGGATATCCCATTCTATGGAAACTGGATAAATCAGAGATGAATCCGTTCATGATCGCTCACTATGAAAACACTTAACCTCAAAGTTACATTCATGATGAAATAAATAAAATAGACAGGTCTTACCTGTCTCTCCAAAGACATTTTATCACATTCGAGGTCTTGCCTTGTTGCTCTTTCTTGAAGTAGCTCCCCCCTTGTTTGCTCGATCTAATATAGAAAACACATTTTGGATTTATGTTTCTGCCATATTCATCAAATCCAATCCAGTTACGGTTTACAATAATGATAAAGTATTTAACCGTAAAACATATTTGAAGTCTACCTTTGTATGAAGATGCTGGTCAGTCTACAGTAATCTTAAAAATCTACAATCCATATTAATGAAGTATACCTTAATAACCAGTTTGAGCTTCATATAAATGCCCCAACATAAAGCATTTAAAGAAATATTCACATCAAAGATTTACATAGAATATTAAAGTAAATGTTCCTTTATCTATAGGTTGTCCATAATTAACAGATCATCACTCAACCCCATTCCTAAAAACAAAAACATCATAATCTTGTTGTAGTGTAAAACAGTTTCATTATGAGACAAAATAAAAAAATTAAAAAATACGTATTTATTTTTGTGTTCCTCATTTTCGTGTCCTCTACCAGAGGCCTGGGAGTCTGGGGGTTCTGCAAAGCATGAAAGCTGTTCCTATAACTTCACTCTTCTGGACAGAAATGTCCAACCTGGAATCTGTGAAGCCACTCACGTTCCTCTTCCTGAACTGGTTATTGCCACATCCACCACCTGGCATTCGAGGTCCAGCCATATTTTATGCAGATATTTCAGTACAAAATCCCAGCAGATAGATGGTGGTGTTCCCTCGTGAGTGTCCTTCATAACCAGTGTTGTTCTGCCATGTGTTAGCCAGTCAGGGTGGAAGCCTGTTGCTAGTAGCTGGTTCATTTATGCTTCCCAAGTGCCTCTATTTCCTCAGTAGCCAGGATCTATCCGGCTTGACTCTCTTGGTTCAGGTTACTCTCAATTATTATTGAGTTGGGTGAGTACATATCATTAGGTGTCTTGCCCAGGGACACTTACAGGTGAGGTGGTATGACCGGAATCTAAATAATACGCCGTAAGATGTAGGTCTAAATCTACCTGCTCTAGCACTGGGGTTAGACAGCAGGGAAAAATGTTTCAATAGATTTGAAAATCTACACCCCTCTAAGCCAGTGAGCTAGTATAACATATGGATCACATTATGTGCACTCAGAATAAAATACTCAGATATACTGCTTAACAAAAAACCAGAGTGACATTTAAAAAAAGACATAGCTCTTTATACTTGGCATACAAACGCTTTGTTTAAATACATATGTATAGACACACTCTAGATTCTGGAAGAGAAATGTCAAGGTTGATCTTTGACAATGAGAAAGAAAAAAAAGTGATCATATGCCTCAATTAATCATTTTGCATTACTCTCAGTCAAGCATTCACCCAGCAAACGTTTATATTTTATGGCTCTAAATTAGCCTAATAATGCATTCAGAATCACGTATGTTGCCAATGTCTCTTGTATAAAAGGTGCTTGGCATTCCAAAGCACTGAGGTCACTTTAATCACTTTGCACTGTGAATGCTCGCATGGACTCATTTTTACTATGCAGAGATGGCTATTCACATCCTCTTAATTGAAATGTACAGAACAGCCCCTGGGTGCCATAATTATACTTTGCTCCTGTTCGCATAACTTTTGCACTCATAAAAAGGACTGTAGTAGGATCATCTGAATACTAAGGACTTTCTCTCTCAAACAAAAACCTTTTTTTATTTAATTTAAACTGTTTGATTTATTGGACCATTATATTTCAAATGACGGCTTTGTGATATTTTTTTTTTTTCAATGCTTTATCTAAATAATGCATTAAAAAGGGGGCCAGTTGATGCACATTGAGTCTCTTTAAGCCCATTAGCATATATAGGAATAAAATGGATTTAAAAACAGTAATATGGGGATTTTTCACTAGGGGATGTCAGACAGACATTTAGTAGAAGTCCTTCCTCCTTACAATCTTTGGTTTTTAAATAGGGTTGCCATGCATCCACAGCAAGTGGGAAATTACCAGATGTTCGTGAAAGGAAAAAAAAAAAAGTACACATTTTTGATAATTAAAAAAATCATATATTTCGTCTGTTGCTTACCACAAATATACCAAATACACCTCCTATATGCAAATTTACAGGAGACAATGAATCAAAAACTATGGGAGCCTATATTATTTATATATATATACACACACATGCGCGCACACACACACACACACTTTCTCGCAAACAATGCCCCACACAAGCAATCAGTGGTTACCTAGTGATACATACAGACGTGTAGTTGCTTAACTAGAGTCAGGAATAAATGGAGACACATTATTACTTTATGACTCCTGAGCTTTACCCAGAGAACAGGGAAGATAGGGAATTCTGTGCTCCCATATTGGGGCATATACAATCTGTAATGCCAAATAAAATATATATGCTTGCTTTTAGTTAGGAAATGCTATTTACTGTATGTGAATTTTGCCCATAGTTATATCTGCATTCTGCCCAGGGCCATTTTTATTTTTGCCCCCCACCCCCACCCATGTGGGCATGATCATATTAGTAACCCCTCCCCTTTGCAAATGTCCAGTCCAGGCAAGCATGTTTCTATGGCAACAACTCCACCTCTCCATCTATAAGCCCCACCCCTTTTTGTAATCCGGCACACTCCCTGTCAGTCACACTCCCACTGATTTGACACACCCTGACAGACACACACATACTGATAGAAACACACCCTGACAGTCATGCATCCACTGACAGGCACACTGACATACACACACTCCCTGACAGCCACACATTCTCACTGATTTGACACATACACTCACACATTCTTGCACACACACTCGCAAATTAATTTTTTTATTGTGATTTTATTTTTATAAGCCCACCCAGCCTCCCTACCTTTAGGAGAGCTGATGAGGGTCCTCTCCCTGGTACCCAGAGGCTCCTGTGCTCCTCACAGCTCCCTTGCATGCCGTTTCATGATGCTGGGGCCAGAGACATGTCATATTCTAGCTTCCGCATCAACACAAAGGGCGTGTGATAAACTAAGAATTTTCGCACAGTCAGCGCTCCCTCGCCACCTGCCTCCTCTCCCAGTATATTTTGCCAGAGTAGGCACCTGCAGTCTACCCTGCCTTCCTGAATAAGTGCCCACTTCGGGAGTGCCCCAAGGTGCGCTTCTGGCCACCCTGTTACAGGCCACCCCCCCACCTTCTGGAAACAGGGTGACACCCTGTGCACCTGCCTAAGATCAGCCCTGACTGCCAGGATTTTGTGAATTTGCTTTACTTGCTATATTTATATATATATTTTTTTAACTATTAAATATAGGCACAAGGAAAACATGCATGTATTTTTTCTAATCTCTATACACACACGCGTTTACCATGTGCCTATATCCAATATATTATAAAAAAACTAAAACTGCAGATCTACAGCATTTGCGAACCCTCCCCTCTTTCCCTGACACACAGTTTCAGGCACACACAATCACTATCCAATGCTTTTCAATAAGCTATAATACATATATGTAATTTACAGAAAATATAGAATGTATTTTTAAATAACCTACATTGGTTATTGGTCAAACTCACAAACATAACAGAGGACAATTTAATAAACTAAATGCAATGTCCGCAGACTATTTCATTCGTTCATTCATTAAAAAAAAAAAAACCTCTATATAGATTTATTTTTCAGAAAGTAACATATCAAAAGGTAACATTTTGAAAATGTAAGGAATGAATATGACTGTCAAAATAAAAAGCAACGCGAGTCACTCCTGGCAGTTCGTTTAATGCATTATTCCCACCAAGAGAGAGACAACGTACAACACAGCTTATGACATACGTTAGCCCAGCTGGGTTCGGCGAGTAGTGAAAACAAAGTATTATCGACGAGAGATAATAGCCCTCTGAGAACAGGCATGGGTTTAATAAACAGAACTTGTGTTTATGCTACACAAAGTATTCTAAACAGCTGGCTATCGGCCCCTTGTTAATGAAACCAAACAATCTCGTTTCTTTTCAAATATTAATATCACAAAGATTGCGACCACTGCTTCAATCATATCTTTTGTAAAACAGTTCTGGATCTTGCAGTTCCCATAAATACTGTGTTTAATTTCAGAGCACATTGCAGAGGGAGGAAGGGCACTTCTGACTGTGACTTCCATGTTCAATATCAGCAGACAGCTGACTTCATGCAAGGTAAGAGCACGGGTTAGGGGAATCAACCTAAATTCCAGATTCTTCGTTCTAATTTGTACATTTTGATTCACTACCTCTAAACAACTGGGTTAAAGCAAGAAACAGGTGTTGAAGAAGAATCTATTGGGAATGCTATGTAGAAGCAAAAAGATTTTTTTTAAAAACAGACCACAAAATCTAGGTAGGAAGGCCAATGTAACTTTATACGTTTTCATTTACATGGTAACTATAGAAACTACCTTCTTTCCCATGGTTTAGGAAAGAAATCCACAGCCAGAAGGTTCTCGTTTGTGTTTTAGTTTTCCCCCTACTTTGAAGACTTTTTGCAATTAACTCCTTTCCGGTTACTCGGGTCCTAGAAGCTGCACTAGTTAATGTGTTAGAATTCCAGAGTTTTAAATAACGCACAACCACAGGACGCGTAATAGTTATCTTCTAATTAAGAGTCTGAACATTCAGTTAAAGAACAGACTTTCATTTTTTTTTTCTTTAGACAATATTAAATGACCCATCAAGGTAATCTGTCATGTAATCTGCAATCAATATGAAGGTAAAGTATTACTACATTCAAAGAAACCCAAATTATATATATATAGTTTCCACTGGCGTATTGAATACATACGCATCTGTAATAAGAGAGGGTAGTAGAGTAAGATATTGTTCCTGTATCAATTTACTAACTTCATACATTTATACCGCACCAATATATTCTGCAATGTACAATTATACAGTGAGTTTGTACAACAATTCTAGAATTAATATAAAGGGTGGGTTGGAATCCATAGACTCGTGATGGCATAATTATTACTTTCATATTCAGTGATTATGGTGCTTAGACTGCACCCTTTAAAGGAAGATGGACAGACATAAGAGAATGGATGCCAAAAAAACATATCCCTGAAATTAAAATGTAAAAATTAATCGAGACTATGAGAGGACATTAATACAATTAGTTGGGCCTGCACTTAAATTACTAGTGAAATATGACTTTGATGATTCAAAATAATGCGTTTTATACAATTTAACAGATATAGAGATATATACACAGAGATCCGCAAATAGATATATAGATTTTCAAATAGTAAGATAGTTAACTTATTTTTATACGTTTAAGGTAGGGGTTAATATTTAGCATTAGTGTAGTGAAGTAGTACCCCTCACAAAACCTAAACAAACCCTTTCGAATTCCCAAATGTAAACACTCAATCCCTAAACCTGAAAAAAACAAAACAAAAAAAACTGCTTTAGCTTAGTCCTAAATACAAAACACCCCCTCGGTGGTCCGGGGGCAGGAGCAGGGCCGGATTAACATAGGGGCTGATGGAGCTGCAGCTCCAGGCCCAGGCCCAGGCCCATGGAATAGGCCAATTGATTTAAAAAAAAAAAAAAAAAATTTTTTTTACATTTTTCTTTTTTTCACACACTACTCTTAGGGATTCCACCTGGCTTTTATTTTATTGGCACAGCCAGTATTTGAGGCTGCCTGGCTGGTGCCAATATTGCAGTGATACTGGCAATACAAATGCTGGTATTTTTATCAGTATAAACAAGAGATTACTATGCAATACCAGCACTGGCCAGTAGGGGTCGCTGTGTGTGGAGACAGGCAGGGATAGGAAGTTTCAGCATATCTCTCCCTGCCTATCTATACTCACTTATCTGCAGGGGTGCAGCTAGAGAGAGTCCGGACAGCAACTCCCACCCTGCAGAGACAGCCTACAGCTCAGGGAAGTGAGGGATGGGGGGAAAGGCTGCAAGGAGACATGGGGACACTGAGACACTAAGGGACATTGGGAGACATTATGGCAGACACTGAGACACTAAGGGACATTGGGAGACATTATGGCAGACACTGAGACACTAAGGGACACTGGGAGACATTATGGCAGACAATGAGAATCTAAGGGACATTGAGAGACATGGCAGACACTGGGACACTAAGGGACATTGGGAGACATGGCAGACACTGAGACACTAGGGGACACTGGGAGACATTATGGCAGACACTGGGACACTGGGAGACATTATGGCAGACACTGAGACACTAAGGGACACTGGGAGACATTATGGCAGACACTGAGACACTAAGGGGCACTGGGAGACATTATGGCAGATACTGAGGCACAAAGGGACACTGGGAGACATTATGGCAGACACTGGGACACTAAGGGACACTGGGAGACATTATGGCAGACACTGAGACACTAAGGGACATTGGGAGACATTATGGCAGACACAGACACTAAGGGACACTGGGAGACATTATGGCAGACACTGAGACACTAAGCCAGTGTCTCCAGTGTGTGTCCCCATGTCTTAAAGTGTCCCCTATTTTCCCATTGTCCCCATGTGTCCCAGCCAGAGTCCCCTAGTCTCCCAGTGTCACTGGTGTCTCCGTGTCCCTAGGTCTCCCAGTCTTCCTAATGTCCTAGTGACATGGGGACCCTGGGATACATGGGGACACAGGGAGACATGGGGAATTGAGACACTGTGATACATAGGAGCACTGGGAGATCTGGGGACAGGACACTAGGGGACACTGGGAGACATGGGGCACGGATACATGGGAACACTGAGACCTGGAGTAATCGACACATTTGGCAATGAGTCATGAGGGCACTGGGAGACATGGGGGCATTGGGAGGAATCCATCTATACAGCAGAATCAAACTAAGTAGTTTTTTGGTGATTTTACAGCATTTTCTCTTATGTCACTCCTTGTGATTTACATCATGTGATGTCACCCATACATATTTAATTATGCAAATTGTTTTTCCAAGAAAGGTGGCAACCCTAACTACTTTTCACATACTCTTACTTAAGTATGGAAACTTAAGTGGGATGTATGGGAACAAAACTTGTGTGGACTGGCTGACAATGAATATAGTTAAAGGGACACTATAGTCACCAGAACAACTACAGCTTATTGAATTTGTTCTGGTGAGTAGAATCATTACTGTCAGGCTTTTTGCTGTAAACACTGTCTTTTCAGAGAAAATGCAGTCTTTACATTACATCCTAGTGATAACTTCACTGGCCACTCCTTAGATGACTGTTAGAGATCCTTCCTGGGTCATGGCTGCCTAAAATGCATCCAAACATTCAGTGTCTCCTCCCTCTGCATGCAGACACTGAACTTTCCTCATAGAGATTCATTAATTAAATTCATCTATATAAGGAGATGCTGATTGGCCAAGGCTGTGTTTGAATCATGCTGGCTCTGACCCTGATCTGCCTCTTTCTCAGTCTCAGCCAATCCTATGGGGAAGCCCTGTGATTGGATCAGGCCACCACTTCTAATGATGTTAGCAGACTGCTTGTTTTTATGAGTCTAACAGCATGCAGAGTTACAGCTTCAGGCTTGAATATAGTGAGGGACCCAGGGGGGCTAGATGGTGGTGTTAACACTATAGGGTCATGAATTCATGTTTGTGTTCCTGACCCTATAGTGATTGTTTAAGGTAATGCTGACTTTGGTCTCTCTAACACTGTGGCATGTTCCCTTTCTTCTACACTCACTACATACAGCTTTTCTCTGTCCCAGACCATATACCAGGAGCTTCTGCCTGCTAGTAAGAAAGTAAGGAGACAAGTGGACCAGCGAGTGCTAGGGGACAGTCCTTAGAAAGCGTTGAGTGAGCGCATCATTAGATGCATTTATGCCAAGCTCAGGGTGCTGTCTGTATAGTACGCCCTTAGTTGGCCAACTGCATGATTGGCAGGCAGCCTGACATGCATTCATGCCAGGCTGGCCTTCTAATTCTTTGAGCAGACATGTCCTCTTTTTGGGCATGTTTGCCCCTTTTGGCAGGTTATGTGATTTGTGTCAGTGGCACACCCTTTTACCGTGCCCATTGACTTCCTGCTTGACTGGACACTGCTGTTAGGGGTTATGGATTTACTTGAAAGATGAAAACATAAATTAGAGAGAGATTGGCATAGAGTATGTGTTTTCGTATAGCTGCTGTTTTCTCTCTCTCCAGCACCATCTCCATCAGATACATGACGCTTGGGAGTGTTTTACTGTTTTTGGTGGATATGATTCTGTAATTAGGCCCGTCATAATTGTCAGCACCAGGCCCACTGGGCTCTTAATCTGGCCCTGGGCAGGAGGGCAACTACACCTTAAAGTGACTACCTGTCACTTTCTCCCAGCTTTCAAACTGTGCGGGCTGGGTGGACACAGACAAGACACAGAGGGAGGAGGGAGCACTTGACAGAGAGCCTCAGACTCCCATCAGCGGTAGCCAGCCTCAGGAAGTTACCTCCCTGCAACCAAAAGGTATGGAAGCAGGCTGGTAATTAACAATATGTAAATTGCAATTTGAGTGTGTGTGCATCTGTGTGTGTATGTAGGTATTTATGGGTGTGTATAGGTATGTAAGTGTATCGGAGTGTGTGCGCCAGATGTGTAGGTATGTATGTATATTTGTATGGGTGCCAGTATGTGTAGGGGGGTGTGTGTGTATATATTGGAGTGTGTGCCAGTGTAGCTTTATGTGTCTGTGCGTGTGTGTGTGCACCAGTGTATGTGTCTGTGAAGGTACATGTTTGTATCGGTTTGTGTCAGTGTGGGTACACGTGTTTATCTGTGTGTGGCAAAATATGTGTATATGTGCATACATCCCAGCATTTAAACATCAAAACTACATACAAATTCACTCCTGTATTAAAACACCAACATTCTATTCAAAACACCAAAACTACACACAAATACACCCCTGCATTCAAAAACACTACACACGTACACTGCTTTTAAGCAGCAACAGTACATATTAACACATTACACATAACTACATTCAAATGACAATACTATACACAAATATACCCCTACACACACACACACACCATAAATAAACATGCTTACAATCAAACACACAAAAACACACTAGACCCTGTCCTCCAACTACAACCCCCTAAACTCCCCACTACAGCCTCCTATAACTCTAATACAGTCCCACACAAACTAGTTACAACCCCTAACCCCCAACACTAAAGTCCCCTATCGAGATTTGGTTCTGGATCCGCCCCTGCCTGTATCCCAATCCCAAATGTAATCCCGCTCTAACTCTATACCCAATAATACTAAGCACCCCTTATACCATACGTATGTTTCTTCATTTTTGGAGGGTGGGGGAGGGGGACCTTAGAATTCTGGCTCTCACTAAATTCTGGTCCTGAATAAAAGGGCAGCATTATCCCAGGTTATATTTTCAGAAAATAGTTATTTCAGCTGACGCCACTGAAGTGGCATCAGGTGCTACTCAGAAATATATTTCCCGATAATTCAGCTAGACTGCAACATGTATGTCATGGTTCTGCCACGGCAAGGGTCCCCAAACTGCACAGAAGAGATTCAGGTATTATTTCTCATTGATTAAAGGAAATAATTACACAGATAACATGATATACACACACGGGCACCCGGCACACGCCGACATGCGTTTATCCATACTGAATAAACATACTGGATTTCAAAACAGTTATGGCTACAAAGCTGCTTAGAGTGGCACAGTTTTATTGTTTACATAACGTAAAAATGATTTATTATGTAATTATAAAGTCGTTACAGGACTTTAGTGAGTCAGATGCACAGAGCACTAAATAGATGAAATACTGCGTAATTCAGGCATGAAATGAAATGAAACATTTTGGACACAAAATGAAAACTTTGTTTTATGCCTTGTATAGAATGTACATGCTAACCAGCTGTTAAGATTCCAAGTTAATTCTAATTAACTCATGCACTGAGCTGCAATTTAATTTGGCTAATTTGTTAAACTATAACAGGCTATTCCTTGGTGTATATGCTGTAGTGTTTCACCTTCGTGTTAAAGAATGGCAAGTCATTTTATTACTCAAAAGGCAGGGAATGGAAGATGCAGGAGGGCACTTTAAATGTCTACAAATTTGACTGCATGGAGTTTACACAGAGAAAGAGATTTACTTCCCCAGCTGTGTGTGCATGCTCCGTTGCACCTCTATTCTCATTGCCTATTCTGTAGACCCCTAGAGTATTCAGTGATCTCTGCTAACATGATACCTAGAGTACTGAACCGACTAGAACAAAACAAAGCCCAGTATAAGACACTTGAGTTTAGCTAGCGTGATGTAGGAATGCTAAAGGGTTCCTATTAAGCTCACAGTAATGGGGAGGAAAGGTTAACAAAACAAAGTAAATATGGGTTAAAGGCACAGAGGAGGTGGATTGTTATGGTAGCGCTCCGCTGGGCACGCAAACAGTAGCCTAACCAGATTTATTGTAGCCTGAATGAAGTGCCCAAATCGTGGAGGGTTCATTTGTTTGTCAGGTCCTCTACAGTCAAAGCTAGGATAAAGTGTGTGAGAGCCCAGAGTCTGTTTGCCATCGCTGCGCCAAGTATATTGTGTAAAACCTTACACAATAACCACCTGCAGGAAAGTTATATTTTTTGCAGGTGGTTGAAATTTTGATTGAAATTATAATAAGAGGACATATAATTAGAGACTGAAGAAATCTTTGTCATAATTGTTGCTGCGGATATAAAGAGAGAGAGAAATTAATATACAATATATTAATACACTATATATATATATATATATATATATATATATATATATATATATATATATATATATATATATATATATATATATATATATATATATATTCACATACATACATATATATTCACATACATACATATATATATATATATACACATATATATATATATATATATATACACACATACACACATACACACACACACACACACAGTATCTCACAAAAGTGAGTACACCCCTCACATTTTCGTAAATATTTTATTATCTTTTCATTTGACAACACTGAAGAATTTACACTCTGCTACAATGATACATAGTAAGTCTACAGCCTGTATAACAGTGTAAATTTGCTCTCCCCTCAAAATAAATGAACACACAGCCATTAATGTCTAAACCAGTGGTTCCCAAAGTGTGGGTCGCAGGGCGATTCCCAGTGGGTCGCTCTGACCCACACATCCAGGGCCGCAGGGGACTCGGGCAAGCAGACTGACACCAGGAGGGAGCCCGGCGGCTTGCCCTGTATGCCGCCGGGCTCCCTCCAATCAGTCTGCCCAGCAGCTCCGGTCTGCAGCTCCACCGGGTGCAGAGCTGCAGACCGTGTGATAGAAGTCTCGCGAGCACCCAGAGCGTTACCATGGCAACACTCTGGGAGCTCGCAAGACTTATTACATAGTCTGCAGCTCTGCACCCGGCGGAGTTGCAGCTCGGAGAGTTACCCCACTGGACCACCAGGGAATTCAATGAAGGTAGGACACAGCCAGACATCCTTTCTACCCCCCCCATGTAACCCCTTCACCCCCTGCCCTTCCCCCCCAATGTCACCCCTTCACCCCCTGCCCTCCCCCCAATGTCACCCCTTCACTCCCTGCCCTCCCCCAATGTCACCCCTGCACTCCTGCCCTCCCCAATGTAACCCCTGCACTCCTGCCCCCCCATGTAAGCCCCTTCACTCCCCTGCCCCCTCCCACACTGTAACCCCTTCACTCCCTGCCCCTTCCCACCTGTAACCCCTTCACTCCCTGCCCCCCTCCCCACACTGTAACATCTTCACTCCCTGCCCTCCTCACACTGTAACCCCTTCACTACTGGCCCCCCTCCCCACACTGTAACCCATTCACTCCCGGACCCTCCCACTGTAACCTTTTCTCCCCCTCCCCGCCACTGTAGCCTTTTCTCCCCCTGCCCCTCACACTGTAACCCTTTCCCCCCTGCCCGCCCACTGTAACCCTTTCTCACTTTGCCCTCACACTGCACCCCACACTGTTACCAGCACACACGCTCCATCCCACACTGTCACCCTCACCTCTCCCACAAACTGTCACCCTCACCTCCTGTCTCTGTGTGTCTGTGTATCTATGTGTCCTTTTGTGTCAGTGTGTGTATTTGTGTGCCTGTGTGTCTGTGTATCGATGTGTGGGAAACTAGGTGTCATTGTGTGTATTGCTGTGTCTGTGTGTGTGTGTCTCTGTATGTGTGTGTATGTATATGTGTATACACTTCACACATACTCCATACAAAAAGACATGCTTACATTCACACACTTTCTGTATATGTATATTTTATAAACACAATACACACACTGCATCCACTACACACACACACACTGCATCCACTACACATGTACTGCAAACGCAAACATTACATACAAACACACCCCGGCATTAAAACACTAAAATTATCTACAAACACCCCTTCATTCAAACACCAACACTCAAAAAGCACACCTGCATTTCAAGTCCGACACTACATACAAACACCCATGCATTCAGACACAAACATTAAAAACAAGTACACAACTATATTACAATGGCAACAGTACATACAAATACACCCATACGTGCACACATATACTTAATACAAAAACATGCTTACATTCAAACGCTCAAACACTGCTCACAAATATAACCCTGCAATGATAAGAAAATGGTAGATCCCCATCTGGTATAGCATTGTTGAAGTTCTCCGACAGATGGAGATCTACCTTTTGGCCACACTTGCACTAGAGGGGGGCCCAGAAAACAAATTTGCACCAGGGCACGCAATACATTCGACCACTGGGATAATCAATGTGAGGTGCCTGGATGAAAGAGCAGGACACAGCACTTCTGATTCTGAGTCTGTGAGTAAGCAGTTGTAGGTCTCTAAAACTGATTGCCATGATGCACAAAGTTTCTGCCTCTAAAACTGCCATGATATCCCAGGATTATGCCTGTTATGCCAATTTTATGCATCTAAAACTGATTGCCATGGTGTGCCAATTTTATGCTTTTAAAACCGATTGCCATGGTGTGCCAATTTTGTGCATCTGACTGTTTGCCATGGTATGCCAATTGTATGCCTCTGAAGCGGATTGCCATGATGTGCCAAGTTTATGCATATAAAAGTGATTACCATGATATGCCAAGTTTATGCATCTAAAGCTTATTGCCATGCTGTGCCAAGTTTATGTATTTAAAGCTGCCATGATGTTCCAATTTTATGCCTCTAAAACTGATTGCCACGATGTTCTGAATTTATGCCTCTAAAGCTGGTTGCCATGGTGTGCCAATTGTAAGCCTCTAAAACTGATTGCCATGGTATGCCAATTGTATGCACCTAAAGTTGCCATGATGTGCCAAGTTTATACATCTAAAACGGATTGCCATGATGTACCAATTTTATGAATCTAAAGCTGATTACCATGGTATGCCAATTGTATGCATCTAAAGCGGATTGCTATAGTGTGCCAATTGTATGCATCTAGAGCTGACATAATGTTCCAATTGTATGCCTGTAAAGCGTTTTGCCATGGTGTGCCAGTTTTATGCCTCCAAAAGTAATTGTCATGGTGTGCTAATTGTGTGCATCTAAAGCGGATTGCTATGGTGTGCCAATTGTATGCCTCTAAAGCGGATTGCCATGGTGTTCACTTTTTAAAATATGCATTAAAAGCAAGTGGGTCTCAAAAACTTACCGTTTTGAAAAGTGGGTCTCGGCCCATAAAAAGTTTGGGAAGCCCTGGTCTAAACCGTTGGCAACAGAAGTCAATATTTTGTGTGGCCACCATTATTGTCCAGCACTACCTTAACCCTCATGGGCATGGAGTTCACCAGAGATTCACAGGTTGCCACTGGAGTCCTCTTCCACTCTTCCATGATGACATTACGTAGCTAGTGGATGTCAGAGACCTTGCGCTCCCCTACCTTCCGTTTGAGGATGCCACACAGATGCTCAATAGGGTTTAGGTCTGGAGAAATGCGTGGCCAGTCCATCACCTTTACCTTCATCTTCTTAAGCAAGGCAGTGGTCTTCTTGGAAGTGTCTTTGGGTTCATTATGTTGGAATACTGCCCTGCGGCCCAGCCTCCAAAGGGAGGGGATCATGCTCTGCTTCAGTATGTCACAGAACATGGTTCTCTCAATGAACTGTAGCTCCCCAGTGCCAGCAGCACTCATTCAGGCCCAGATCATGACACTCCCACCACCATGCTTGACTGTAGGCAAGACACACTTGTCTTTGTACTCCTCACCTGGTTGCCGCCACACACGCTTGACACCATCTGAACCAAATAAGTTTATCTTGGTCTCATTGGACCACAGGACATGGTTCCTGTAATCCATGTCCTTGGTCTGCTAGAAAACGGTTTGTAGACTTTCTTGTGCATAATCTTTAGAAGATGCTTCCTTCTGGGATGACAGCCATGCAGACCAATTTGATGCAGTGTGACGTACGGTCTGAGCACTGACAGGCTGACCCCCCCACCCCTTCAACCTCTGCAGCAATGCTGGCAGCACTCATACGTCTATTTCCCCAAAGACAACCTCTGGATAGGACGCTGAGCACATGCACTAAAGCCATGGTGAGGCCTGCTCTGAGTGGATCCTGTCCTGTGAAACCGCTGTATGGTCTTGCCCACCGTGCCGCAGATCAGTTTCAGGGTCTTGGCAATCTTCTTATAGCCTAGGCCATCTTTAATTCTTTTTTTCAGATCCTTAGAGTTCTTTGCCATGAGGTGCCATGTTAAACTTCCAGTGACCAGTATGAGAGAGTGTGAGAGCGATAACACCAAATTTAACACACCTGCTCCCCATTTACACCTGAGACCTTGTAACACTAATGAGCCACATGACACCGGGGAGGGAAGATGGCTAATTGGGCCCAATTTGGACATTTCCATTTTGAGGGAACAGCAAATTTACACTGTTATACAAGCTGTACACTTGGTAGCAGAGTGCCATTTCTTCAGTGTTGTCACATGAAAAGATATGAGGGGTTAGATATTGTGTATAATATATATATATATATATATAAAAAAGAGACACACACTTTAACAAAAAAACTAATACAGGATTATTAAAGCCATGAAGTGGGGGAAGTGTGAACATTTCTTCATAACAACTGACATTAATGCATTAACATTTTAATGTAGGGGTTTTCTATGCAATGAGAAATTCAGCACTGCTGTAAATAATTAAGTCTTCATCCTTCTCACAGAGAAACCAACAAGACAAAACCATTACAAGCAGTGGCGAAAAATACCCACCTTTAACCCCTTAAGGACACATGACATGTGTGACATGTCATGATTCCCTTTTATTCCAGAAGTTTGGTCCTTAAGGGGTTAAAAGAATTAAAAAGTGATATACCAAATACATGGCAACAAATACTTCACTTAATGGTATATTAGTAGAAAAGTGCTGAAGTGGCAGCTTCCCTTTTAACACACCTCCCAGATGTCCCTATTTAGGAGGGAGAGTCCATATTTTGGGCTTAAATCTCTCTCTGTCCCACTTTTCTATCTACATTTCTCTTTTCTAGGAGCTCCATATTTTTGGTGTGTCTAAGTGTATAACAGAGCTCCACAGCAATAATATTTAAAGTAATGTGTCTTTAAGCCACTATAAAATGCTGTGAGGTATGTTTTAAGACCTTCCCAAATGGTCTTTAAAAAGACAAAATATCTTCTAGAACTTCTCTAATATTGAAGGTATATAATCCGCTCAATGGTGCCTCTCCCAATCTGTTGAGGGCAAATAGTCCCAATCCTTCATGGGTTATGGCTCCTTTTTACAGACTTTAGCAGAATCTGGTAGTTTAATAAAAAACAACAACTTTTATTGCTAATAAAAAATTAAATTAAAAAAAAATACCAAAAGTAGTACAAAAGACTACCAAGTTCAATGTGTTTATTCCTGTTGACAGGACTTCTTTAGGGAATACTTGATTATAAAATGCACATAAATGAATAACACAATGCAAATACGCCATTAGCAGAGACAGGCATCGCACATAACTTGGAAATATGAATATAGGCATCCATGTAATCACTTTCTGGGTGGGAAAATTAAACAGAAATGCAACGTTCCAAGCATTCCTCTTTTTATTGAATACACAACATTTCTTCCTCCCCCTCATTTCTGCCTTTGTTATTAAATCTTTCTCTATTTAAATGTACTCCCGCCATCTGGTTCCTCCTCCAAACCTCCTACCTTTATCACTTCCCATTATCAGAACATTGCCAGCAGTTCTACACATCCTAAATATGTGTAGCTCAAACTGCATTACAAAATGTCAATGATAAAAGGAGTGAAACAACAGAACAGATACAGGAGTGTTCAAACTATGGTGGGCACTCCATGATTAAACAGATAGAAAATAACCAATTCTTAAAACTATACCTCAGCAGAATGGACAGGAGTTAATTCATCGCTGCAAAATGAACGCATATTTTTTTTCAATGTGGGATTTATTTGTTGTCTCATCTTTGGACTCTGTTACATCTTTACTAGAAGTGCTGGAATGACCACCCTAGTGGAAACACTGATAATCTAACCACCCAGGCCTTCCTTTCCCACTAATGGGGAGAAATATTTATTGCACCAAAAGTGACCATAAACCTCCAGTTATTTCAATATGCATAGTGATTTCGTATAGTGCTCACGTAACGATTTTCTTTGTTTTTTATCGTATGCATTGTGGCTGATGTGTACTATGGTAATTACTATGGTAAACGCTGCCACCCAAGAGTAGTGGAAATTTGAACGCAGGACTTATTTTTGTACATTTGTATTGGCTTTTGTATCACACAGCTATGTTACAGTGCAGCCGCCTATACCATGTGTTCTGTATCAAGAGTTAATGTAGGGGTTTCGTTAAAAAAAAACCTGTGTCAGATTTTTTTTTACCTGAAGCCAAGAGAAACAATGCGAATTGTTAGTGTAGGACTCACCTAAGAGGTTTTGCCTTGTTATGGCAGGTGGGCTTACACTCAAGTGGCCATTGGAGTGATGCAGAAAACCTCCAATTATTTAAATGAGCACAGGGACTTGGGATAATGTGCAAGTAACTCTTTGCTTTAAAAATGACCAAATAGTTCATGGCATTTCTCTATCTGCAATTAAAAGATCATCATACCTGCTCCCTGCACCTGGTTATTCGCTCCAAAAGTAGGTCTGAATTGTTCTTTTCTTCATCAAGTTCCATTTCAAGCTGTAACATCTTGTCCTAAAAAAAGTAAACAAAGCCATGTCTGTATCTAAAACCATACTGATGCAAAGATGAATGAATGGGATGATCATGAACCAGCATTTGTTGCTACTACGATGATTGATACACTGGTCTCATTAGCCATTAAACACAGCCCATGTGAACAGATTAATTGTTCAAAAACCTGAATGACCTGACGTGGAAGGTAAACTTTAAGCTGTAGTGATAGCCTCACATGGAAACGAATTAAAAGGCAAACTTGTGTGTGTGTTGTCCAACATTCCGATGAATAATATATAACTGAAATGTATATTATGTATGTATATTTATCATGGAATTTCAGAGGCAGAGCAACTGAAATATTTACGTTCACCATAAATCCAAAGAGGCCAATAGGCCAAGAAGCCAATAGTAAAATTACTGTTCCAGTTTACAGTCAAATTCATTTAATGCTGGAGTTTACTTAGTAAACAGTAAACTGGGGTGACTGCCATGGAATAGTAAAATCTAGAAAATGTTTTAACGGGGAAAAATAATTTGTTTTTCAGCTTGTCTGTTTTTTTTTTAAATCCGCTTTAAATTCACCAATAGTTATGGTTTATTCAATATAAGCTTTTCAAAAATAAAGGGAAAACAATTAAATATATATGTATATATTTGTATGTATATATATCTACAGAGCTAAGAAGATCAGTGTTTCACGTAAGATAAATCTAAATATTTACATAACATAAGTATTACATTTACCTTTCACTATCACACACAAGGACAACCTTCCTGCCCCTCTTCTTATCACACATCACTACCTTAAATCATACAGCTTCCTTTCCTCCATTATATCCTTTGCACCATTCCTAATCACACTGCAAAGACAGACATACAATGCATGCACACACACACACACGCACTATTTTAAACACGAGCTACAGACACCATACACATAAAATTAATATGGTGTAAAATGCTACTTGATAATACCTCCATGGATTTAATCTGCCTAATACGATCATCTTTGATGTGTGTTTTAGCGTCCAGTTCATACTGAAGGTCTTTAATGGTTTGCTGAAGAAGATGGTTCTTCGTTAATGCCTCATCGTGAGCCCTCTGTTGGTCTTGTAAATTCTCTTCCAAGTGCCGAACCTGTGGCGAAAACAGAAAATGGAAGCCATTTCGTCATTAATATAACTTTACTGAACAATCATTTCTCATAATTAAAATGTTATGTTTGGCTTTTGTTAAAAAAACAAACCGTAAGTTTCTATTAATCAGAATGTTTACACTTCTGTTCAGACAGAACCAAGAAAGCACCAAGAATTTAAATCCCTGATTAGTGGCTTGTTGTTTCAAGGAATATGGAGTATTTCTAGAATATATTCCAATTCTTAGTACATGCTGTTTGGCGGAGTATACCAAAAATTTATAGGAACACTAATTACTACTAGTAATATACTACAGATATAGAAATCAACAGTAAATACTCAAACAAAGCTGAGTGTTTCAGCATTAAGTGATCCTTTTTTCCTATTTCCCTAGTGTGTTTTTCCGTCTAGTACCAGACAGTGATCAGTTCATTAAAACTGAATGCAAATGATTTAAAATAGCAAACAGCCTGCAGTTAGCTTATTTTCCATAACAGGACACACAAGCAGAGATCCTATCTGGCCTATGTCAGATGATATACTTAAGGCACCTTGGCATATTTTCTTTTTCTTTTATATATAACAAGAAATGTAAATTATCTATGGATGGACAATGACCATGTGTATATTTACTGAATAAACCTCCTCTGATAGTACTAGATGGGATGTAACATTCTACCATTACTTTAACAAAATTTGGACATTTTGGTTGAAATATATTCCCAAGAATTATGGGAATTACACAGTCCAATAAACTCAAGAAAGTCAGGAGTTCGTATCCCTTATATGTATCTCCATATTGTTCTGTAAAATAAAGTGTTCTATGCTCCACATACAATGTAGGTAAAATAACAATTTGGGTGTTAACTTTTTGCCACTCCATCCACTAGTCTAATGTGAAATGTGGATTATACGGACAATTCTTTACAGCAGGCATCCATCAATAGATACTGTAATCTAATCAATAAAATCACTACATTGAGGTGTATTTCCTACCACAGTGAGCCATACAAGTTTTTCGTTAGCATTAGGGGCACAGGAGATACATGCTACCATTGGATACCTAAAGGCAAAAACATGATCGTGAACCAACTATAGAAACCTTTCACATGGTGAACCATCGGGCTACAACTAAGGGAATATTGATGTATACTACACAGGGAATTGCAAATTTATTGTGATGTTTTATTAATGCGTCCAACAACACAGATTCACTGGCATACAGGTGAAGTCATGATGTTGGTGGATTACTGATGTGCAGCTCAAAATCCGTATTGTATGGCTCGACCACGTTCAAGTGAGGACTGGTAACCTGGTTTATTAAATTAATGTTAGTATTGAAAAACGTAAGCCTTTCCCTGGGTTGTAGAAATAAGTAAAACACCAATATGTATACGGTTTTAAATTTTAAATTTTTTTTTTATTCGTCTAACAAATTTGTGGTTTTAGATTATGAGCACTTTTATTTGGTTTCTTTCAGGTGCATCTTGGGCTTTGCTGCTACTACACATAATTTGGACATGTAAACAGGAATTTCTCTTCAAATGCTTTTATTAATGAATTTTCAATAACACAATAATAAAAAATAAATTACTCATAATAATAACAGGAGAATAAACGTAACTAACATTATCCTCCGATTCTATAAAACAGACACACACACACACACACAAAGTAATCTATTGAACAACTAAAAAGTAACAACTAAAAAGTAACGGTTAACAAAGTTCAGTAAACCAGAATTTCAGCATGAACATACAGTATGCGTGCATCTTAGGTTAACACAATCAGCAAATGGAGTGGATGCATTATCAATACTTAACGTGAATAAATTCTACGCAGTGACAACTTTTTAAGAATAATTTCAAATTGTTTGTTCAGATTGTAAATTATTGTTTTTGATCTATACTTTCTTAACCCTTCCTAGTAATTGTGAGTAGATATTCACCTGGTAGATTTTATTAAATTGTTTTATATTTTTAGTACAAATATTTTATTAATCCATGGTTGTAATAAAAATAAGTAACCAATAAAAATTACCTCATCTTGTAGCTTTTTAATCATCTGAAAAGACTTTTCCACTTCCAGAGTTTTATCATTTAAATGTCTTTGCATTTCAGATGTGTCCTTACGATGCTTGTCTTTGTACTCGTCAAACTGCTTCTGAAGATCCACTGTAGTTGTCCTGGAAAATGCAACATTTTCGGAAATCTGATATGAAAAAAAAAAAAAGCTCTTTTAGACACTACAGATGTAACCAGCTGGTGGCGCTAGATTAGGTTTCTGATTTGAGCCGTCACATATTGCACAAAAGGTTCTGATCTGATAAAGTCAGCTCATTTGTAACCTGCAAATATCATTTCGTTTTAGAATGTAAGAATGGGTCATAAATCCAGTGAGACACTTTACATTACAGAGTCTCCTTTTAAGATGCTGATATATCTATTTATGCAAACCTCAGGGGCGTATGAGAGAAAGCTTGACAGAAAGCATGCATGCAATATAAATATTCAGAAAACCACATATAGGTTTCAAAACTTTTTAATTAAATGAAGAGAGAGAAAAAAAACGTATCCGATGTTTGTAAAATTAGACTTTAAATACCAAAGTTAGTTTATTTTATTTTTAATTATTAGAAATTAGTTTTATTGTGCCCTAATAAATTTTACATTTATTGAGGTCAAGTACCGATCCCCCCTTCCCCCCACAATGTACTGTACAAAATACAGTAGCTATTGTGTGAATATCAAAATATACTTTCATCAGTGTTTATTTCTAGTTTAAAAGGCTCACAATGTGCTCACATTCATGTCACTGTTTCAGACCAATTACAAAAACATACTTGGTAGTGTTTTTAATGCTATAATCAATAAAACAAATTGTTATTGCACTATGTTTTGCTGTATTTTTCTATCCCCAGATATTTATCTTTAGTGTTTATATTCACTATCTAGCATAATGTTTAAAGTGAATTATTTTTGGAATCGAATCCCTCTCTCACTAGAGGTACTATAACATACGGCAAGTTGTGTTTTAGTTCTGCTACAGTATCATCCTACTTTGTAGCATAAAACACAGGCAGCAAAATGGTCTATTTTCAATGAATTTTCAAGACTGGTGCCCTTATCTGAACCCTACAATAAAATGACAATTATAAATTTAAGTTTAAACTCACCTAATAGGTTTTGTCTTGATGTGACAGGTGAGCCACCACTTAACTGGCCATTGGATTGATACTAAAAAAACCTCCAGTTATTTAAATGTGTATAGGGATTTGGACAGTGCGCAAGTAACTTTTTTTTATGTATTGGGGCTGATGTGTACTATAGTCATTGCTGCTGCCCAGGAGTAATGGCAGTTTGAGCACAGGGCTTAATTTTGTATGTTCTCATTTGAAACCTAGTTGGCATTTCATTCACCTGTCATTGTGGACTAATGGATATGATTTCAAGGTTTTACATTGGTTTTAGATGGACTATCTATATTTCTTTCAGTTGGCTTATACAGATTTATACACTTTATATCAGCTCCTGGTCTCACTCACAGTTTTCCTGGTTCTGTTTTTTCTTATAATTGGCTGCTGCCTCAGGCTCAAGTAAAAGGTTTAATGAATTATAGACACGATTGACCTTGAAAAAGACATGTCCTTTTGGGAATCGGTTTGCAGTTTCGTGATCCAAATAACATTCAGCATGGCTCATGGGTAACAAGCAAAACGTCAAAGCAAAGCAGTCTTTGGACGCACATAGCTCAGACATACTGATTAATGTGTAACAATCTGAGTACATTTCAGTATAGGTCTGTAGTCCAAAGTGACACACTAACGTGGTTTCAGAAATGGGGATTTTGCGGAAGGGGAATACTGTAGTTACAGTTTAGAATAGAAAGAGAGAAAAAAAAATTAACATCTTAGACACAGACCTGAAACAGTAAAAAAAAAAAAAAAAAAAAAATTACAAAAGTAATTTGTGTGAAACTTGCAGGGTTCCCTCTAACATGAGTTCCCTCAAACAGGGGATCTTACGGATACAGTAAACCGTGATTGTCTGTCACGACCAGGTCTCCTTTCATACAAACGTCAGACATTACACAAAAAAGGAGGGTGTATTTTAGAAAGTACACGCCATGTTTCTCTCAAACAAAGAGTTTCTCCAACCTATTATAATATCTATGGAATGATTTGCAAAGGAAAGACAAAGCTCAGGAACACACTTCTGAGTACAATGTTATCAGTAAGAGGCAACGTGGCCCAAACGAGTGATAGATCATAGCAGCAAGATCGCTTGACGTGAAGAAACAGACCAAGATATTTCAGAACATACTTTGATTCTGAAAAGCTTTTGATATGATGCCAAAATGGAGGTCAGTGAACGTAATTTATTCTACAATCATATGGGACGCTATTGTTACCTTGCAGGAAAAACGCCTTTATTGTTTGCCAGAGAACATATTATCTTGTTAAATTTAGAACAAATAAGATATCTGGGCGAGGTAAGTACTGAAAGCATTTAAAACCACAAAACATGTATGCATGTGGTGACACAATTAATGTACTTCCATTAATTAAGTAAAATGAAGTAGTATCCTCCAATAAATTCTCTCGGCCAATAACAGTTGATAATTATTGACTTTTTCGGCAGATTTTTTATTCAGCTGAAATTCAAGCAGATGAAGTAGATAAATGGGCCAGCTGACCAAAGTAAAACTGCTGATAAATGTGCATCAAAAGCACATATCAGTCCTGTATATTATAAAACCGGTAAAAAAAAAAAAATAAACACCCTCTTACGACACAAACAACAGTGCCGTGGGTTGGGGCATGTCTACTATATGTCTAATTATGTAGAATTAAATAGGCTCACGGTCATTAAAAACTAGCACTCTCGGTTACAAAATACAGGTCACCCCGAATCCCACCCATGGGCATTGGGTGGGGAAGGAAAATGAAATGGGGCTGGAGAGTAATCACTCATAGCCAGTGACAGGGGTCTATTAAGTAAGAAAACAATTTAGGTCAATCTATCGTCCTCCCTGTCCTTACCTATGGGTTGCAAGTCAGTGCCATTAATGAATAAATTGGGAGACATTCTAGTGTCGCTCCCAGCCACCACCTATGATATAAATGGGGCTGGACATTGCAGGTAGGTTGGTGCTATTTAAAAATAGAGGAGTGGATATGCCTTTGTTCACCTCCTAATCCCATAGGCTTTGGGTTGGGGGTATTAAAGACAATACCTTTTGATTTATTTTTATTCTCATCTTAAGACCCACAAAATGCCAAAGAAAAACACAACAACCTATCATTATATCAAAGCCTCCACCCACTGCCCATGAGTGGGGGCTGGAAGGGACAAAAAAAAATGTCCCTACCATTGTTAATAATAATTTTTTGGCATAATGAAGATGATGATCTGGAGGATGGGGGAGGCGGCCAGCTCCCAACTCTGGGCTTAAGCCTGTCACAAAAGTCTGTGCAGCCCTGCCTCCCTCCCCCCCAGACCGGCGGGGGATATCCCAGTCCCCACTGGGTGCATCTACACCTCCGCAGAATCAACATGACAGCCTAGCGTGTCGGGGACCGCATGGTCACCTAAGATGGCGGACGTGCTACAACCTCAGCCTCAACAAGCCCAAGCTGGTCTAAAGGGCCTGTCATGGAGGGAGACCTGTGAGGCTAAATTCAAGAAGGTCTGTCAAGCCAGCCTGCAACGGAGGCTACTCGACCTCCCTCTAGGTGTGGGGACCTACAGGAGCTGAATTCAGCCTGACGCCCTCAAACCCAGAATTTTGTGGCTTACAGACCTTCAGCCTTTGTGTTGTTCACCCAGTGGAACTTTACTCTTAAATGTCACCATCCTATGTTAAGTCTTACTGCATGTGATCTAGATTATATTTTAGTGATTTTCATTAAGTGTGCATACCATGCCAGTTTTAATCTCTAATAGGCCAGTTAGTACTTCATGTTACACACCAATAATTCTCAAGAGATACTAGCTTGTGTCTAAAGCATTTACAATTAGTGAACTATCTCCATCTCTGAATATACCTACCTCCCTATAATCTTAGAGTGTACCTACTTCTTGACATGCCAGTTTAACCTGACTATATACTAACAAAAAAATGTGCAGTTGAATCGATTTGTCACACTATTATGCTCTATATGGTGCTTGACATTGCTGTTGTGGCTCAGCAGGCTTAATTGTATCGCTATGCACAACTAAAATAAAGAATTTTTATTTATTTTTTTACCTCGTTTTCCATATTCAAACGGACAATGATCAGCTTCCGATAAGCCTTTAACAGCTTCTATTTAATCGATCCGAATTGATAAATTTGGATCGATTAAATAACATATCAGGAGCTGATAAAAACACCTGATTAAGATCCCAAACTCTGATTAAACCAAGCCCAAAGTGTGAAAGAATTAATAAATTTGTGATATTTCTAGTTTTAAATGTATGTTTCATTTAATTAAGCTTTTTTCATTTAACATTATTATTGCAGGTGCTATATTCATCTATTATATTTATGTGATTGACAGCCACAGATAAGCTGCAATATCTAGAATACATTTTATAGATCTGCATAACTATTTCAATTTATAGTTTGTGATGTGTTTAACCTTTTTCTCTGGAATAGAGCATTAATTAGACTAACTGCACATTGTAGTTAGCAGTAAGATATCTATGAAACACAACAGCCCAGACTTGTACATGTCTTACTCCACTCACAATGTTCTGCGTTAGAATTACAATATGCAATAGTCCTTTTCTCCCTTTCTGGTGTTTATTGGGGCATTTCTTCCAATAAACTTCCACCTAATATTCACATTTGCATAGTGTTGAAATGTTTAAATAAATCTAAGCTCTCTCCGCTCCATTCCTTTTGGGAGCCGATGGATAACTGGGGCATTTGTTCTCCCTGTAAAATCAGAGGTGGTCCTACTGCTGATGCAGTTCATTGATGTCCACAGGTAGAATGCTGCTTCTATTTCCTCTGCCTTGAGTTTTGAGGAAATTGGAGATAGGGTGACATTTAGTGTATAGATCATGCCCCGCCACTCAATTCTCTGTCATTTAACAGTTAAATCACTTTGTTAATTCACACCTAGTCACACCTAACTGCATGTGACCGTCAGTCTCCCTACACATTTACTGAAAGAGAGATTACATTTTATATCTTCCATTATTGCACAGTGTGTGCTGATAAAATGTCTTATTTCTTGAACAGTTGTCTGCTAGCCAGTGTGTGTTTAAAGTTATTTAAACAAGTAAAAACACTGTGCTGTAATACTTAATCATTTTTAATTTGTCCCTTGTGGGCAACATTATCTTCTGCCTGGTCCTCTTCAAATCCTGGAAAAGGCACGTCAGTTGCCAAAAGCAGACGTCAGCGATATTAGTACTCTCGAGTAAGTACTTTTTGGCCCTCTACAGCCAAGACTGGTGATGGATGGGAAAAATGGCAAGTCTGACAAAAAGGTAGTTCTGCCTTTTCTCAAGCGTACAATAAAATACGCTTGGTATATTTTTTTTGACTGTGTTGGAATTTCAATGAAATTTCATTGTCCTCCAGGTATGCACTTCACCCATACTGACCCTCTAAAATGTGTTTTGTAGGACCCAAATACAGTAACTATTCATTTTAATTGTTTGATTATCCATGTTTCATAGATACCAAAGAATGCTTCACAAAGCACCATTTTGGCAAAGACCCAAAACATTAATTAGTAATTAAAGGCAGAGTCGAAAAAAAAGGCTATTTTAACTAAAAGGTGGAGAAAAAGAACTACAAAAGTAACAAACGTATTGGACTCACATAGATTACCATTTCAGTGTATAAAAGAAGAGCAAAATCTACACATTGGTTCATCGAAGTAGGTTCCCCTTATAGTAGCTTCTTAGTTCATAAATACATACAAATAATATGTTAAACATCCATTAGCACTGCAAGTGGAATAAAAGCATTATAAGACAAGTGAGTGTTGCAATTTGCAGTGTTCAGTTACACAGAGTGAATTTTAGCTTGTTTGGCGTTATCAGGTTTTTTTTTATGATCATTATTTTCATACATTGCCTGAGCATGATCCCAATGCATAACATTACTAAAATGTTTTGTATAACTCAACTAGTTTGACAATCACACAGCTTTAGATTTACCTCCTTTTGTAATTTTTCAATGGTCTTGTCAAGTTGCCAACGTTCATTTTCCATCTCATTCTTCAAATTTCTTAATTGTTCTTTTTGGCTGGACTCATCTTTTAATCTCTCAGATAATTGGTGGTGCTCATGAGTAATTCTATTGAGGCTTCTCTGCAACACAGAAGCATGCCATCAACATCCAGACTCCATCCACCTCCCTCCCCCAAAAAGGCGACTAGCCAAAGAAGCACACATTACTAAATTTGCTTAGATTATTGCGTAACAAATTAGTTTGACATCAGTGTTTAGAATGACAAAATGGTACACGCCAAAAAGCTACCCAATTGTCAATAGTTTTTTGAAGCAGGAGAACAGCCCCAATTACTCATTAATGTTTTTTAGGGTGCAATGACTCCAGTCCCATCAAAATGAGAATGTACAAAAGTGAAAAAAACAAACAATGCAATAGACAGCTCTTTCTGGGGGGAGGGGACTTTGGCCTTTAATTACTGTACAGCAGCAATCAGTCTTTGTAAATAAATTGCCAAGACTTCGCCATGAGAAATCGAGGTGGAAATATTTGCGATTTTATTCTTTGAGATTTTACTCATGTCAATAGTATTTATTCCTAACCAAACACAAGGAATACTGTAAGCAGTAACCTAAAAAAATAGTTTAAAAAAAACAAAACACACACACACACACACACACACAAATGAATATATATGGTTTTCAGAGTGTTACAAGCTGTATATTGTTGCACAGCTCACTAGTTTTACTAGTTTGTGGTTCAGGGAACATTAAAGAGGAAGCACAAAGGTGACTTCGCTTTTCCCATGCGTTTCAGGGGTCACTGACTGGGGATGTCAGTCATGTGTATACAATTGCCATGGAAACAACGGAGCTTCACAAATTTAATATTAAATCTGTGTTTACCTTCATGTCTTCCAGTTGATTTTCTAGCTTTCTCGAAACTTGCAATGTCTCCTTCACCCGTTCATTGGCTTTATCCAAAGCTTCAGCCAGCTGCTGTTTTTCTCTCTGTAACCATTAAAAAAAAAAAATTAAGTTGGGGTTATTTACTAAACTGCCAATTGTAAAGAAAAACAAAAAAAACATGGACCGTTCAGGAAAAATATTTCCAGCTCAACTGCTTTGATCTAAAAATGTACTCCTGCACACTGCTCATTTTTTTTTTTTTTTTTATGTGTAACATTATGTGTGTTTAGGGAATTGGTTTGGGTGTTGCTGCTGAAATATCTACATAGGAAAATATGGCTGTGTATGTATGCATGCTCGCTCTGCACCAGATACTCTATGGTACAGACTCTATACCATAGAATCTCTTACATATATACACAGAACACTGACCAGACAATATGAAAACCACCTGCCTAATATAATTTACTCTGAACTGGTTTACTGCCAAAATAGCTTTATGGCATGCATGGATTCCAAGAGACCTCTGAATGTGCCTGTGGTACCTGGACCCAAGACATTACCAGCAGGTCCTTTAAGTCCTGCATGCTACAAGGTGGGGATTTTGGAGGCCAAGGCAACACCTTGAACTCTGCCATGTTCCTCAAAACATTTCAGAAACATTTTTGCATTGTGATCGGGTGCATTATCCTGTTGAAAGAGGACAATGCCATAAGGGAACACCACTGCTTTGAAGTGGTGTATGTGGTCTGCAACAATATCTGGGTAGGTGGTTGTAGTCAACGTAACATCACAATGAATGATAAGGTTTCCCAGTGGAACCTTGCCAGGGCACAATACTGCTTCTGCCAGCCTGACTTCTTCCCCAGGTAAAGGATGCAGATGCACCCAGTTATCCACCTTATCAAAAATAAAAAGTGATTCATCAGAACAGGCAACCTTCTTCCATTGCTCCATAGTCCAGTTCTGATGCTCACATCCCTAATGAAGGAGCTTTCAGCGATGGACAGGGGTCATCATGACCCAAACGCCGGTTCACCACTTTTGGTAGATACTAACCACTGCATACCAAAAACACCCCACAAGACTTGCTGTTTTGGAGATGCTCTGTCTTCTAGCCATTATTCTATGGCCCTTGCCAGAGTCACTCAGATAAGTAAATCTTTTCCAGCTTTCAGTACATGAAAAATTCAAGAACCAACTGTTCACTTGCTTCCTCAATATATCCCACCCCATGACAGGTGTCATTGTAACAATATAATCAATAATCGATCACTTCACCTGTCAGTGCTTTTAACCCCTTAAGGACCAAACTTCTGGAATAAAAGGGAATCATGACATGTCACACGTCATGTGTCCTTAAGGGGTTAAGGACGGAGCCAAATGTACACGTTGTGAACGAAACAAAATGTAAACAAAACCTGGCATTTGCGCTACATGTCTGTCCAACCGTAATTCACCTCTTTCATAGTAAATGCACCCACCCTTATTATACATCATTTTATTCAGGGGAAACAGGGCTTTCATTTAATATCAAATATTTAGCTATGAAACATAATTTAATATGAAAAAAATGGGAGAAAAGATGATTTTATTTTTTTAGTTCTACATGACATTTTAACTGTCAATGTCATAATACTGTTTGCTTTTACTGCAATAAAATACACACATTTGTATTCAGCAAAGTCTCACGTGTAAAACAGTACCCCCTATGTACAGGTTTTATGGCGTTTTGGGAAGTTACAGGGTCAAATATAGCACGTTACATTTGAAATTGAAATTCGCCAGATTGGTTATGTTGCCTTTGGGACTTTATAGTAGCCCAGGAATGAAATTTACACCCATAATGGCATACCATTTGCAATAGTAGACAACCCAAGGTATTGCAAATGGGGTATGTCCAATCTTTTTTAGTAGCCATTTGGTCACAAACACTGGCCAAAGTTAGCGTTAGTATTTGTTTGTGTGTGAAAAAAAAACGCCAATTTTGGCCAGTGTTTGTGACTAAGTGACTACTAAAAAAGACTGGACATACCCCGTTTGTAATACCTTGGGTTGTCTACTATTGCAAATGGTATGCCATCATAGGGGTAATTTTCATTCTTGGGCTACCATATGGTCTCAAAGGCAACGTACCCAATCTGGCAAATTTTAATGTGAAAAAAAATGAAACACAAGGCTTATATTTGATGCTGTAACTTTTGAAAACACCATAAAACCTGTACATGAGGGGTACAGTTGTACTCCGGAGACTTCGCTGAACACAAATATTTTTGTTTCAAAACAGTAAAAAGTATCGCAGCAATAATATCGTCGGTGTAAGTGCTGTTTGTGCGTGAAAAATGCAAAAAACTTCACTTTTACTGGCGATCTCATCGTTGTAATACATTTTACTGTTTTGAAACACTAATATTTGTGTTCAGCGAAGTCTACCGAGTAGAAAAGTACCCCCCATGTACAGGTTTTATGGTGTCTTGGAAAGTTATGGTGTTAAATATAGTGCTAGCAAATTAAATTCCCTTTACCTTCGGCATGGGTTGTAGGCAGGTCCCGCTAATTGTAATTAATTAAGATACCCAATTATGTAAAAATATTACATAAATATATATTTAGAATTAATATATATATATATATATATGTATATATATATATATATATACACACACATATGTGAATATATATATATATATATATATAATTAAAAAATATATTTTTATCTATATATAGGTATATATAGTGATATATACGTATATATTTATGTATATAGATATATATATTATTTCGTTCTACGTGTATTTTGATATAAATATATTAATATCACAATACAGTTAGAACGAAATAACACACATCTATATATTTAATTATTTTATTTTTTAACGTATTTACATATTTAATTTTTTTATATTATATTTAAATATGTATATATAACATATATATATTTAATCAGTATCAGTCTACGTGTAATTTGATATTAATATATCTAATTATATATATATTAATAGTAAAATACACCTATACAGTGTACGTGTGTGTATGTATATGTACTTAGAATATATATTATATATTATATAATATATATGATCTAAGTATATATTTATTTAATTTATTTAATTTTATTTCCAGCCAACAGGGGGACCACCTGTCATTACAGGCAGCCCCCCTGCTGGCAATGCAGGAGGCAGCTATCCCGGCCACGTGATTGTGAGGTCCTCGCAAAGACCTCACTCTCACATGGCCGGGGGGCACCGGAGGAGGAGGATCTGCCGCGGGGGGGCTCCCTGGGACCGCTGGCGACCGGGTAAGTAAGGAAAGACCGGAGGGCGTACTATTACGCCCGGCGGTGTTTAGAGCCGCCTAAAATAGGGCGTAATAGTACGCCCTCCGGTCTTAAGGGGTTAATGTTGCGGCTGATCAGTGTATGTATACATTTTGGAAGAGCCATTGCTGTATGGCGAGTCATCTGAAAGCCCCAATACACAAGTGGGCAATGTGTAGGTGTATAGGTTTCTGAATGTGTGGCTGTTCCAATGTGGGTATCTATGTGATGGCATCACAGCACGGACAGACCAGAGCAACACAAGAGCAAAACACCATATTATCCCCCCTCATTCTAATTGCATAAGCGTTAATAAGTTAATAAGTTAATAAGTATTGTTTGCTATATAAATGAGAATATCATTATACAGTTGCAAGAAAAAGTATGTGAACCCTTTGGAATGATATGGATTTCTGCACAAATTGGTCATAAAATGTGATCTGATCATCATCGAAGTCACAACAATAGACAATCACAGTCTGCTTAAACTAATAACACACAAAGAATGAAATGTTGCCACGTTTTTATTGAACACACCATGTAAACATTCACAGCGCAGGTGGAAAAAGTACGTGAACCCCTAGACTAATGACACCTCCAAGAGCTAATTGGAGTGAGATGTCAGCCAACTGGAGTCCAATCAATGAGATGAGATTGGAGGTGTTGGTTACAGCTGCCTTGCCCTATAAAAAACACACACCAGTTCTGGGTTTCCTTTTCACAAGAAGCATTGCCTGATGTGAATGATGCCTCGCACAAAAGAGCTCTCAGAAGACCTACGATTAAGAATTGTTGACTTGCATAACGCTGAAAAGGGTTATAAAAGTATCTCCAAAAGCCTTGCTGTTCATCAGTCCACGGTAAGACAAATTGTCTATAAATGGAGAAAGTTCAGCACTGCTGCTACTCTCCCTAGGAGTGGCCGTCCTGTAAAGATGACTGCAAGAGCACAGCGCAGACTGCTCAATGAGGTGAAGAAGAATCCTAGAGTGTCAGCTAAAGACTTACAAAAGTCACTGGCAAATGCTAACATCCCTGTTAGCGAATCTACAATACGTAAAACACTAAACAAGAATGGATTTCATGGGAGGATACCACAGAGGAAGCCACTGCTGTCCAAACAAAACATTGCTGCACATTTACAGTTTGCACAAGAGCACCTGGATGTTCCACAGCAGTACTGGCAAAATATTCTGTGGACAGATGAAACCAAAGTTGAGTTGTTTGGAAGAAACACACAACACTATGTGTGGCGAAAAAAAGGCACAGCACATCAACATCAAAACCTTTTCCCAACTGTGAAGTATGGTGGTGGGGGCATCGTGGTTTGGGGCTGCTTTGCTGCGTCAGGGCCTGGACGGATTGCTATCATCGAAGGAAAAATGAATTCCCAAGTTTATCAAGACATTTTGCAGGAGAACTTAAGGCCATCTGTCCAGCTGAAGCTCAACAGAAGATGGGTGTTGCAACAGGACAATGACCCAAAGCATTTACGGAAAACAACAACAGAATGGCTTAAACAGAAGAAAATACGCCTTCTGAAGTAGCCCAGTCAGAGTCCTGACCTCAACCCAATTGAGATGCTGTGACATGACCTCAAGAAAGCGATTCACACCAGATATCTCAAGAATATTGCTGAACTGAAACAGTTCTGTAAAGAGGAATGGTCAAGAATTACTCCTGATCGTTGTGCACGTCTGATCTGCAACTACAGGAAATGTTTGGTTGAAGTTATTGCTGCCAAAGGAGGTTCAACCAGTTATTGAATCTAAGGGTTCACATACATTTTCCACCTGCACTGTGAATGTTTACATGGTGTGTTCAATAAAAACATGGCAACATTTCATTCTTTGTGTGTTATTAGTTTAAGCAGACTGTGATTGTCTATTGTTGTGACTTAGATGATGATCAGATCACATTTTATGACCAATTTGTGCAGAAATCCATATCATTCCAAAGGGTTCACATACTTTTTCTTGCAACTGTATGAAGAGAAATAGAAGAGAATCTACAAAACTTCTATAACTCATTCAATTAATTCCCCAAATCAAACTGAAAATGAATTCCTAAAATGACTTGTTACTTTCCTGAATGGTAAACAATAAACTCAATTCATCATTTTACAGAAAGCCTACAGACAGGTACAGCTATCTACACAGCTCCAGCTTTTCATCAAAATCACAAACAAAGTAATCATTTATAGCCAAGCTTTCAGATTCCACAGGATTTGTTCTCATAGAGAAAACCATCATAAACACATCCATACATTATAGGACTTATTTAAAAAAATGCAGTTGTAAAATTTCTAAATAACTAAATAAATGCTGTCCTGCAAGTACCATTTGCAGAATTGTGACAAGACAGAGACGAGATGTGTTGTGCTACTCACAAAAAGTGTCCAAGCAATCTTTATCTTGTTACATTATTCCCTCTTCTCCTCTTTCCTGTTTGTAGTATGTATTTTATTTTTAAATAAGAGTGGCTCCGTGATTGTGACCTTGGCTTGAGTTTAGAATGGCCCTTATTTGTTATGCTTTTTTTTTTTTTTTACAGAAATGAGAAAACCACCACAAGGGCCCTTTTAATAGTAACTCTACGTTTGAAATCGTCTGAAAGCAGCAGTTGTAAGGTCAAGATATTTTTCCACAATTTCGTGGCATTTGAAAAAAAAAAAAAAAAACTGAGGCAACCTCCCCACCCCCAAAAAAAATATATCCACACGTAACTAGCACAGGAATAGAACACAGAATGGCACTGGTTCCAGCAACAAAACAGACACCACATTTTATCTTACTCACTACATTCTATCAAACCACAAAAACATTTCACTCCATGTAGAGACCATTTGACCAGCTGGATCACACAATCTAAAACTTAAAAATACTTTGACAAAAACTATACACATACTACAGACATCACACACATCCACATCGCCATGCACAAGAAATAAAAATCGCAAAAAAAAAAAAAATAAGCTGTCCTGCTAAATCTAAGACTAAATGCATATTCTGCATTTTTACTACATTTTATATAGCTTACATTTATATTTACAATTCAAAATCCACTTTTATGTATGCGGACAGATTTGTACCCTTAAAACCTTCAACCCCTTATTGAACCTATTACATCGTCCAGGTTCATTTTTTACCTCTGATTTCTTCATTTTCTCTCTCATTCTGTCTGTGTCTTCATTTAATTCCTTAATCTCTGCATGATATTCAGCTATTTTGGCCTCAAGCTGCTGTATTTTCCTTCTTAGCTCTTCGTTCTCCTCCAATAATCCTTTCACTCTTTTTTCACATTCAGTTTTTATTCGATTGGCTTCACTTTTCTGTACAGTAATATCCTTTGTACTCTATTGGAGAAACGGAATGCATATAAAAAATAAAATGCATATACATCAGAACAAAAAAATAAAGTCACCTTGACCTAGAAATGATAAAACTTTACTAAGAACCAGAACCAGACAACAAGGATTATTTACCTCTCCAGGTTCAACATTAGTTAGAACAGACCCCCTGGCAGTAAATATATGATTTATTGTAAGTGGCTATGGCATTACTTACCTGCTGCCCCTTGCACCAGTGTTGCTATTCTCAGAGGATTTGTGGGTGTTACACGGTTGTAAAAACTACCCTCTGCTGCCTCTCTTTCTCTGCAGTGATTGGCAAGGTTCGTGGACATTTTTCCAGGGCAATCATCATCAATGACATTCTAACTTTCCTGCCAAAAACATTGGCAGAAACAAAAAATAAAAAAAAGAATTGGCTACAAAACAATTATGGAGCAGAAGTTTTATTAGGGGATTAGCCCCTACCTGAGACAAGGAAGTTTTGGGCTTCTAACCTCCTCATAAAACTTCTGCACCTTAACAGCTGTGTAGCTGTAGGCCTGTTCTTTGCTTTTTCAGCATTGCTTGTGTGGTTTGCGCTTTAGCTGGTGGTTGCGTATGGCTGCTCTACTCCAGTGTAAATTCCCTTTCACAAGAGCTGGGAGGAAGTGATCTGAGATCACTTCCACTTAGTGCTGCAATTGTCCTTCATCACCTGAAATCACAACTGTTTGGCAATGGCTCCCTTGAGTGCCATGCAAAGGCAACTCAAGTGCCATAGGTTGCTGACCCCTGCCCTATATTCTCCATTCCAAGGTCGAAAAATGCTTACTGGGAGAGTAGCACAGTGACCGGGAGCAGAGAATGTCTACAGGACAGTTCTCTTGGTCTTCTCAGTCACCCAATACTCTGGTCAGATCTTCTGTGTCACTAGTGCAGTTAATCGAAAGGTATAGGAGGGACTATATATACACTATACAATATATAGAATAACTATAATGCGTTAACAGACAAGTAAACACAGTCAGTAAACATATATAGGAGTACAACTTTTTACCCAGGGTTTAGCTTAGTATTTAAAAAATGCAAAAACATTACTTTGTTAATTCTTCTAATGGATTTGTAGTATTACTTAGATATAATACAGTTCAATTCAATGTTCAGGGGTTTACAGTCACATTACAAATTGTATTTTATCGGTGTAAATATAAAATACCAGGCTAAACGTATAGATAATTGTTCACTAAAATAATGTGACATTTACATTTTGGAACTTCTTTGCGAAAATACTACAACTCATTGTTCTGTAAATTATCCTTTTTCATGTATCATAAGACAAAAGGATCATTGCATTTTCAAAAAAAGAGTCAAGGTCTCACAAAAAGTCAGGACCCCTTGTTTGTTGTGCAACATTAGAGAACACTATAGCTCCTTGTAAATAGAATGTGTAATACTTAAAGATACTATCCACGCGAATAGAACTTTTTCAGAGATATCAAAAGGTATATTCAGGAAATGTAACAATATTTATAATTAAAAAACAAACTGTCAGTCTGTGCACAGATTAAGCACAATCCAGAATAAAGAAGTACTTTGAAACTTGACACCTGATTGGCGCCTTACAGCAAGCATGTCAGTCAAAGAATAGAAGAAAAGGGAACTCAATAAGGAAACAATGAATGTGGGTGCCATAGCTGACATTTATTCAATGGGTGAAATGTGCCTTTTACATAATCAGCAGGAAGATGAACAGACAGGTTTATTAAGAGCTACAAGAGACAAGGAGACAGCGTTTGTCTGGATTTGTAGCTGGTGAGTGTGCATGATGAAATCTATTAAAGGGCAACCATCTTTAGTGTAGAAATAACAACTGAATAAAACATTAAACATCACTTTTATCTTGCGGTATCCTTTATGTGATGCCTTGTTTTCATGTAAATTTATAATAAAGATTTATCAATTGATATCACAGTTGAGTTCTGATGCTTAGTTCCAGGATAGAACCAAATGGATTTCTTCTTTTAAATTGTATTTTTCACAACTCACAAACACCTGCAATAACCTGAACTTCTCCTTACACATAACCCTGTTCAATGTCTTTGTTAACGGGGCTCTGTTTTGGTATTAGCAGAACAGAAGGCTGCACAACAGGGTCAATGTTGGCAATGGGAACCTAGATCAGAGTTCTGTGCAGACTGACTAAAGGCTCTGGTGAGGTTTTTGCATAATTAGCATGTGGTAACCCAGAATCCCTTGCAGTGATAACATCACTGCAAATTTGAGATTTCTGTGGGAAAAGCAAGTCTTATGACTTGACTGGTGTGCAGATCTGTGTTTAACAATGTATTGACTATCCACTGACACCAGGTTGAAGTGGTTTTCAATCACTTTTTTCGCTCCACCATAACTTTCTTGGTTTGTGCTCTGCAAGCAACGCCAAGCCTTACTAGCAAGTCAGTAACCAACCTAATGCTGGTGAGTTGTATTAAAGGACCACTATAGTGCCAGGAAAACAAACTAGGGTCCCACTCCCGCTGGGCTGAAGGGGGAGGAAGGGGGTTAAACACTCACCTTTCTCCAGCGCTGGGCTCCCTCAGCGCTGGGGACTCTCCTCCTCCTTCTGACATCATGAGCCGCGCGCGCATTCAGCCAGTCCACAGGAAAGCATTGTCAATGCTTTCCTATGGACACTGACGTCTTCTCACTGTGAAAATCACAGTGAGAAGCGCGAAAGCGCCTCTTGTGGCTGTCAATGAGAAAGCCACAAGAGGCTGGATTAACCCATATGTAAACATAACAGTTTCTCTGAAACTGATATGTTTACAGCAAGCAGGGTTAATCCTAGATGGACCTGGCACCCAGACCACTTCATTGAGCTGAAGTGGTCTGGGTGCCTATAGTGGTCCTTTAACAATAAAACAGCTGTCCATGAGGAGATCACTGGCTTTGTATCTCTTCCTCTGTTGTGTTTCAAAGCTGTTGTATACAGCAAAAAACTCCAAGGAATCCATGTTCAAAATGGAAAAGTTAGACAAAATGTGATTCTTTGTTGAATTAACATATGCCAAACCTTACTGCAAATTTGAGATTTCTGTGGGAAAAGCAAGTCTTATGGCTTGACTGGTGTGCAGATCTGTGTTTAACTAAAATCAATAGATCAGATGAAATTTATATCTTGCAAATAAATTGGTTCCCAGTCCTATTCTAGCAGGTGTTTTAACAAAAACAGCACCTCACGGTACATCATCTTTAGACCATCAACTGCCAGAACTGAAATGGAACATAAAAATGAGTATAGTTCTTCTATCTGCATAAATCATAGCATTTAAATCTGTACTTTTGCTTTCTACAAAACTGTAGAAATTATTCTTCCCCGTGGTTTAATTTTTGATTGGGTCAGGCAAGTCATCACTAGAGAACAATTAGGATTTTACTTTATGAACAATGTCAATAGATATACAATTGTGACCTTATGAAATCCCGAGTTTGAACCCCAGTCTGACCACCTCACCAGTAAGTATCCTTAGGCAAGATATCCAATGATATGTCTACCTACTTCGTATTCTCACAGATTATAAGCTTTTTTTGAGTGGGGCCTTCTTCAGCTCCAAATATACCCTTTCTATAATTGTAATGTGCTGTGGAATATGTTGGTACTATATTAAAAAAACAAAACAAAACAAAACAAAAAAAAGCATGCAAAATGCTCATGTGAATATGGCAACTATGTTTAACTGTAAATAAAGTCCTGAAGATGATATGTTATCATCCATCTAACAACTAAAGACTGAATAATGCATGCATAACACAGCTCTGAGAAATGAGTTGGGGTTGCTCTATCGCTTGTAGAGGTAACCTGGCAGGCAGTTATGCATACTGTATATTATGGTATTAAACATTGGGTGTTGAACAGGTTCCCATTCAACTAGTCACACGTTCTAGATCTGAGTGGAGACCAACAGAAAGGAAAGTTAACTAAATTTTTCTCCATCCTGTTGGTCTCTTGCTTTGATGTATGAATTCTAAATGGGGAGTGGGACAGAGAGGGACTTAATGTTGATGCAAAGTACAGCAGAGGCATGATGCCTAGCCATGTGTTTAGTGAATATCACCTTTTACCACAAGTAAAGTTGAAAAAACATAAAATGAAGAAAAAGAAATATAATAAAGTAAAATATCTTAAAGGACCACTCTAGGCACCCAGACCACTTCAGCTTAATGAAGTGGTCTGGGTGCCTGGTCCAGCTAGGATTGACCCTTTTTTTTTATAAACATAGCAGTTTCAGAGAAACTGCTATGTTTACACGGAGGGTTAATCCAGCCTCTAAAGGCCGTCTCATTGACAGCCGCTAGAGGCGCTTGCGTGCTTCTCACTGTGAAAATCCCAGTGAGAAGACGCCAGCGTACATAGGAAAGCATTGTAAATGCTTTCCTATGAACTGGCTGAATGCGCGCGCAGCTCCTGTGCATTCAGCCGATGACGTCGCTAGGAAGAATGAGAGGAGGAGGAAAGCTCCCCGCCCGGCGCTCGAGAAAAGTAAGATTTTAACCCCTTCCTCTCCCCAGAGCCCAGCGGTATGAGTATGTGTTCCTTGCACTATAGTGGTCCTTTAAACTACACTATATAATTCCTGTATTGGATGATTCCATGGAGACAAACATGCTTTTGGTCCCCCGTTCAAATTGGGGAGGCACCCACAGAATGATTATTTTATTCCATCTTCCTGTGAGTGCAACTATTTAAAGCTCAGAAATGGTTATATGCATTATTGCACTATGTATCTTTTTTTGTTTCTTTCTTTCTTGTACATCTGTTTTTGACAGGATCCTATTTTCTTTTGTATTTGCATATCTAGAATACCTAGCCAGCCTATCAACCAGGGAAGCCCATGCAAAGCACGGCAGATACAGTCTTGTATGAGCAGAAATGTCTGGTCATGACTGAAGAAGGTATATCATGACACTTGCAGTGTCTGCATTTCCTGCAGAATGTTCTCAGGTGGAACCAGAAATGGTACACCGCATGAAAATACCTGGGACCACAAAACAAGGAAACAGACAGAAAAAACAAGGGTCTAGTATCTGCCAGATTCAGCACAATTGGGAGTTAAATGCATAATTCAACAGTATTCCCTAACCGGTAATATTTCTGGACCCAGGACTTGTGGAGTGCATGAAGACTAGAGTAGGATCACTGCAGACATACTGAATCATTCCACCACTAGAGAGGTGGTGCCCTCGCATCTTGTTCCAACAGCAAATTGACAGCTACTAGCACAGAACAGGGAGCCAAATAACTGGGGAGAGATGCGAGTGGAGTTTGGTTTCAGGAATAGGTTTTTTTTACAGCACTGATTCAGCCCTCTATTAATACTGTGATTGAGAGATAAGGTGTAGTTAATTTTAAAGAGAATTTGAATACAGAGAATATCATTATATAGGCTTAAATTGTCAACATTGTTTGCACTTACATTCTTTCCATTCAGTCTGTTTCCCAGTCCAACCGATCCACCCAGTAAAATTGCTAAAATACTTTCTGACTTAAGACGAGACCCAGGTACAATCAGCTCACTTGTTACATGCATATTATATATTATCAGTGAACTTGCCCTACAAGAAAGGCATCCAAATTCTTTGTCAGTGCTATTCACACTGGATGTGCTCTGTATAGGTGAGGAATTACTAAATTAAGGTATTTAAAGGGACACTCCAGACCGCCAAAGTCTGAAATTGGTACTTTTATAAATTAAACTTGTTACTCCCCTCTGACTGTCAGACAATCCATCTTGTTCCTTCCTGGTTTTGGTTAGCTCAGTGGAGCTAAACTCCAGAATCAGACAATCGCTCAGAGTTCCTGCTTTGCAAATATTTCTCATTGAGCTGCGTTAAGATGTTTGTAATTGGAAAGTCACAGAAAGTAAGGGCTGGGTTAGCAGTGAAGGGCTTGTGAAAGCTTCAGACACAATATCTGCAACTTTTTCAAGCAGTAAATGTAATTAAATGTATATATGTTTTTTTAGATGAATGCATGCATGTTTGCATTGGGGGTATATCTACTAAACATTATTTATTTTATTATTTGGGCAGTGGAGTGTAGCTTTAAGGATAGTTTTTTTTTTTTTTTTACAAAGCAAACATTATTTCTATAGCTCAGTAATCTAAGCTAAAGATTTATGACTATCAAGTTCAACCATCTATTGTGGTTATAAAAAAACACAAATAAATGAAAAAAAAAAAAAACACTCTACCCTTACAAGTATTTGTCTTGGTGCTTCCACACTCTAATTGTACAAGATAAAATAGAAGCACTTGTAGGTCTTTGCAATCAAACTGTTCCTATCTCAATCTGTGAAGTGTTACATATGAGATCAATGTCCCGACCCCACCTGGGCCTTTCTCAAAATGAAAATATAAAACTTCAATGCCAACTATATATGAGAGATACGGAATGTGACTTGGTAAGTAAGTCACTTTTCTTACCTTCTATATATTATTAGTTTAGGGATTTTATATAGTGCTTCTATACACACACACCTTTGTTATGATGGTTATTTTTAGCTATAGATACATTTCTTTCATTTACAATATTGGTGATTTACCTTCTTGACATTTCCTTTAAACATATCTGGGAACAATATCCAAAGACTGAATGGCCTACAAAGCTATTATTACTCTGACATATATGATAAAGAGAAAACATTTCTTAAAGTCATTTCCCTCATTATTGATCAGAAAAAAAAAACGACACACAAACACTTGAAGAAGAGCCTGATCAGTGAAACGATCTTGGGACTCTCAGTCCGTCCAGTCACTTTACTCATATTGTCATCTGACCAAGTTATACTTTGTTACTATATATTGTCTGACCAGCAAGGCTTTGCTTTCGTTACCGGTCACTACTTTTTTCATGTTTTTGTTTCCTCTCTAGTTTAACACAATACACAACTCAGCTGATTTCACCTTTAGTTCAGTTGCCTCTAAAGGCACATGTAGGTAAAGATTTAGCAATTCTCTGGGGTGGAATCTTTAATCATTTCTTGAGTGTTCTACTCTCTCTGCGATGTGCCTGTGCCTTTTTGATACTATTTGTTATACCGTGCCAATCAGCCTCACTTTCTAACAGTTTACAATGTAGCAATGTGTTGCCTAGTACATTAACATTGTGCGTGACTGTAACCCTCTCTCTCACCAGCCATTTAGTTACATTCACTTGTCAGGAAATCTGTCACTTCAAAACTGTTACATAACGAACAATAGGACAAGCAATCTATAGTTAAAACATAAAAGAAAACCAGTGTCAGGAATACAAACTCTCTAGTTTTGAAGTGACTCTTTAGGTAACTGCCCTCCATCCGATCCTAATAAAAATGTAATTTCACTCATCTTTTCTTCCATGCTGCTCTACCTTCATTGCTGAGATCATCCGTCGTGACAATCTCAGCCAATCTAATGCTTTCCAAATAGGATAGCATTATGAGGCATTTGCACATGTGCGGCAAAATGCTGATCCAAGCAGCATCTTCTCATAGACATGCATTGAATGACTACATTTCTATCGTAAATGTTTAGAGCATGGAGACACTAAATGAAGGTGCTGTACACTGTGCAGCACTGGACTAGGAAGCACCTCTAGTGCCGTCTGAGGGACTGCCCCCTAGAGAAGTTACTAAACAACAATGCAGGGACAAGCTATGGGATTTTTCAAGACGCAGCATCATTTCATGAAATTAAACTTCAGGAAGTGGCTCTCTAAAATGGCAATATTTGCAGGTGCAGGGTTAATGGGACAGGGACAGTGCACCCAGACTAATTCAATTAGATAATAGTGCTCTAGGTGCCTATAGTGTCCCTTTATAAATGTCGGATTTTTTTTTTCCTTTATAAAGGGACACTATAGTCACCAAAACAACTATAGCTTAATGAAGCAGGTTTGGGGTTTAAATCATGCCCTGCAGTCTCACTGCTCAATTCTCTGACATTTAGGAGTTAAATCACTTTGTTTATGCAGCCCTAGTCACACCTTCCTGCATGTGATTTACACAACCTTCCTAAACACTTCCTGTAAAGAATCATCTAATGTTTACACTTCCTTTATTGCAAACTCTGATTAATTTACTATTTCTGATCTCCTGCTCTGTTTATAGCTTGCTAGTCTCTGCAGTTCAATATACAGGAGATAACCACTTTTAAAGTAAGTTGCATCTGACTGAAAACAAAAGCATTTTGTTTTATTATTTACTTATTACTGCTATTTATAAAGCGCCAACAGATTCCGCAGCGCTGTACAATTTGTGGAGAACGTACAATGTACACAGACAAATACAAGAGGTAGAGAGAGCCCTGCCCATAAGCTGATATCTAGCCATTGGAGCTCTTTTATACAACGTGCTTAGCTAGATGGCCCGTGAGCTTACAATCTAAAGTTTTCATGCAAGCTGCGTTAGTCACAGCCATAGGAGGGTACGGCTAGGGCTCCATAAACAGAAACAAAAGTGATTTCACTTCTAAGAAGCAGTGAATTGATCACGGTACTTTAAAGGCCTGATCTATACAGCAAAACTGCTTTGATGGCTATATAGTCCCTTTAATAAGCTAGCTTAAAGGGGAACTGTATAGAGAATCCTCAGGTGTTGCAGAGAGTAAATTCCCCTTCCCAAGGCGAGAGGCCTGAGTGCACATGTATCCCTCTTAGCTCAATCCTGCATCCAAATACATTTACAAGCCATGGGCAAGGCAATAACATAAATCCATAAGTTCTGTATCTGCACTTGAGTTGGCAAGTAAATATTAGGCATAGCTAGCAACATAATTTAAATTATGAAGTCTGGTTTTATTCTATAAAATTATGAATTTAAAAAAAATAAGTATATAAAACATTTTGGAAACCATTTCTACACCTGTTAAGACTTTCATTTTAACATACTTTTGGCGCAGGCGGAATTACAGTAGTCTCAAAGTTTAGTGTGTTGTATATATATATTGCTTTAGTCTTATAAATCACAGCAGTGAATACAATGATCTGTGTGTGTCAGAACAAAGGTATTTAGGGAGTTTATTGCAAAGAAGATAAGCAAACATGTGTGGTCAAACATGTCAAACATACTTGGATCTTTAGAAATATTCCAGTAATGTAAACCAGTAACTGCACTAATCCTAAAGCCAGTCCATTTGTTTTGTGCTACCCAGAGCAGAGATAAATTCACTATGTATACATTACATTCTCTGCTCTTTCCTGCTAGAAGAGTAAATGTATCTATGTCTTAACACAGCCATTCCACAAAATCAATAGCTGTCAATGGATCAAGATGTGATACCATGACATTAAGAAATGCCAGTAGAAAGATACTTTTCTTTTAACCCCTTCACCCCCGAAACAAGACGGGAGTGCCTAATGAAGGACAATAGACTTTTACAAACAAAAGGAACAAACAAATAATATGAAATAACACCACACTTAACCAGCAACAAGCAGACTGCATTACAAATATATTAAAAAAAAATTAAAATACTAAAACATCACTAGCAACAAGTGCTGTTGCTATGGTTATTATGAACATTTACTATAATACATTACAAGACCGATTACAATACAAATTGACAAAACTCCTAAATCTTAACAGCGGTTTTGGTGCATAGATTATGTCCCTTTTTCTTTAACGTATGTAAAAAAAAAAAAAAAATTACAATTTCACAAAGACAGCAATATTTACTCGTAATTGCCAGACAGTCAGTAGACCTGATTTTATAACTCAATGTCATTTAACTCAACTCGTTTAAAAAAAAATTTAATTCCATATTTTGTATGGAATGTAGACCTTTCCAGGGCAAATTTTTTTTCTAAATCACACATTATTATATCATTTATATAGCGCCATCAGATTTCATAGCGTTGTACAAAGGTCAGTTATTCTGACTTTTTAACTGGGTCAGATTGCTATTTTAAAGCAACAGACCATGGCTAATGGGTAACACTATAGCATTTGGAATACAAACATAATCTGACCACTATAGTTTTCTTACGCCAGTAGGTGGCCGCACTCCCCTGCCCTTCCATCCCGCGGTTCGCAGGTTCATGCGAAGGCATGCTTCTTTGGCGGAGATGGCCAACTTGATGATCTCAGCCAATCTAATGCTTTACCATCGGAAAGAATTAGAAGTCTAATGTGCATGCCCGGGTACACTAAATCATATGCACCCATTAAGATATTAAAATCAAGTGAAAAAAATAAATGTTTGAAAAATGTTTTTTTTATTTTTTATAAACTAAATTTAGTCCTTTGATTCCCACAGCCTGTATAGAAACGCTCCAAGGTTACCCCTCATTCTTCTATTGCTTAGAATTTTGAACTATATTGCCACTTTTTATATAAAGCTAAAACATTTTTTTGCCTTAATTGTATTAGAGCCTCATTAAAGATCTTTCAAAGTTTAGAAAAGTGTAAAAGTATATTGTACATGAAAACTCCATAGAATTCATAGAGTATACGGCTTTTATTTATAGCATGCCTATTTGCCTCCTAATTACATCCCCATTTAGGAATGAAACATAGCAGAAGTCATTAGTCAGTTAGCAAATTTAAAACAATCATTGTATTTCTTCAACAAGCAGAAAGATGAACGTATGTAAAATATGCTAATGAGTCTAAAAATTCCATCTCCATTCAAACACAGCAATGGCATGTTACACAAAATATGTTCTCTTTATCATAGCCACAACAATCTCAATAGTCTGCACAAAGAGATGCTCACAACATGAATTAAAAATGGAGTCAGTTTTTCTCTAATTAGAAAGCACTCAACAGAAACTGGCTTTACCCATTTCACTGGGTAGGAGGAGGTGGAGAAGAATAGTTTTACTTTGACTTGGGTAACATTTTGGGAATAAAGGGGGGGGGAGGAGGAAGGGGGAGGTTCATCCTTAAAGTAACATTTGCATCTGAGTTGACCCATTTATTTTCTAATGCATTATAATTTATTAAATATGCAAAAATAACTTTAAAATAATACACTTATATACTTCTCTTATAAAATGACTGCATTTATTTTTTGTCCATTAAAAGATGGGGTAATTTTGCAATCCACCAACTAAAATTAACACCAAAGTACATAATAAATATATATATATATATCTTAATACAAACAGGAGCACTCACTTGGATTTGCCAATAGTGTATTAAAAAATGTTCATCAATCTACATCAACGTTTCGACCCTTCAGGGTCTTTATCAAGATAATGACAGTGCACAAAATATACAAATATATACCAAATATTAATTCTGAAACTTACCCCATCTGTGAAAAGTGACTCCCATTTTCATCAAGTGAAACCGCCGACAAACGTGCATGGTGACGTGGGCAATCACGTGCATGCGCGGAAACGTGACGTAACCGCGTGTAAACAAACCGTAACCATAGTAACCCGACGTATCCCAGTACTTATCGTGTTTCGCGGAGGAAAAAATAAAATACAATGACACATACCAAAAGAGTAGTAATACAGTGGTACAGTAGTAATACAGTGGTATTACTACTCTTTTGGCATGTGTCATTGTATTTTATTTTTTCCTCCGCGAAACACAATAGGTACTGGGATACGTCGGGTTACTATGGTTACGGTTTGTTTACACGCGGTTACGTCACGTCGCCACCTTTCCGCGCATGCACGTGATTGCCCGCGTCACCATGCACGTTTGTCGGCGGTTTCACTTGATGAGGAATGGGAGTCACTTTTCACAGATGGGGTAAGTTTCAGAATTAATATTTGGCATACATTTGTATATTTTGTGCACTGTCATTATCTTGATAAAGACCCTGAAGGGTCAAAACGTTGATGTAGATTGATGAACATTTTTTAATACACTATTGGCAAATCCAAGTGAGTGCTCCTGTTTTTTTATTATTGAACTTATTGGTCTGGAGGCACCCGGGTAATTTATTTTTGATTTTCCACGTTGGGGTTGAGTGACAGAGTCCGGACTCTCTCTCTCTCTCTCTATATCTATATCTATATCTATATCTATATATATATATATATATATATATATATAGTAAAGTAGACACAGCATACTCCCTACAAAGCATTCCATTACATTATCCTTGCACAAACAATACAATACGTGTGGCTAGATGTAAGATAAACTCCTCATGTCTGCAACTACTCTCTAAGATGGAGCTTATGTATTACCTTACAAATCAGCCAATGTGTTGGTGTTACAATTGTTTTTTTTGTTTTTTTTTTAATTAGCTTACAATTTTCAAATCTAACCAGCATTCAACTAATCAAACAAACAAAGCTCCCCAAACTGACAGGAAGTACAAAAATAATACATATTTAACTCTAAGGCAGTGCTAAATACACAGATCACAGAATGTTGATTGGCTACAACTCATACAAGTCTTTGAATACAATACATGGACAGAGGATTATGGGAGTTGAAGTACAATAACATGTATGACGCTGACGTTTGACAACCTTGTCTTAATGTGGTCCGATAAAACAGTACAGTACTGTTTAGAGCTTTCCCATCGTTGTAAAGTACAGTGATCAAGGTTTGAAACCATTCCAAACATGTGGAAGCAGGGGCCGGTATATTCATTACATCAAAGCCTCTCACTTGCTTTTTGACATTGAGTGAGCATGAGGCTTGGAGAGCCGACAAACACCATGTTCCCTCTTATGTGATTTTGGATAAATTCTAAAATGTAATTCCAAGTATCAATGCCATCATTCAGAGACAACCAGTTATTTTATGCAACCATCCGGACGTCATGCAGATAGAAAGGCATTAAGCTACATTGTGTTCGCTGCCTACTTACGGTGTTTCCCTATTAAACATTTTCTAACATTCCCCCATCCATACAGGCAGAACGTTATTCTCAGAAGAGAAACACATAGCACATCATTTATTACAACAATAGATTTAAATTTGATCACATATAGTCCGAAATGGACCCAAGTTAAGTGCATGAGACAAGTATATTTAGATCTTTAAATATATTACCTGTTGTGTGTAAAATGTATGTGTGTGTATATATATATGTGTGTATATGTGTTGGTAAGCTACTAAAAGTATATATACTTTGTCCTTGCACTCAGGCCGAACCAAAAAAGTATAAAGCCGGGTGCTTTTAAGCCTGAGCCATCAAACAAACAATTGAAAAAAGGCTTGCACTCACGGTCTTGCAAGAGTGGAACAAAGGTTGCTTTATTCAAATAGTTGCCATCACCACATCACACCAACGTTTCAGCTCTCGTTCGGGGCTTTCTTCAGGATGAACAGATGTCAATTGTGTGTGTGTATATATATATATATATATATATATATATATATATATATATATATATATATATATATATATATATATATATATATATATATATATTTATTAACAATGCAATGATTTGTGGACCCAGGACATGCTTGAAAACAAGAGAAATCTCAATGTATCCTTCCGGGTAAAAATATTTTATAAATAAATATGAAAGAGTTTAGCACCAAATACTTATACCAAGTTAAAGTAAAATACCTATACCAACTTACAGTAAATAGGGTGGAATGGTTTATTTTATTTTTTGGTATGGTTTTTCCTAATTTGGTAATACGATGACTCATTTAGTAGCTTACCAACACCTTACTTTTGTTCTGTTGAGCACTTTCTTTATATGTGTTTATTATATTGTTATTCTCAGACTAGCAGCAAGCTAAGAGAGGTACATTTAGAGTACTTGTATCAATAACAGGTGCATGCAAATTTAAGTATCATCAAGTAGATAAATGTATTAATTAGTTTTAATATAAACATTGTGGTTTTGGCTGCAAACTGGTATACCATGTGATGTAATGTGTAGCTGGAAGGGCCAATCTTCTGCTTAATAGAATTGGTAATTACTGTAACTGTTACTCAATAGACTCACCAGTAATCCTTCAAGCTCACTTAAAAGTAAAGAACCAAACAGAAACGGCCGTGAGTGAAACATCAAACAGAAGCATTCCAGACAATCCACAGACAATCTGCAGTGGATCGCACAAGTGGTTCTGTTTCTTAGAATTGTGTGTGTGCTCTCATTACTGGGAATTAGAAGGTCAAACAAGCAAACCTTGAGAATCCAATTTAAAGGATTAGATTATTAGACTTCAATGACCATAAACATCCTGTAAAAATGTCAGATCCCACAATTTAGATGGAGGTCACAACAACCAAAACAGAGTAAAAGGGAGATTACAACAACAGCAACTATTTATGTTCACTGTATAAGGAAAGGTGCAATGAAGAATGCTTAGCCCCACCTCTTACCAGGTACAATTTGCATTAAAAAAAGAGAAAAATAAATAAACAAAGGAGAAGCTATAGTCCCCAGCTCCAAACGAGTGATGTCATGGGGGGGATCATGACTAACCTGTGCAGGTTCTCTCATAGCTTTCTGTGACAGATCCTGCACTGCTGTCACAAAGAGAAAGGCCACAAAAAAACAAAACAACCTTATTTATAAAATTTAACACCCTGCTGAGAATAGGTTTATGGGATAGAACTCAAACATTTACATAGTGTGTTAAAGTTCGAGTTCTATTCCATAAACATATTGTCAGAAGGATGTTTGTGATATGTAGTTAACCTCTTATTTATTTAATTCCTGCAAATAAAAGCTTAAAAGCTTTAGCCATGTTCCATTTTTCTAAACCCCTACATACTTATTGACCCTTAATATGGAACACATGGGATGGGTGGCAGCATTGTAATATGGCTCTGTGAATTGTTAGTGTAGGACCCACCTAAGAAGTGTGCCTTTATGTGGCAGGTGGGTTTACATCTAATGACCTTTAGAGTTACTAAATAACCTCCATTTACTTAAATATGCATAGGGATATGGACAAGTGTGCAGTAAACTTATTTCTTTGGTTTTTATTATATCCCAGTGTAAGCCTTTTAAAAGCAATATCAAAACATTGTGATAATCTGCTACACAGATTGACATATGGAAAGGATAGTTGCCTTCAATTCCTGTAATTGTGTAACCGACTACGTCAAAAGCAGGAATGCTATGCATATTTCCACTTCGATAAACACAGTGTATGTTTACATTTTCACTATGTAAAACCATTTATATCTTCAGGCAAAAGTAACAGGTGCATAAACAGAATACAGGTTTGACACTTCCTAAATTAACTGGCTACCCTCAGTGCATACCTCCAAACACCTCAAATGCAATAACCGGAACCTCACTAAATAGAGCATTGTAGTGACCTACAAGCCTAATTGAAGAACAAAAATGTATTTATTTATAAAAAATAAAAAATAAATAAATAAATTTTACCAGGAAGGATACATTGAGATTTCTCTCATTTTCAAGTATGTCCTGGGTCCACAAAAATCCCCAAATCCCAGAATAGCAGATTTGGAAATCCAAATTAAATTAAATTCTCTGCATCCAGTGTTTAGAGGATAAATCCATTATTTTATTGAGTTTGGAAAAGCGGCAGTGAATTACAGATGATTATTATCGCCATTTATATAGCGCCAAAAGATTCCGTAGTGCTTTACAATATTATAAGAGGGGGGATGTAACAATTACAGGACAATTACAAGAAAACTTACAGGAATGATAGGTTGAAGAGGACCCTGCTCAAACGAGCTTACATTCTATAGGATATATTTTAGGGGGATATATATACATTAATATTAAAGGAAAAGTTTAAAATTTTCCTCAAAAGGGTTTATACATACATTTGCTGAAATTTAAAAATAAATTATATGTTGATACAGTTTAATGAACGTTGATTGTTAGGATCCTTAGAATAACCCTCTGTTTATCCATGGTACAAGGTTAAATATTGAGAACTTGTGCTGTATTTAGTACAATAATATGTAAATATAAGAGCGAACCTTAAATATTTCAGAGTTATATTTAGAAAAAAAGAAACCGAAAAACACACAGACCCACCTACTGTGACCTGACAAAAAGCAAAGGTCTCTAATGGAAATGCCAATAGCCTTGTTTCGATGAGTTCTAACCTAAACTGGGAATTTCTTTGAACAGCTAAAATACACAAAGCAGATTAATGATTGACTGTTCGTGTTCACCAAACATTGTGAGTTTCACTGATTTCATATACTTTGTCTTTTATCACTTGTTATGGACATTGCCAACAAGGAACCAAAGGATACATCACTCTACTGTGGCGGGGAAAAGGTTAACTTTAACCTTGCTATTTGCCTGGGGCAGGGCTTGCCAACAAAGAGCAGATCCTCTGGTGGTTCTTGCCCAATGTTTTTGCAGAAACATCAGCATAGCAAGTTTTAGGTACACAAGATAAGAGATAAGCCGTGCGCAAACCACACCCTTACAGATATGAAATTATGGAACAGAATAGAAAAATCAAAGGAAAAAAACACTTTATTTTTCGGATTTTGAGGAATAGAAATTTTTAACGTTTTACTCAAGTCCTCAGCTTGAATGCAGAAATGTGTGCATCAGTTTTGATGTTTTATTAAAGGACCACTCTAGGCACCCAGACCACTTCAGCTTAATGAAGAGGTCTGGGTGCCAGGTCCAGCTAGGGGTAACCCATTTTTTTTATAAACATAGCAGTTTCAGAGAAACTGCTATGTTTATAAATGAGTTAAGCCTTCCTCCAAAGCCTCTAGCGGCTGTCTCATTGACAGCCGCTAGAGGCGCTTGCGTGATTCTCACTGTGAGAATCACAGTGAGAGCACGCAAGCGTCCATAGGAAAGCATTGTAAATGCTTTCCTATGCGACCGGCTGAATGCGCACACAGATCTTGCCGCGTGTGCGCATTCAGCCGAATGGGCGGAGAGGAGGAGGATCGGAAGACGAGAGCTCCCCACCCAGCGCTGGAAAAAGCTAAGTTTTAACTCCTTTCCCCTTTACCCTCAGGGTACTATAGTGCCAGGAAAACGAGTATGTTTTCCTGGCACTATAGTGGTCCTTTAAATACAGGCTTATTTTTCCCCTCCTTCTTACATGGTGCCTTAGCCTAGTTAGGGAATGTTTTTACACTCTAGGTTGTACAATTGTTTTTTTTGTGTGTTTTTTTTTTTCTTCCTCTATACCCAGAATTGCTGGATTAATGACGATTTCTACCTGAGCATCAATGAGAAAGCAAACCATTATGCTATTAGAGAAAATGTAAAATGCTTGGCTTAAGGACCAACCACTAAGCAGCTATTTATGGGAACATTCCAAGCACCAAAAGCACTACAGTGAACCCTGCTCTCCTCACCCCCCCCACTAGGGCCAGATTAAGAGCCCAGTGGGCCTGGTGTTGACTATTATGATGGGCCTTATTACAGAATCTTATCGACCAAAAACACAAACAGTCATACCTCTCAAGCGTCATGTATCTGATGGAGATGGTGTTGGAGGGAAGCTCAAAGGATCTTTAAAGTAAATCCATACACCCTAACAGCAGTGTCCAGTGAAGCAGGAAGTCAATGGGCGGGGTAAAAGGATGGGCCACTGATGGGAATCACGTGACCAGAACTGCCAAAAGGGGCGAATATGCCCAAAAAGGGAGCATGTCTTTCCAAAGAATTGGAAGGCCAGCCTATGTATCACAGTGTCAGTGTACCCATGTCGCCCAGTCCTCTGGTTTCCCAGTGTCTCAATATCCCCATGTCCCAGTGTGTCCTGTATTACGAGACACTTGGGGACACTGGGGGACATGGGCGAACTGAGACACTTGGGCACACTGGGAGACATGGGGGCACTTGTGGATACAGACATGGGGACACTGGGAGACATGGAGACATGTGGACACAGACATTTGAGGACACTGGGAGAAATAAGAACACAGACACTAGGGGCACAGAGACATGGGACACAGACACTAGGAGACATGGGGACAAAGACATTTGGGGACACTAAGACACTAGGGATACTAAGAGACATGGGGAGACAGACACTAGGGACACTGGCTGGGAGGCATGAGGACACAGACACTTGGGGACACTGGGAGACATGGGGACACAGACACTAGGGACACTGGGAGACATGGTGACAAACACTAGGGACACAGACATGGGGACACAGACACTGGGAAACTAGAGGACACTGGTAGCAATTGGGACACATAGGGACACTGGGAGAGAGTGTCTCCGTGTCCCAATGTGTCTCACAGTGTCCCCTGGTGTCACAGTGTCCCCTAGTGTCTCAGTGTCCCCTAGTGTCTCAGTGTCCCCTAGTGTCTCAGTGTCCCCTAGTGTCTCAGTGTCCCCATGTTTCCCTGCTGCCTTTCCCTTCATCCCTCACTTCCCTGAGCTGTAGTCTGTCTCTGCAGGCTGGGAGCTGCGGTTTGAACTCTCTGTGCCGTGTAGCTGCTCCCCCGCGGATTAGTGAGTAGAGAGAGGCAGGGAGGTATATGCTGTAACTTCCTATCCCTGCCTCTCTCCACACACAGTGATCCCTACTGACTGGTGCTAGTATTACAGAGTTATCTCAGTTTATACTGAGAAAAATATCTGCATTTGTATTAACGGTATTACTGCAGTACCAGAACGGCCAGGCAGCCTCAAATACCAGTCAGGTGGCAAACCTAAGAGTAATTTGTTTTAAAAAAAAATACAAAAAAAAAAAATGGGCCTATTCCATGGGCCTGGAGCTGCAGCTCCATCAGCCCCTATGTTAATCCGGCCCTGCCTCCACCACTCAACTACAGCTCAGTGAGATCCGGACACTCTTGAGACACACGCCAGAAGTGCAGGGCTAGTGGAGTGACAAAGAGCATCATCTGATCTCTGTTAGCCAATTATTTAAACCCAGTATAGCTATGAGTTTCAGACTGGCCCTGAGCAGTAGCAAAGTCGGGAAGTGGTAACTGGCAGTCCCCAGGTAAGACGTCAAACCATTCTCAAACATGCAGAAAGGTTATTATGCTTGGAATGCTCCTTTAATAACGCTTTGCGAACTTATTTTCACAGCAAAAGCCATCTGAAATGCAATCCACTGGATTTTCTAATATATTGCACGACTGAATTATATAATAGTTTGAAAAGAAACTTAATATTATAACCCAATGAATATCTTTGTACACAAATAAATCCTCTTTATAGAACTACAATGCTGCACTACTGAATTTCACAGTGCTAGTGAAACCTCCCCCCACAAAAAACAGAACAGGTTATTTCACAGATTTCCCAGATTATATTCATTTTCATTCATTTTTAAGATTGTGCTTATAGCTGTACCAATACAACCCTCAACATATGAATTGTTACAGAACACAGACTACACCTAGTAAAAGTAAAGAAAAAACACAAAAAAACAAAAAATACCAACTTTTCAAAATGGTAAATATTATAATTTCAAGTAGCACGTGGTAGTTTTAATGGTCCTTGGAGTGCCCTGGTTCCACCTTATGATAAATAGTCAAACCGGTTTAATACAATATTAAAACTTATTTGGGTCACCTAGGCTTCCGAACCCAGTCTTCTCTGGCAAGAGAGGCTGCATGTCGCTATAGAATTAAGGATGGCCAACATAGGGCCATGCTCATTTGCTGACACACTCAACTAGTGAGCACAGCCATCTTTTGTCCGATAGAGCAATCTGGCTCTCCCGATGAACAAGAGTAGATGCAGAGGAATCAGCATGGGTGCCCAAGGGACCCTAGTAAGTTGTCAAATCATGATAAAAGTTTGGCTACTTACCATGAGACCATGCCAAGCCACCTCTAGCACCACTGCCAGCAAGCTGTTTTGGTTATGGTGCTTGAACAGTCCTTTTAAATTATGATTGTTCACAATCCCCTGGATATTTTTGTATAATGCTTTCACATTAGAAAGAGCTGTATTAACTATACCATGGGAATTTCCAGGTAACGATAGTGCATTAATAATATACCTGCTATAAGGAGATCATCATGCTCATATCCATCCTTCCTAACATCCCATCCTGTTGTACTAACTCCATTCAGGATTATGAGAAAATAAATAAATAAAAAGGTAAAGCCAGAACACAACTTAAGTTCTAGCCAGTCTGTCATCACAGGTTATTTGAAATAATTAGAATGTGTAGAATGGGTAAAAATTTATGTTGTTACTCACCTCAATAGCTTCTTCCAGACTATCACGTAGCTTCTTAAGTTCTTTATCATACTGGTCTTTGAGTTTATCAATCTCTTGATCATGGGTGGATACCTCGTCCTTTAAAGCTCCCTTTAAGGCAGTGAGCTCACGTTCGCGCTTTCTTAATAGGTCTTCTTGCTCTTCTTTAGCAATCAGTAACTCATGGACACCTTGTTTCATTTGAATCAGCTCCTAAAAGACACCCAAGAATGCACAAACTGAGCAAACATAGAACAGTTTACCAAAGTACAATCCAAAGTGATGTTACTATACTCTCGATAGCCCATCATTCCTCGGTTCATTCTCTTTCTCCATATCATCCTCATATTTCTCCCTCCATATTCCTTTGGCACCTGTGGTCCTGACTTCACCCCACTCCCACTTTGTATACTCGCATAACATAGCTAATGGTATAGGTAATATAGAGGATGGTAACTTAAGAATCATGTGCTATATACAATATGGTCCACTCCTGTAACATAAGAACAGGAAACTGAAGCTATATTCGGCATAGGTGCCCCAAAATGGGACAGTAGAAAACCGTAAATATTTTTTTCTGAACTGCCAGATCTTGATTTTCTGCTGCAAATGGAATGGTTGAAATGTTATGTAAAAACACAAAGCAATGAATCAGTCCTACTTGGTGCCAAAGGTTCAAGATGGTGGAGGAAGTGGAATAGACTGTAAAATATTTGTGGCACATATTGGGCCTCTTAATGCCAACTACGCATTGTTTGAATGCCACAGCCTATCCAAGAGTTGTGTTTGATTACATGCATCATTTTATGGTCTACATAATATTATTCTGCATACTATCCCAATAACTACTGCCAGCAAGACAATGCACCATGTCACAATGTACTCACCATCTCAAGATGGTTCCACATGCACGGTAATGAGGTCGAGTGTGCTGCAACACCCCCATAGCAAATATCACTCAACTAATAACTACATTAAAAGCAAAAAATGTCGGTATAATACTTGATAATGTGAAATATTAAATATTTAAACTACTCTATGTTAACTGGTGTGCTACTTGATATTTTTTTTCGCACTATTTTACGTGTTATGTTCAGGAGCTAATTTTATGAAAACTGCATCAGTTTTGTAGACGCAACACTTTCATGTTTATCTGGGTTGAAAAACCAAAACAAAAACAAAAAAAGGCACAGGCCCATCAAGTTTAACTTTTCAAAACACATCTTTTCGAGCAGTTGCTCCAAAAGAAGGAAAATAAATTGAAACAATTTGAAGCAATGGCCAATTATGTCACAAAATAGGAAAAAAGGCTTCTTGACACCATAATCATATAATAGAAAACAGGTATATATGTAGAATATAATACATACCAAAAACATTAGGCAGCACAAGACATTCCAGTAGGCTAGGATAAATACAATTGATTGGGGAATGCAATATCTAAACATACAACGACCCACCGGAATAAAGCAACTCAAGCAGGTAAGGCATGTGTAAAACTAGTTAAATGTAAAGACGTGCAAATGAGCGAAAATGCAAATAAACACGCAGCAGAATGCTCGCTTACCATAACCTTTAGGCTTTATTCAAAAATACAATGTGCATGAGTATACCGAGAACGGACAGCAGCTTTATTCAAGCACTGGCCTTTTGCAGAACTCAGGCACATGCAAAAAGGATGCAAGAATAAAACATCAGATCGCAAACACATAATCAGTAAAACTTTAATGCGAGTCGCAGCTATATGCTCTACCAATGTAAAGACATAGAATGCTTCAATACCAGGTTTTCAAGGTTTGTGAATGGCCAAGAGTTTGAGAAACCTTTAATTCCATCCATAAGTAATGCCAAACCTGGATATGAAAAAAGTGGGATTGATAACGTGGTATTTGTAAAACCTTATATGTATATGCGCTAATCATTGTAAATCTTTAACATAATGGTCTGCTTCTTGCTTCTGCTAACGAACAATTCTATATTCCATGTTTTTTTTTTTTTTTTAAACATTAAGAAGAATTCATAGAACATAAACGAAAAGCAAAATGACTAATTTATAAAAGTTTAAAAAAAAAAAATTTAAATTCATGAACACAATATTTCCGTAAACATTTTACTACCTAGAGGGGTATTCAGTTAACACTGAATTGTAGTGATGTAAAAATTTAAATGACAAACTTTAGTCAAAAAGAGCATGTTGGCAACAGTCACAGCTGGTCTAATTTAGATTTTTTACAATCAGGTGTTTATTTAATGAACCCATTAGAGATTCCCCTTTATAGCCGCAGTGTTATTTTGTACCAATTCCATCATCTTATATGGATCTTTTGAAGACCATTTTCACTTGCAATAGGCTCCTTATCATTTAGAAGGATTAAGCGCCCTGTTGGAAATGGCTTTTTTTTTTGGAGGGGTGGACTGACTGAGAAGGTAATTCAGGTTTCCCCACTTACGTCTATTAAAGCTTCTCTCTCATCATCATCGACCACAGAGCTCTTGGCATTGTCCAGTTCATCATGCATTTCTGACAGCTGTTCCTGCAGGTCCCTTATCTCCGTTTGATACTGCTCTTGCTCCATTTTCAGTTCAAACAATCTGTCAGGAAATAATGAGCAGTTCTACCATAAACAAACATAGGGCATTCGGTTCCAGACACCAACTGGTAGATATAACATTAGTAAAAACATCAGGCTATCCATTGTACGTTCACACATGAAGAAAATATTAGGAGAGAAAGGAAATGGGATTTATATGAGTGTTATTATGGAGTCTTAATAAATATGATTATCAGACATACCTGGCATTCCAGTAAAACCATAATGAAAAGGCATGTTTAAATGCAAACGTAACCTACTTGACTCTCTACAGCAGGGGTGCCCAAAAGGTGCATGCAAAGCATTATGGGAGTTGTAGTTCCACAACATCTGGGGGATCTAGCTTTATGGCACCCCTGCTCTACAGGATATCAGAAAGCATAACAAAAATAAAAAAAACACAGGGGTAGAAATTACAACCTATTTTAATGCATTATGAGGTAGTGCGTTACAAAATAGTTCTTATTTAACGGAAAGAAAATGAAAAAAAAAAAAACATATTTGTATTTGATTAGCTTGCTGTACCCTGGAAAATATCCAGTCTTAACAGCAACCAGGAAGAAGCTGATATATTGCAGTCAATCACTGATCTCTTGTATTTTTCCTCATCAATCACTGTTGTCCTGACATAATACATGTGATTACTGTCTATAATGAATGCAGTGGCTTCCTGCAGGTTGAGCTTCCTGTCCGCCCGCACCTCACACGCCTCCCCCCTTTGTCAGACCCTGCATTGGCTTCCCGTAAGATATAGGACTCAATTTAAGATCCTGATACAAATCTCTACACAATGCTGCTTTCCTCATTAATACACAAATATGTCCCATCTAGGCCCCTACGCTCTGCCGGAGACCTACGTCTATCCTTTGTTCAGAATCCTACCTCTGCTGCTCGCCTTCAAGATGTGACAAGGGCTGCACCATTCCTATGGAATGCCTTTCCCCTCTCTGTTAGACTTTCACCCAATCTCCCATCCTTCAAAAAAATCTTTGAAAACTCATTTCTTTAGGAAAGTATATCAATTAAACTGGGAACAGCTTTCCCTCCCCGCACCCCGATCCTCTGCTGCAACGGGTATCAAAACAAAACACTAAGCCCTCAGTGAATACTATCCATGCAAACTACTTTTCTACCTTTACCTTACCATTTGTATCACTATACCCCACTCCCTCTAGCATGTAAGCTCATTGAGCAGGGCTCTCAATCCATGTGTGTCAAACTCGTCTGGTTACAAACACGTGTCAGTCCACCCATTGTACAGCACAATGGAACTTGTTAGCACTTTAGAAATTATAATAATATTAAGAATTGCAGTGCTTCTTCATATGAATGGTGGGTCATGCATGCGCGAATACTGTAGCCCAGAGAGCTTCCATCGACCTGAATTTAACTCCTGTAACCATGATGTGATAGCAATAAATGTGACCAAACTTGCACTAAGAAGAAGCTCATTCACATGCAGCCTTCCTTATATTCACAATCTTTATACTAATGGAAGTGTAAGAGGACGTACAGCTATTCAATCTGGGTTTTCTTCAGAGAATTACAGAAATTATAGTTCCATAACAACTAGACTGCTACATGTTGGTTAGTAGCTTAAGCATGCGTGGGATAGGCATAAGGCTATCCTAACTATAAGATAAGGCCAGGGACTAATGAAAGTATTTAGAAAATTGGGCAGACTAGATGGGCCGAATGGTTCTTATCTGCCGTCACATTCTATGTTCTATGTTTCTATGTTAAGTAGTTACCACTCATCTATAGCAATCCATCACTAAGAGCAATGAATTATACTAAAGTGCCTTACACATAAAGACATTTATTAAAGTGACCAGCTAAAAACTATGGCAAAATTAGAGCACTTAGTGGTGGCTGCTGAAGTTTAACCCCTTAAGGACACATGACATGTGTGACATGTCATTATTCCCTTTTATTCCAGAAGTTTGGTCCTTAAGGGGTTAAAGAGGTTTAACCCAATGAGACGTCCTACCCTGTTCAACACCATAAACTTACAGATACATATATTTGGGAAACAATGTCCACATCATCTGCTTTAAAGAGGTCAGGTCGATCCCCTGAAACTGTGACTCAATAACAGCTTAAGAAACCAGGCCAAAATGCAGGCCTGTTTTATTTTTAATGGATTCCAAGATCTAACAGCCCAATGCAAACCCATTGAGTTTACATGCAGTGATGGGGGTACATTTCAAAAATGCCACAAATTCTTGACATGGTTAGCTACTCACGCGCTCAGCAGCATTTCCAGATATTAATAAGGGGGAGGAGGAAACTTCAGAACGACAGACATGTAACATATGTTTATTTGCTCTTGTTGATACCTAGTCAAATTAAATTTTTTCCTTAAAGGGACACTATAGTCACCAAAAAAACTTTAATTAAGCAGCTTTTGTGTAAAGATTATTTCTCTGAAGTCTCACTGCTCAATTCTCTGCCATTTAAAGGACCACTATAGTGCCAGGAAAACATACGAATTCTAAACTAAACAGATTTTGCAATAAGTGTAAACATTGGATGACTCTTTACAGGAAGGGTTTGGAAAGGCTGTGTTAGTCACATGCAGAATGGTGTGACTAGGGCTGCATAAACAAAGTGTGGTAACTCCTAAATGGCAGATAATTGAGCAGTGAGACTGCAGGGCATGATGTATACACCAAAACTGCTTCATTAAGTTCAAGTTGTTTTGGTGACTATAGTGTCCCTTAAGCTGCAAAAAAAATACAAAATTATTAGGATTATATTTTAGAAGCTGATGGGAATGTTTAGCTAAAAGCAGTTATCATGAAACATATTTAGAAGAAAATTAAGTATGGTGGAGTTGAGTAGCCAAGTTCTACCTGAGCTCAGTATGCAAGAGCGGTTTTCTCCAATTTATTATATGTATTTCAGCATTGGGGCCATCGCATAAGCTTTAGCTACAGATGCTGAAAAGGGATAAAAGGAATAAACCTATGGAGTCTGGATCTTGCAAAATCATAGATTTCATGCGTGGTTGCCTATCTAGAGTAGCAACCAAGATGGCGGCTCCTCTTGCGCAGAGGAGCCCACTTTGGATATTTATTGCCTCTATGGTCAAAATAATTGTCTTGCTCTATACAAAACTAAAGGGGTTTGAAAAGAAAAATAAAGTACAGCCTGGTACTTTGTAACCCTGGGAAGGTATTATACCATAAGTCCTTATTAAAATGTATTTTGGAATGGCCTACAGGAAGAGATTCATTGGAAAGAATGAAAAAACTTCAGAGAAGGAATTTATGATCAAAAACACTAAGACGCAGATGCTTTTACACTTGCGCAATATCAATAAAACAAATGTTCGCTTTAAAAGGTCACCTTAAACTTTATAGTGTAGATGCTGGTAGAGGTCAGTAGTATATATATATATATATATATATATATATATATATATATATATATATATATATATATATATATATATATAGTTTATCTGTAAAGGTGACTCAAAGGTCTGGTTTTTATCTTATGTATTTAACAGCCAAAAATAATTATCACTGATCACCTCCATGCTGAACAAAAATCTACTATGTGACCAAGTATAAACAAAACAGGAGGTAAAAACCAACAAGTTACAGTACGGTATTGAAATATAGCATCTCAATACAGAGAATAAAAATTTATATAGCCATACAAATACTTTGAAAAAACATATGTGCTCTATTAGAGGAAAGACATTTGATATATTTGGTTAATCTTTTAAAATATTTTTATTCACATAAAAGAAATCTACATTTCAAAAATATCAAAATATGTTTTTACAAATATTACATTTTAACACGTCACCCAAAAATATTACATAATTAGAAAAATGTAACCAATACAATTCTGAATCAAGGCCCAAGTAAGAAAACCATGAATTGTCATAATTTAAAACAAATCGGTCACCTGGAAAAAATGCAGGTGTAACTTCCAGTTAGACAACAATCTGTAGGTTATCTTAACATTTTAGATTATACAAAATATATTTTTAGAGATAAATAATAAGGAAATATTATCATGTGCTCTCCCTTTAAAAATTAATAAATATCTTTATATCCTAGTGAAAAAAAAGTTTCAAACTCGTCAGTCAACTACTATGAGTTTTATATTCCCACCCTTTAAAGAGCTACTGAAAATAATAAAAGCAATAATAAAATAGAACTTACTCTTCAAGATGCTTTCTTAATTCCTTCTCGCTCTGGCCAAGTTTCTCCCGGAGGACAATATTTTCTTCCATACTCTTTTCAAGTTGTTCTTGAACATCCTTCATGTTTGCTTTGGTCTTAGATTTCTCTTCATAGTGGTTATCCTGATTCTATAATAAATGACAAAGGTTTTTTTTTTTTATTGTATATTGCAGACAAATTTACCATCACAAACACCTGTTTTATATTCTGGTCAAATGGCATCATGTTGAAACGGTTTCAATTCACAAGCATTCAAACGTTGACTTAATTAACAGAGATATTCTGTAGGGGGTCTAAGATGGTCCAAAATTTCATTTCAGGTTTGTTCTCATAAACCTACCCCAGGTGCTAAATTTAGATCAAGCAAAAAAGTTAACTATTTAAACTGTACATTTGCCATCCACGAGTAAAGATTGTATGAATGTTTTAAGGGTTATTATCTTAAGTTGTGAATTGAAGGGATTCCAAAGGGAATTTTTCATTTTTCGCAAGTATGTTTTCATTTGGGCTATTTTGTGCTTAAAAATTGAAACTCACTTTGAATTCCTAAAAATTAAATTGATGAATACTTTTTTTTTTTTTTAAACTGACTTCTGCTCAGCATTTAGAGCCTAATTTTCTTAATATCATTGGACTATACAGTGTATGTAGTACCTTCATCTGCTCATCAAGCTTCTTCTGAAGAACAACGAGTTTCTTTTCCAGTTCAAGTTTCTGTTCAGACAAAGTTTTAATGTCTAATGAAGGATCAGAAGCCTGCCAATATGGAAGAACAGCTTAACTTTGTGTACTACATTGATTGGAAAAAATTATGGCAAATTGCCTTTAAGGCAAGACAACAGTAGCAGTTATATTTTTAAACAATGTCAAAAATGAAATATCCAACTACAAATGTTTCAAATATATTTATCAGTATAACAGTTTTGAAGGTACTTGGTATTTTAATTAAGGTCTACTTTATTTCTGCATAATTCAACCTTGTACCTTTTGCGTCTTTAGTTACAAACACTGAACAATTCACTTGTCTTTAACTCTCCTTGTTACTCTACTTCTGAGACTTCCAGAACAGATCAGATTTCACTAGAGTAGATTTCTGTTAGGTTTGTTTGTTTTTTAACTTATTGGTGGAACCCAGAATGTAGGGAAGTGTGTGGCTTCAAGATGGGCATATCAGGCAGCTCTGCTCTTGCTTAAATAACAACTTTCATCTCCACAGTTTCCAGTTGTCACGTAATTAAATCTCAGTGGTTCAGTTTGCTAGTGAAGTTTTCAAGAATAACCCAGGAATCCAGGATGGCAGGACCCAGATCACAAAAATAAAATCGAAACAAAACATTTCATATTTCAGTAATTTCCCTACAGCAAAACTGCAGTTTCAATCAAATATTTAAAATGGAAAAGGTGTCGTGTGACAGCTGCCTTTGGGCATTATTACTAAAACAGTGTGTTTGGTCACAAGTTCAACAACATTTAAATTTTTTTGACAAAAATGGTAAGGCATGTAATTTGTCATCACTCAATGTCTTAGCCTCATATGTTAGGATACAGGTTTATTTTAGTTCAACTCTGTACATATTAGAAAGAAAAATAAGATCTGGTATGTACAAATGTCAGCCAAGTTTTGAAGCTTACTATGGAAGCTTTAAACAAATCCGTTTCCCTGGCACTAGAGAATCCTGGAGTACCCCCTCCCTCCCGCTGAAGGGGTTAAAACCCCATCAGCTACTTACCTGAATCCAGCGCTGATGTCCCTCGGCGCTGGATCAGACTCTGCCCATGCTCCTCCCCTGCCGACATCAGCAACGCATACTTTAGACCTCCCCATAAAAGGCATTATTCTAATTGAGGTTGTATATTGTACTGAGCCCAATTTAATCAAGACTGTTATTATTAAAGTCAAAATGCCCGTGATTAAAAAAAAAAAAAGCTTTATTCAATGTTTTCCCAAGGGGAAAATCTGACGCTGGAGGTCAGTGAGGACTATGTAACTGGGAAAACTAGGTTCTAATCCTGGTCAGACAACGTTTCCAGTAAGTGTCCTTGTGCAACAATATACGAGGGTTGTTTTAAAAGTAATGCCTGTCTGCTATTTGCTCAGAGACTCAAATTTGATGTTTACACCACCAGCGAGAGTTAACTCCTTCTGCATGACTGACATTATGTCTGTAATTCTAGGTTAAGGTTGAGCAGAAACAAAGTGCTGTCATAGAGCTCTTGCCCAAGGAAGGATGTACTGCTGCAGACATCAATCAAAGGCTAAGAAAATTGTATGGCTAGAGGACAATTGACACAGGCAGTGTGCAAAGTCAGGTGGAAAAGTTTAAAGAAGGCAAAAATAGTGTTGAAGACAAACTGTATAGTGGAAGGCCATCAACTCGAACCAAAAAAAGAGTGGACAAACGAATTGATGCACACCGATGTGTCACTGTCTGAGATTGTTGAGGAGCTTGGCTGTAGTCTCAGTGCTGTTTAGTAGATTATCCAAAAAACTGGGATAGTGGAACAGGTTTGCCAAGTGGGTTCTTTATCAAATAACAGTGGATTGCAAAAATGGGATGGTCAGAGGTGTCCCAATTTCACACCCTCTGACCTCTACTTGTTTGGAAGGAAAGTCTTTGTGGACAGCACAATCATGATGGAGGTGAAGTGATAGAACATTTTAGATGCTGGGTGAGGGAGTGCTCTAATTACGATTTCCAAAGTAGCTTTGACAAGCGGGTTCAACGTTGGAACAAATACATTGCCATTAAAGGAGACTATATTGAATAGCAGCATGCTGAAGATAACCAGTTACTGTACACATGTATGTAGTTCAACATTTCTCACATTGTTAATAAAAAAACTATTACGTGACAGACATTACGCTCAGTACAACCGTCATATAGTCACAATCCTCAGACTGTAAGCTGATTTGAACAGGGCTTTCTTTACCTCTAAATATCCCCTGGCTAGATTTGTAAAGAGCTGCAGAATATGGTGGGGTTAAAAAAATGCTAATAATAATTAGCTCAAATTAAGGACTACCCAAAGCATAGTGAAAAGTATAGGGTTTTAAACTAACCATTTTCTACTTGTGTGTGAACTCCTGTTTAGTTAAATGTAAATGTTTAATGGAATGCTACTGTACATTAAGGGAAAAATCAATTACTGATACAACAGTGTAGAGAAGGTACTAGGGGATGGCAAAAGCAGCATGCCGGCCTGGCGTACAATACACCAGTCTGACAGATAGCATCTCCGGCTAGTCCCACTCACAGATAACTATGTGCAGAGTGGTCTTCCATGGATTCAGTGTCATGAGGATACTGTCAGGATTACTGTTTGATCCAGCACGTAGAACTGTATAGCACGGCTGACAAATAAGTAACGTATTACCGGTCCTTAGAATGGCCGGATTTAACGTACATAGAATAGTCAAAAATACTAGCCGAGGTCAGGGAACACAGAAAGGGACACAGCGATGAGGAAAGCCAGGAGTCGGGATACCAGAATATAGAGAAGTCAATAAAAGCCAAAGTCAAAGTCAAAAACCAGGTAGAAAACTATAAACAGGAATGCGCTCTCGGACAACCACAAGGGAAACCACGACAGGGCACTGAGCAGGCTGAGAACTGGGCCTAAATACCCCTCCTTTAGATCTGATAGGCTGTAACCGGCCAGTTACCAGGTTTCATTTGCATAATTGCTGCTCAGCATTAACCCTTCTGTGGATTAGGTTGCTGCTCGGCACAACCTTTCCTGTGTGGACAGTAAATGTCATTAACCACATTTTTATAAGCGGATGAATACGTGACAGATACTCTGCACTTCACAACTGTGTCTAGTGATGACCTTTTGTGATGCTGATGGTGGACATTCCTTGTTTCGAGATGCCGTATACTATAGGACAAACGTAAGATGGTGACACAGGACCCTGAAATAGTGACAGCCCCACCAAATCTGGGACATTTTAGAGTATGCAGTCATTTACTTTCCTAGGAACAGAATAAAAGCATAAAATAAATGTCAACCATTCTAAGGAGGAGAGTTTGTGGTCGATGGCTATTTTTCCGTACCACCTATTTATACAGGAGTTAAAGGGCCACTATAGGCACCCAAACCACTTCAGCTTAATGAAGTGGTCTGGGTGCCAGGTCCAGCTAGGATTAACCCTTTTTTCTGTAAACATGGCAGTTTTAGGTTTACCTATGGGTTAATCCAGCCTCTAGTGGCTGTCTCATTGACAGCCGCGCTTCTCACTGTGATTTTCACAGTGAGAAGAAGTTAGCGTCCATAGGAAAGCATTGATAATGCTTTCCTATGGACTGGCTGAATGCGTGCGCGGCTCTTGCCGGGCATGCGCATTCAGCCGGTGACGTAAGAAGAGAGAGGAGAGGAGGAGGAGAGCTCCCCGCACGGCGCTGGAGAAAGAGGTAAGTTTAACCCCTTCCTCCCCCTAGAGCCCGGCAGGAGTGGAACCCTGAGGGTGGGGGCACCCTCGGGGCACTATAGTGCCAGGAAAACGAGTATGTGGTCCTTTAAAGGTCACACCGAAAACTGATAGTGAGGTTGTAGGGTGACACAGGCAGAATCATACTTGCTGTATTTTTCATGTACAAGAAGGGTTAACATAACTTCACGTACATAATGAAAAGGATAAGCTTTGGTACTTGTAGAGTAATACATGTTAATTCCTCTCAAAGTACCTGTCCAAAGATCCAAAGAATATTGGATACCAAGTAGAATTTTGAAATATTTGAGTACATGGATTATGGATCTAGATATACCGCATACGTTATATGGATCTGTTCTAATGGGTATATTATGAGATATAATGGCCCACACATTTCTTTTATTCTATAGCTAAAACTAACATAAGGAAAGGAAATTACAAATAAAATATTAATTGAACTCTGGCACATATAGAGTTAATAACTAACTACATAGGTGAAATCTAACTAAAATTACTCCTTTCATTCCTGCTGCTGAGCAAAACATACAAAAAACTAATTAAAATAAAATTACATTGAAAAAAATGTAAACTTCGCCTGTTTTTTACGGGGGAGGGAAAACAGTCTCCGTGTATTGTCCAGTTTTTGGGATCCCTGTTCATTTGTTTTTATCTACATTTAACAGTTTAATACACTTTTCTATTTCTCTATGTTTTCTGGAAGCACATTTTATATATATTTGTTATGTCCATTTTAATACAGGATGCATCTGCAAATGGATACTGCAGGACTGAATTTATTCCTGGGAATATCTGTTTCCACGTACATCCTGTAATCCATTAGAAGACATGCTTTGCATGTATTTTTTTAAATTGCTGCTTAGGCTTCCAGCTGAACCACTCAGTCTATTGCCACCACAGCTGAAGAGATGCAGTAAGCTAGAGTTAATTAAATAATAAATGGTAAATACATTTATATACACATGAGGCTGGTGGATACGTGGAGGGCATTCCACCCAGAGGAAAGAGACTACACATACTATTCCACCGTTCACAACAGGTACTCCAGAATTCTGGGGTTGCTGTATCTCTTGTGCAGAGAGAACTTGCTGGCATTTCGGATCTGGACTGCCCGTATGGGTGGGACCAGTCTGATATGCTTCAGATATGTTCTCTCTGTAATGGCAGAGTGTGAGTTTCTTGAGATTGTTGAGATGAGCTAAAACCAGCTTGAGTTCTGAGCAGGGACCTACTGAAGGGCAGGCTATTTTAGCTGCTGTCCATTCTCAGAATACTCTTGCGACCCATTTTTTGCTCTCCAGAATTGATTATATATTTGTGCAACAAGAGGGACTCCCGTATGTACAGAGAACAGACATCCTCACCACACCACAGTCAGACCACAGTGCAGAACCCCTGTTCAGACCAACTAGAACAGCGTGGCGACTAAATGATTCCCTATTGACGGACACGGTGACGAAGGCGAAGATTGCAGAACACATAACTCAATAATTTGAAGAGAACAGCACTAAAGACATGTCTACCATGATGATATGGGAAGCTCATAAAAGTGTGCTCAGAGGCCACCTTATCCGCATGGCTACCCAACAAAAGATCGGTCAGCAAATCAAGGAGCTCACAAGGCAGATCTCCGATTTAGAAATAACACACAAGCTAGACCAACTCGAACAGACCTACAGAACCTTGATAGCGACCAGGAGGCAGCTAACAGAGCTTTTAGAATGCAGACATGCGAGAACAATACAGCGATCTCGCGCGTTCTTCTATGTGCACGCCAACAAGGGAGGTAAGCTACTAGCACAGATGCTGAGAGGCACAGGTACACACACTGAGAACCACACGCAACAAGACTACACAATGTCCCGAGGAAATCGCAGACAAATTCAAAAGGTTCTACACAAAACTGCACAATACAAATGATGAAGGAGGTCTGCCACAAGACAGAGACACGACAGAATACCTGGGGAACTTCCAACCGAAAAGCTCTCACGCCGGCAGAAGAACACGGAAGGGGAAATCCGACTAGCACTAAAAGAAGCGAAAACAGGCAAAGCACTAGGACCAGACGGTTTCCCAGTGGAATATCTTAAGAAATTCGTCAGAGTGAATGGGGCCCTCACCGACAGCTTCAACATCAAAAACGGCACAAGGCAGGGTTGCCCGCAGTCACCCCTGGTGTTTGCCCTCACCCTGGAACCGCTAATGGATCACAAAAAGATGAGAGGATAACGGGTCTGTGATATAGAACGCACGAACACAAAGTTGCAGCATACGCGGACGACATGCTGTTCTTCCTTGAGAACCCACTAACCTCCACCACACAGCTAATGTTGGAATTCGAAAACTACGGACGCTTGTTTGCACTCAAATTGAATATCACTAAATGCGAGATCTTAAACGTCACGGTTCCTGAGGAGGAATGCGCACAGCTAAAAAGGCAATTCCCTTTCCACTGGTGCCCAGACTGAATAAAATATCTCTGGCTGTGGTTCACATGCACGGCAAAGGACATCTACGCCCACAACCACATACCCCTATCAGGTCCGCCATCAGGGGGTGACAACCATAACGGTTGTCACGGGCCTGGTGGGCCTGGCCGCCGGGGCCCCACGTGTAGCGGCGGAACTGCCGCCAGTGCAGTTGCACCGGGGGCCGCACGCTGTTGGGGCCTATTGGGTGGCCCACGCACTTAGGGCCACTCGATGGGCCCTATATCTTCAGGGGCCCGTTCAGCGCTGCGGCCGTGCCCCTTTAAAAAAATCTCAGCTGCAAAGTACTGCTGGGAGGAAGTGGCAGTCACTTCCTCCCAGCTCCCTCCCCTCCGCGCCGCGAGGGAGGGAAGAAAGCCAGGCCACGGGAGCCATGCCGACTCAAATCAGCCACAGTCTTCCACCTGCAAAAAAAAAAATTAAGAAAAATTAGCTGTATTTGTGTATGTCCGAATGTCCGCCCGCCCGAATGTCCTCCCGCCCGAATGTCCGAGCCACTGTAATACGTTGAGGAAAGGACAGCAGATCTCACCAAACCCAGCCCGCTGATACCCATCACATACAACCCTAACCTAGGCAACAGCCTCCCACCAACAGCTTGGCAGATGGATAACCAAGACGGATACATACCCATATACGCAGCTCTAGGCAACACGGGAGTGAAACCACTGAGAGAATTAACGGAGGGAAGACCACACACGCTGATGCACCAATTCCATTACACCCAACTGACACACTACTACCACAATCTACCACACAGAGCTAAAATACATAGGGACCTAACATGGTTCGAGAACCTATGCACGCAGACACCAGGGACAGAAGGGAGGGTCTCCACGATACATCAAAGCATACTGACGGGACACCGAACTGATAACGCCTTGTACAAAAGGCAATCCTTCTCGGATGCCCAGTGGGAGAAGATCCTAATACTACAACATAAAAGCTCCACCAGCTCCCACTACCAGGAATTAAACTACAAGCTACTCAAGCACTGGTATCCCACACCCTCCCTGATTAACCGTTACACCCTAACAATTCCGAACATCTGCTGGAGATGCGGAAACGGCCCTGGAACCTTGAAACACATCTGGTGGGACTGTGATAAAATAAAACCATACTGGGGGAGCATTGAACAGGAAATTGGACACATCCTAGGTGACCCCACAGAGCTGACGATGGGGGCTGCCCTCATACACCATACAGAACGACTCATACCCTCTTACAAAAAGTAAGAGACACCTGCTAAATGCGGCTAAATCCCTAATCCCACTGCACTGGAGGAAAGAACATATACCCACAATAGAACAATGGAATAATAAGGTAGAGGACATAAGAACAGCAGAAGCCAAAATAGCAGGATCACTAGGCAGGGAAGATAAACACATAGAACTGTGGACGCCCTGGATATTGTATATCACTTAAGACATGACAGAAAAAGAGACCCAGCTGAGAGAGACAGGAACGGACATGGGAAAGGGCCATGGGGAAATAGACACCCCACACTCACCTCCCCCCCCTCAAGGGGAGAAACTATCCACACATACATAACATAAAGGAAAAGTACCGGGAGCTACCACACAAGAAGCAGATACGGAATGGGAGTAGAGCGGAGAGACACGAACCCCAAATAGGGGGACACACAACAAATACACAAACCACGGAGCACACAAAGAAGCAACAATCTCAAGAAACTCACACTGGGCAACCAACAGAAACATAGCAAAATAATGAACACACACCGACATGCGAGAAAGCTCATACCAAACCACACAATAGACCGAGGGAATTGGAAATGCAGTAACAAGATTCGAAAAATAAACAACACGATATACAGACAGAGCAGACACATCACCACAAGATAGGACTACGAGCACACAACGAAACACGACATCAGACCCACAAACACTATTGTCAACATAAGCCGACGGACACCAGCAAACAGGCACATGGCTTGACAGAAGACTGGGCCAGGGAGACGGAGATTACAAAAAGCGAAACAGGGAGAAAACACCAGGGGACATTCTACCCCTTCCATGGTAGAGGGGCTAATCATCATGAGAGAACGCACACAAGCACCCGAACTAAAGGGTGAAACATATGCACATCATAGACTGAACATGGAACGATACTATGGCATGGGGGTGGAAAATAGAGGGACAGACAGAACACATCCGTAATAACGAGCACTGGCGTGCCAGACAAAACATAGCATCACACTAAGTGGGTGGCATAGGCCACACGGAACAATAACCCAGACACCCACAGACATCGACATAACATCCTAATACACCACGGGCCTCATGTAGGCTAAGGTCCATAACCAATAGGAAAAAGCTATAACTTGCACGAGGCCTGCGACCCAAAAAACCTCACCAAATTAAGGGAAACGGAATGCCCACACACTTATGGAAAAGCTTGACACATAAACAGCACCAGAGGTATTAAATGGAGACTTGAGAGTCTCCCGCTCCGACACCCACGATTAAGTCCATGTAAACAGTAATAATTGACGAAGTTAAAAACCATATGCACAAAACTAAATATTATAAGGGACCTGAATGTCCGTCAACATTGTGGGCCTGCGAGCCCCGAGCGAATATCCGCATGCTCTGCAACCAACGCTAGCGAACGTTGTTCAACTGTTATCAAACTCAACATGTCCCACTGTTACTTAACTTTGACAACACAAATAAAAAGCATATTTACTAAAAAAAATAGGTTTATTCTGCAGCTTAGGTATATAAAATTATTTTTTTATTTTGTCCATATGCCTCCCATTTCAACTCCTCTTGTGCCTCATCATGACATATTTGTCGATATATGGATCACTTAGTCACAAATCGACATAGATTACAGAAATTACCAGTGTTCAATAATTCAGTGTCATTCCATCAATCCTCAATACTTATTACAGGTAAGAGTAAAGTGAGAGATGGGTTAGACATACGTTATATATATATGGATTTATTCCAACATTATAATAAAATATACATAAGATTATTCAATATTACGTAATTAAAGCTCCAAAAGGTATATCTATTATTAAATTACTGAATCTACCTAAAATAGCTACAGAAAGCCACTTATCGAAGAAGTGCATTGTTCGTGTGTGTGTGTGTGTGTGTGTGTGTGTGTAAGTGTCAATATATTAGTATTAATCTGCTTTAACAGGCAGTCATGAGATTTGGATCATTAGCTAAACACATGTTCTCATGCTCTTTAAGGAGTTAAATATTTGTGATTCACGTTAATATAATTCCATGCTCAGCTGGTAACATTCATGTTCTTAAGCCAGAACACAATGTGCTTAACCTGCTGCCTAAAGCTGACCTTTTGAAGAATTCCAGGACTAACACTAAAGTAATTTAGCATTCCATACGACAAAAACATGCCTTTATTAAAGAGACTAAAATGGAACACATGCACTGAAACACTGTGCTCCAAAGCAGCGTATGTAAAATGTATTCCTTCTATACCGGAACTCAAAGAGCTTTCATTTAAACATGCACACAATCAGAGGTAGACATGACTTAAAGGACCACTATAGTGCCAGGAAAACATACTCGTTTTCCTGGCACTATAGTGCCCGAGGGTGCCCCCACCCTCAGGGTCCCCCTCCCGCCCGGCTCTGGAAAGGGGAAAGGGGTTTAAACTTACCTTTTTCCCAGCGCTGGGCGGAGAGCTCTCCTCCTTCTCTCCTCCTCCGATCCGCCCCGTCGGCTGAATGCGCATGCGCGGCAAGAGCTGCGCGCGCATTCAGCTGGTCGCATAGGAAAGCATTTACAATGCTTTCCTATGGACGCTGGCGTGCTCTCACTGTGAAAATCACAGTGAGAAGCACGCAAGCGCCTCTAGTGGCTGTCAATGAGACAGCCACTAGAGGCTTTGGGGGAAGGCTTAACCCATTAATAAACATAGCAGTTAATCTGAAACTGCTATGTTTATTAAAAAATGGGTTAACCCTAGAAGGACCTGGCACCCAGACCACTTCATTAAGCTGAAGTGGTCTGGGTGCCTAGAGTGGTCCTTTAATCCGCAAAGCTAGTGCAAACTTGATATAAGAGCTTGAACAACTACATTTATACCTAACCTCTTTCAGCTTTTCACATTGTTGTTAATATGTAATCTTTTAATTTGTTTTTGGTAGGACTGTCCCAATTTTGGTTCCTTGTCCTTCAGCCTGGATTGGCTTCCTGGTTTTTCGTATCTGGAGACACTAAAGAACTGCCGTCCCATTCTGTGTAACACGCTCATGGCACAAAATTAAACTCATGGTATTGAGTTTATGCCCAGACCACTTCAAACATGCTCTGCGCATGTGCAGAGCGGAGAGGGTGTTCAGCCAGGAGGTCTGCTAATCAGCCAGGTATGCATTCACACCAAACTGACAAGCCTTTTTTTTTTTAGGCCCCCTCCCCATTTTTTGGGACTGACCCACTTAATAGACACGGATTGAAATGTTGGAAAGTTATGATACCCTGTATATTGATAGCGCAGGTGTTAAATGCTTTTCAGCTTTGCTTCTCTGGAAGACTGTTCCTGTAGCAGGAATTCATTCCTACATCCCTCCAACTATGCAGTCTTAACACAACCCTGCGGTGCACAGACTTGGTGCTTCTAAATCAAGCACTGGAAACCCTGAGCTCTTGTCTTTGTAAAGACTAGTTAGCGTGTGCCAATATCACACTACAAGTGTTTACTGACTTCAACCTGAAAGAGCTCCAGCATGCCAACCTGGCACATGATTAAGATGAGGAATGAGCTGTAGCTCGACATCCAAGATGATCTAATACAAGAATTGGGAAGACCTAAAGGGACACTGCGGGCACCGATACAACTTTAATGCATTTGATAGGTTTAGGCCTCATTAATAGACTGTTTTCTGCATGTTCAAATCATAATAGTTATTAGGCAGGCACACCTGGCGTGCATTCAGATCAGATCCGTAGTGATCTCTACATCCGCAAAGCATTTCCACCATAAAGGAAAAACAGTGTAAATATTTACTTGCGATGTGCTGGATGCTCTTGATTTTAAGGTTTGAATTTTTTCAAATACCAGGTTGACTTTTCGTTTTGTTGCATCATCATTATCAGGACTCCTAAAACACAAAAAAATAAATAAAAGTTCACTATTGAATTTTATAACAAATATATTGAATAATAACAGGGTATATTTGAATATAGCACTAAGCAGTAATAGGGTTTTTAGCCTTAAGTAGAGAAGCAGTTAAAAGAATTTAAATGAGTGTAAAACAACTTCTCAACAATTTTTTATTTTTTTATTTTTTTTTAAACCATGTGTATAAAGTGTTCAAAAAGGAGCTTTAAAGTTAGTTATTATTGACCAACACAACAATCAAAACAGGCAACAGAGGGTATTATTAAATAAACCTCAAAATAAAAAGTATTTTACCTAACAGTTTAGATGGAGTTATACCAATTTTCAATTGAGGTATATTCTCATTACATGAAATGCAAACAGAAAGTATATATACACAATAAACAGTGCAATATTGCTTGTGTACAGACTAGTACATAAATTTGATTGTGAGATTGCACAGGTATTTTTTAGAATACAATATATTGTGCAATATGTTGGAATTTGCTTCGTAAAAATAATGGAGGGGGGTGCAAGAGACATTCAAAAAGGTCCAGGGGTTGGACATCCACACACAAAAGGGGGGCTGGTCTAGTAGGAGAGGGACACCGAAGGGCAGATTGTAAGCAACACACAAGGGAGAATAATTAAGGATAAGATACATTAAAGGTTGTTAGTCTTTTAAACAAAAAGGGACAAGAAACACAAAACCGGGTTAAAAAAAAAAAAAATGTAAATCAAAAGTGGGGTTAAGCGCAATACAGGTGAAGATGCATTTTTTGGGTGTGGTGGCCTGAATAGCCAGAAATTCTTGCACCTGCCCTGGCCTCATGCAACCACATGTGTGATGAGTTAGAAAAGCAAACTGCTTAAATGAACCCACTTCTGCGTGAGTTATTCATTTTTATCATAGGACTGTAAATCCACACATCAAAGCGTTTTTGATAAGAGAAGCAGATTTTCTGCATGAAAACAATATACATACTTTTATATTCAGTCTAATCATGCTCTGTTTAATTAAAATCACCAGACTGCAGGTGAAATCAGGACATTGTGAAGCCAATGGTAACAACAATAAGTGAAGGCACTAAAGAACTGAGAATATGACTTCCTGTTTCGACACCTGGTGAGACACTAATTCTATTCACTGTGTGCACAGCCAGTTTACATGCAGGTAGATATTATCTATGTACTGTGCTAGCAAAATCACAAGCAAGTGTATTGACCTAAATATAACATCAGATGAAGATCGCACAGCATGGTGCCTTGGACAGAATGGAGCTGATGCACACAGTCTTTGCAAAAAGCAATAAAATTTAGGAAGGTAAAAATAAAACATTACAATTAGAGAAAATCTCTTCATCTATACATTTGATGTCAATGTACGGATTTAATTGTATATTTTTTAGATGGACAACAAGTTGTCTTTTATGACAGGCACTTTAATTTTAAGTTGGGTGGATAAAGTTTTGGCCAAATAAAATTAATTAGCCATACTTACCTGTTGTGTGCTGGAGGTTTGTGTGGTGTTTTTCTGCTTTATTTTTCAGATGGATCCTGGCATGGAGGCTCTGATGGACAGAATCCAGTCTGCAGTTATGAGAGGGGAATTTCCAGGCTTCAAGACTGCCTTGGTTCCATGGAATCCCGGGCCTTGTACTGTGCCGGCCCACGACACGGACAAGGCCACCCCAGCAATTGATCCCCAGTACAGTACCCAGGAGGCGGCGGAGGAGCAGCCCGTCGGTGGGGCAGGCAGTCAGAAGCGGTGATGTCGGCAGTGAGGAGAGTAGCGGGAGCCCCGGTGTGCAGGGTAGGAGCCTGAGTGTGGCCGTGCCGTGTCTGAGTAATCCTGTGATCACAACGCTACCTCGCCTTATGACAGATGCAGGACAATGGCATGGAGGGGGCCGCACCTTACGGCAGGACAATGGCACAGATGGCGCCACGCCTCACGATGGACGGCAGATCAGCACAGGCTCCTTCAACAACAGGCTCCAGAGGCTTACGGATGCAGCTAGGGCGGATTCATTGCTGACTGCTAGGGGACCTGTACCAGGTAAGTCGGGTCCCAGGGGTCCACTGCCATCACATATGGGAGAAGGGGGGGTTGGGGTAGATAGCCACTCAGGACTGGGGAGCAGCTCAGGGGGAGTTAGAATGACCATGCAAGCATCAGGTTTTCAGGCCCAGGAATAGCGCAGCTCCAAAGGAGGTAGGCCCAAAAGGAGACCAGCTAGCAAGCTACAGATAACACCCTTGCCATCTGCAAGGGCAGGATGGCAGGCTTCATTGTGCACACAAGAGAGCCGCAGTTAGACATCAAGGAGGAAGGCTGGGCTTTCCACGGCGCTTGGTCCAATTATTTTGGTTTGGCTATCAGGGTTTTGGATGGAGGGAAGTCTGTTCAGAGATTTTTAGGTGTTTAGGTTCAGGGCAGTCACCAGAGATTCTGTTGCTACATGCAGGGGGTAACAATTTGGGTCGGGTGCCCCAAAGGGAACTAGTGCACTGTATGAAGCAGGACAAAGATAAGTTGAGGGCTATGGTGCCAGGTGTAGTTTTAAATTGGTCAGAGATGGTGCGCTGGTTCCATTGGAGTCATGCTAGGGATACTGTGGCTGTGGCTAGGAGCAGGAGGAAAGTTAATAAGATGTCCATTTTCGTTAAAAGCAATAGTTGTGAGACATGTGGTTTGTTTGTGAGGCTTCCCAGTTATTTTCAGCATGATGGGGTGCACCTCTCGTTATGTAGGAAACAATTTTCTTAATATGGGTTATCAGGAAGGCTTGCTGCGGGCATTGTTTATGCTGGGGTGGGGCGCTCAGATAGCATGAGGAGTCAAGCTCTGAGCTGTGGCAGGGGCTGGATTAGACATTGTGGTGTAGGTAGGTTTGGTAGCTGTGATGATTGGTTACAATATTTACATTGTTTGTTTACTGGTAGGTTGGAGCCCGTAGGTGGTTTTCAACCTGGGTGTGTAGGGATATCTCGGTATACCCTTACAATGTTAAATCACTTGGAGTATGATGCCTGTTGTGGCTGTGTCTTGTGTTATGTTATTCATATCTTGTTATATGGATTATTGTTAGCTCATGTTATGGGTCATTGTCAGTGGGTATAATACTGTTAAAAGTTGGGGTGAATTATGTGTCTATGTTAAAATTGGGTATGTTTGGCAGTGTGTGTGTGTGTGTGTGTGTGTGTATATATATATATATACACACACACACACACACACACACACACACAAACATATATACACATATATATACATATACATACACACACACACTATTAAAGCCGTGATATTTTATCCACTTTAAATTTGGTGTCCTTGTGTTTTTGGGGGGTAAAAGGTTATGGTTTTATGACATATGTTTCATGTCATGCAGGGGCACAAGTTCATTTAAACCACTTAAAGTGAGCTGGTTATGAAAAAATGAACTTATGTGAAATTTCTCCCATATATTACAAAGATACGTGGCATATTTAATGTAAACTATAAATTTTCAGTCACTTTTCCCCCGTTGCACTCTTCGTGTAACACTCCACCTGCACTACTCCCAAAGTAGTCTTTGATATGCCCTGCTTGGGACACATCCTCAAACAAGGCAAATTTCATCAGTGACGTCAGCTTGCTTGCATTTGCACAGAGTGATGCCACGTCATTCTGTTCCTATACTCCCTATTCAGCGCTAGAAGCACCGGCTAGGGAGTTTCCATAGCAACTAAAGCACATTTGATGTGGTTGCTATGAATGGAGAGTAAAGGGACTTCCTGTGTGAGACACGCTGAGGCATTGATTGACAGCTGGGGAAAAACCTATTTGTAAAAAGGGTTTTTCTCCAAATCTATACATTGGCTTGCAAAACTGCTAGCACAATGTATTGATAACATCTTATGCTCAATCTAACAAGCACAAATTGTTTAGGGCATGACAGGTTCCATTTAAGCTAAAGTTGTTTTGGTGCTTAGATGTCCCTTTAAACAAACATGTCCTAATGTAGTTTGCAGAGCAGGTCTACACATATCCACGTACATCATTTGGGTTTTAGGAACACACTAAATAACTAAAACCAGTATTTCTCCTATTTTCTTCACACACATGCACAACGTGCTACTTTTTAATCCACAAACTCAAGATGCTGAAATTACTTTATACTTTACATTTCATTACTCAGTAGAACATGTTGCCTTCACTTGGATTTTCTTATCCAAAAGGCAACCATGTTCATTCCCTCATCTCCCAAGTTGATGCCTAAAACTCTATTTCGGTTAAAATGGCTTGGCTCTCTCCACTGCAATCTATCCAGAATACTACAAGCACTTTAAAAACTGTATTCACATGTTACTACTTACCCTTCTTTCAAATAATTATAAAGTATCTGTTTTGCAGTTTCCTCATTGGTTTGTTGAGCAAGTTGTTGCTGGCCTTTCAATAAATCAGGCGTCACCTAAAAATATGAACATGTTTTTATAAATGTTGGTTCTAGATTATTTCACAAGAGGCAGTACTTGTACACAGAAACGGTCATCCAAATTCACAGGAATGATGCAGCAATAAACCTTAGAATTTTTGGCATACAGGTGGATACCCTGGAACTGTCCCTTTATGTAAAAAAATATAGTTTTATTAATGGGGGAAAAAATGGAAAGCGGTTTTGAACAAAATGTTAATAGCTCACTCCCTTTTCTCTCCCATGCCACCTCCTCTCCTCTTTTGCCCTCTGTGATAATTCCGAGATAGCTACACTTTGTACCCCAGATATTTCAGGGGACCAGAAATTAGTATATAAACCCATTGCTGTGAGAACTCAGTATTCATTACGTGCACTATTACTGTACACTAAAGTTGGCATAATCTACAATTATATTGAGATACATTAAAGAAATCAACTTGACAAGAGTGTCGTTTGCCAAACTTCATCCCTCAGAAACATTATATATTTAAATAGCTTTAATTAATTTAGATTCAAGTAATTATTAAGGGATGGGCAAGACACCACTCCAAGTTCAGATATATGCAGTGCATACGGACCGTTCTTTACACACTGTCCTAGGTCTACTTAGATAGATTCACTATATTATATAATGCATCTTTATTTGGTTTAAAATTTTAAGGACAACTGTTTTTGTTTTATTATTATTATTATTATTATTACTTTATTATTTATATAGCGCCATCACATTCCGTAGCGCTGTACATTGGGGTTTTCTAACTAATGAAAACAAACTACTGTGTGTGCATTCTTTAAAAGTGAAAATATTCAGGTATATAACTTGTTTGGCCCATCTCTTAGCTTGCACTTGATACATGGGGGAAGCCATCTTGTGTCCTTTTTCGTCAGAAGTACTTGTTCAGATAATGCACAATTAGGAGTTCAATAACTGTCCCAGAGGGCATTTTTTTTTTTCCAAATAAGCTGTGCTTCCTCAGGATTTCAGAATTTGCGGATGCACACTAGCTCTTTTATTACCAGGATGTTTTTGATCTGATAAGTGGTGTTTCTTACCAAAGATGTTTCAAGATGGTGGCTCTCACAGAGCATGTCTTAGTCAGGAAATACACCAATATACATACATTACGAATAATAAAAATAATACACACAAACTATAATACATTGAGTTGTTTGTTTTAAATAGTGAACAATGGCAGATTGTCTGAGCAATGCATTTTACATTACAGGAATACATAGTGTTAAATTACTGGCATCTTATAGTTTATGTTTATTAGGAGTCCCTTCAAGATTTTAACTTATCCACAGAAACTGAATCATTCTATTATGTCTAGGGCTTCATTCACATAAATCAATTATCCCAAAGAAAAGATACCTAATACATTTAATAATCACAGAGCCAAAAACATCTCCCACTGAATGAATCCATTCTAAAAGTGAACTGGGTGGAACTTGTCTAATGTGGATCTCCACCTCCTGTGTACACATGTATTTAAGGAAGGATCACATGGGCGGGTGGTGCTTAAAAATGGAAGAAATAATTGCCTTTAGATAAGAAAAAACAGTCACAGTGATCTATTATATTTGACATGTCTACAGAATAATATCGCAATACCTTCGCAGGACTATGGTACGTCAGACAATAAATGGAAACTCTAAATCTTGCGCTTCATCAGATTTATCCAAATTTAGAAGACAAATAAATCGCTTTCCTAAATCACATTGTATCAAGTAGCTTAGTTTTGGTTTTTTAATTTGCTTCAGTTTGGTTCATTTGAAATATAAATTGTATTTATTTTGCACCATTCACATAGTTTTTTTCTATTCAAGTCCTAAATTTTATTTATGTTGACATTTATAAGTCTTTTAGCAGGGTTTAGAAAATGTGTATTTTAATTAAGATGAAATTAAATAGTTTACAAGCTAGTTTTCAATAAAATACTAAAATTACATTTGTATATAGCAGGGATAGGCTTCACTTTGTTAGTACTGGGTCAAATTGTATGTGTAGGTGTGGTGGTTATGTTACATGTTGTATGTGTATGGGATGTCTGATGCGGAAAATTGCTGCTTCTGTGTTCAATGTTTACAATAATGTATGTGGGACTTTAAATTTTTTTTTATTTTATTTTTTTATTGTGGCACAGTTTATTATGTTTTGTTTTATTTCCCCCTCCCTTGTCATTCGGCTTGCATTTCCTTTTGCACTTCATAATGTTACGGTAATGAGCAACACTCCATTAAGTACTGAATCTTGAGGGGAAGGTGTAAGAGGTCTGCACCCCCTATGGTTGTAGACCACAGGTTACTTTGCATTTTACAAAGGGGGATGTCTGATAGACTAAGCCTGGCAGCCTCATGTGCCAAGACACCCCACAGGTCATGGATGGCACACATGGCAACCTGATCTCTGATTTAAAGCATCCCATTAAAAATTAGAAATATAATTTCACAGCACTGGACGCCAGTGGCGGATCCAGAGTCTGATCTTGGGAGGAGCACTTGTAGATTAAAGAAATAATCCATGCACAATAACCACTACAGCTCTGTGTAGTGGTTATGGTGCCAGGAGTGCCGAGACCCCCTCCCAGAGTAAGTAGTCAAACCGTTTAAGAAGAGTTTGACAACTTACCTGGTTTCTGCTGGGATATGGGGCTATAGTAGAGCAAAAGAGCAGTGGTGTGTAGTGTGTGAATGTGTAGGGTGTGTGGGGCAATATGTGCAGGGTAATGTGTATGGTGTGTGGGGGGGCAGTGTGTGTGTGTGTGTGTGGGGGGGGGCAATGTGTGTGTGTATGTTTGGGGCAATGTGTTTAAGTGGGGCAGTGTGTGAATTTGTGATGAGGAGGGTAGGGAGGCTTATAATTTTTTTTTAACACAAATAAATAAATTTACCTTGTGGTCCGGTGGGGAATCCCTGGTGGTCCCAGTGGTCAGTGAACTCTAGCCTGCCAGGGCTAGAGCTCACTCTTGCGAGATCCAGAGCGTTGCCGTGGTAAGAGAAGGACCAGGAGTAGCTACAGGCTGAGCTCCCGGGTCCTCTCTCTCTCCCTCCCTCCCCTGACGGCTGCCAGCACGGTGCCTGCAGACCGGGGAGGGAGATCTCTGATCTCCCATCTGTGAAGGCACATTGCAGGGCTGGCGCTTGGACAGTGCCAGCCCTGCATTAGCCGGCAGGGGAGAGGGGAGAAACCCCCCCACGCCCTGGTTTCCCAAGTGCTGCACACTTCTTTGAGCAAGGCCCTTTTCACCTCTTGTATCTATCAACAATATATTGTCAGTTACTTGCTATACATCCCTACTGTATAAATGCAGAATAGGTCCGGCCTACATAAACTCCATTAAAAATACTAATAGCAGTAGGGTACAAATAGTTCTGGAAAAAAATAAATAAATAGATAGATAGATAAAAAGATCTATTTCCAGTTAAACTGAGGTTGGAGTCATAATAAACTGTAAAAATCCACTCACACAGACTCTTGCGTGATCAGATAAAGAAACTACAGATCTATAAAATTGGTGTTACCTTTCAATTCTTCTAAGAAACGAGAAGAGAAACATGCTACAATAAACAGAATACAAATTGTGTTTCATGATTATGTATGTTTATTTTCTAGAATTTTGTGTGTTTATTTTATGGAACTGCATTAATTATATTCATTTTGTGATTCTTTCACGTTTTAAATAAAAACACTGTGATAATGTAATACACATTAAACCTTCATACAAAAACGCTTATCTTGTGATCTCTGCTCATCCGTCTAAGCTCTTGATGATAGCCTCATTTGTAACATAGCTCCTATTTATCTAGAATGGACCTGTTTTTGAGAAGGTTTTGGTTCCAGATAGTGTGATATGCTTTGGGGTAAACTGGGCCTCAGAGCCATTAAAACACTGGATATCATCTGGAAGCAGAGAGCAGTGTGAGAAGGTAGATTACTTACAAAGGCAGACAAATTAGACAGACTTATTGAAATTAACCGATTAAAACTTGTGGACGTCATACAAACTGTATGAAGTATGATTCATTTTTCAACCAGGTACGTGTCATCTCCAGCCTTATACAGGTTTTAGTGTGTGTATGCACATTTTTATACAGATGGTGGCATTTTGCTAAACTGTCTGGGCCTTGTCAATGATTCATTTCTCAGATAGCCCTTTTTGTGTGATATATATATATATTTTAACGCCTCCACTACATGGAGGGTACACTGAACTGCAGGGTGACCTGTATATTTGGTGATGAATTGGGCCACATGAAAGAACAAGAGAACAACCATGTGTAGACAAGGCCCACTGAACCAATACGGTGACCCAACTCATGCCCAACAGTGAACCAGAAGATGATCAGTCATGTGACCTACTCCCCTCTAACCAATCCCACCTTCGTCACATACCTGAAAAAGAAATAAAACATGCCACCTAACTCTCCCCATTATCTCTACTTACTTCCATGAACTGATTAGAAAACAGTGATGTGCAACCAAGCTCTTTTGGACTACATTTCCCATGATGGCCAAGGGTTAGCAGTAGAGTTGAGCGGACACCTGGATGTTCGGGTTCGAACTTGACCCCGAACCCAAACCCCATTGAAGTCAATGGAGACCCAAACCTTTGGGCACAAAAATGGCTCTAAAAAAGTCCTGGAAAGGGCTAGAGGGCTGCAAAAGGAAGTAAAATTGGGGTAAGACTAGTACAAGTGCCCTGAAAACAAATGTGGATAAGGAAATCACTTAAAATAAAACACATAAAAATAAAAAATACAGGGAGTGCAGAATTATTAGGCAAATGAGTATTTTGACCACATCATCCTCTTTATGCATGTTGTCTTACTCCAAGCTGTATAGGCTCGAAAGCCTACTACCAATTAAGCATATTAGGTGATGTGCATCTCTGTAATGAGAAGGGGTGTGGTCTAATGACATCAACACCCTATATCAGGTGTGCATAATTATTAGGCAACTTCCTTTCCTTTGGCAAAATGGGTCAAAAGAAGGACTTGACAGGCTCATAAAAGTCAAAAATAGTGAGATATCTTGCAGAGGGATGCAGCACTCTTAAAATTGCAAAGCTTCTGAAGCGTGATCATCGAACAATCAAGCGTTTCATTCAAAATAGTCAACAGGGTCGCAAGAAGCGTGTGGAAAAACCAAGGCGCAAAATAACTGCCCATGAACTGAGAAAAGTCAAGCGTGCAGCTGCCACGATGCCACTTGCCACCAGTTTGGCCATATTTCAGAGCTGCAACATCACTGGAGTGCCCAAAAGCACAAGGTGTGCAATACTCAGAGACATGGCCAAGGTAAGAAAGGCTGAAAGACGACCACCACTGAACAAGACACACAAGCTGAAACGTCAAGACTGGGCCAAGAAATATCTCAAGACTGATTTTTCTAAGGTTTTATGGACTGATGAAATGAGAGTGAGTCTTGATGGGCCAGATGGATGGGCCCGTGGCTGGATTGGTAAAGGGCAGAGAGCTCCAGTCCGACTCAGACGCCAGCAAGGTGGAGGTGGAGTACTGGTTTGGGCTGGTATCATCAAAGATGAGCTTGTGGGGCCTTTTCGGGTTGAGGATGGAGTCAAGCTCAACTCCCAGTCCTACTGCCAGTTCCTGGAAGACACCTTCTTCAAGCAGTGGTACAGGAAGAAGTCTGCATCCTTCAAGAAAAACATGATTTTCATGCAGGACAATGCTCCATCACACGCGTCCAAGTACTCCACAGCGTGGCTGGCAAGAAAGGGTATAAAAGAAGAAAATCTAATGACATGGCCTCCTTGTTCACCTGATCTGAACCCCATTGAGAACCTGTGGTCCATCATCAAATGTGAGATTTACAAGGAGGGAAAACAGTACACCTCTCTGAACAGTGTCTGGGAGGCTGTGGTTGCTGCTGCACGCAATGTTGATGGTGAACAGATCAAAACACTGACAGAATCCATGGATGGCAGGCTTTTGAGTGTCCTTGCAAAGAAAGGTGGCTATATTGGTCACTGATTTGTTTTTGTTTTGTTTTTGAATGTCAGAAATGTATATTTGTGAATGTTGAGATGTTATATTGGTTTCACTGGTAATAATAAATAATTGAAATGGGTATATATTTGTTTTTTGTTAAGTTGCCTAATAATTATGCACAGTAATAGTCACCTGCACACACAGATATCCCCCTAACATAGCTATAACTAAAAACAAACTAAAAACTACTTCCAAAAATATTCAGCTTTGATATTAATGAGTTTTTTGGGTTCATTGAGAACATGGTTGTTGTTCAATAATAAAATTAATCCTCAAAAATACAACTTGCCTAATAATTCTGCACTCCCTGTATAGCTGAACCATAAAATAGCACTTTGATTTTAGCTTTGGAAGAACATAAATCAAAATCTAAAGCATGGCTGTCGGGAGGATTACCAGAATTATCCATTTGAGAGAGGGTTGGAGTGCAGGGTATTGTCTTTCATTGGTCAAACTGAGCTCAACTCCTTATGCATGGAGAAGAGTCCTTCACAAGCCTCTGCTATTGTGTACATAGTTTATACTAAGTGACCCATAGGTTGAGAAGGCGGTGACCGTGGCAGTGTAGGTGGAAGTGGTGGTGGTGGAGGAGGATGTAGCCAACACTGTTTATTTGTTTGGGGTTTTTTTTTTTTTTGGTTTTTTTTTTAATTGGGGTAGCCCCCAAAATATTGGGACATATAAAAAAAAAAAAAACATTTGGGGCCTGCGGTGCATTTCTTGCAGTCCAATAACGCCATCAGGTTTTTAAAACTGTCAGTCTCCACCAGACGGAATGACAGCATTTCAAAGGCCAGGAATTTTGAAATGCTGGCATTCAGAGTCAGGGATCGCACGTGGGTAGGGGGGGGTACTTCCTCTTTCTCTCCAGTGTTTGGGAGATGGACAGCTGAACGGTTCCATGGGACAGTGTGGAGATGCTGGACAATTGTGTACCTGGCCTATGCTGGTGCAGGAATCCACCCTCCGAGCCACTTGTGAATGACTGGCCTGATAACCATGGAAATGACCCCTCTTCCTCCTGTGCCACATCCTCTTCCATCATCACCCAAAGCGTTTTTTCAAGGAGACATAGAAGCGGGATAGTAAGGCTGAGATTGGCATCATCGGCACTGGCCATGGTGGTGGAGTCCTCGAAACAGCGCAATATGGCACACAGGTTTCACATGGAGGCCCACTCATTGGTGGCGAAGTGGTGCTGTTCCGCAGAGCGACTGACCCGTGCGTGCTGCAGCTGAAACTCCGCTGTTGCCTGCTGCTGCTCGCACAGTCTCTCCAGCATGTGCAAGGTGGAGTTCCACCTTGTGGGCATGTCGCATATGAGGCGGTGAGCAGGAAGGCTGAAGTTACGCTGCAGCGCAGACAGACGAGCAGCAGCAGGGTGAGAACACCACAAGCGTGCACAGATGGCCCGCACTTTCTGCAGCAGCTCTGATATGTCTGGGTATACACCGTGGCGGTGTAGGTGGAAGCGGCAGCGGTGGAGGTAGCCAACACTGTTTTTTATCTCTCTCTCTTTTTTTTTTAAATTAGGGTAGCCCCCAAAATATTGGGACATATAAAAAAAGAAAAAAAAGAATAAGTGCACTTGAGTATAACAACGGCTGGGTGAGGCCGGTATAAATGTCTATTCTGCACAAGGTACAGACAAGTCTGGTGGGATACATGCCTTGTACATTTCAATAAACGTGAGCTTGTCCACGTTGGCCATGGATAGGCGGCTGTGCTTGTCTGTGATAGCCTCATGCCGAATGCACTTCCCTGTGACTGCGACAACGCATTTGGATGTCTGCCCTATCAACTTTCGATGCTATTTTCCACACCTACCATGGTGACCACGGCTAACTTCAACATCAGGCATACTGGGTCCTGGTCGTCCGACCACCGCTCAGACAGTGTCTGGGTCCCAGTCACCAGACTGCCACCCTGACTGTAAAAAAACTGCAAATGGCTCATTAAATCTGTTATGGTTCCTTTTATCGCTCCATCTGTTACTTGGATAACTGTGGGAATTCTAGAGAGAATACATGCCGACAAGCGCTAGGGGACGGCCGCTCCGCTTTTGCATCCTGCTCCCTCTTATGCTGTGCTGGTGCCTCTGTGCGACCAGCGCCTCTTCCTCCAAACTACACACGTCACTTGCATGACCTTCATTCCACATTGCTTTGGTGTTTGGCTTTTAACTTTTGTAGTTGTGTCTTTACACAATATAGAAATGTATATTAATGCTTCTGTGCATGAAGCGATCACAATAACACTTATTTTTCACTTTTTTAAAAAAGTCTTTAGACTTTCTTGATAAGCGGTAACTAGCCAGTGTTGCGCACATATACCAGATATGAAGTGCACACCCCAAATGTACTATTTAGCAGCCAAAAAATTAGAATTTTTAAAACTCCACTGTAAGCACAGTATTTGACAGTTCTATTTGACTCTCACATATGAAGTGCAGGCACCAAATTTACTTTTTAGCACCTAAAGAATTAGAATGTTTAAAACTGCAATGTAAGCACAGTATTTGACGGTCCTATTTGACTCTCAGATATAAAGTTCACCGTAGGCCTCAAATGTACTATTTAGCACCAAAAAGTGTGATTTTTTTTAAACCAACAATGTAACAGTAGTATTTAAGGGTTTTATTGGACTTCAAGAAATGCAGTATGCAAATGTGCTATTTAGCACCAAACAAATTGCAGTATTTAAAAATGCCTAGATATTGCCCACTGAGCTACCAAAACAGGATTAAAGTAATGTGCCTGGCACACTTGCAGTTGCAAGTGCACTGAACTCTATATGGCACTGGGCTCAGGGCAAGGTACAAAAATGTATTATAGCACCCACAAAAATAATCACTGTAGTTTGAATAATCGCTGTAGTTTGCAGATTCAACACCAGAATTCTTTCCTAATATGTCCCTAACAGCTGCAGCATCCTTTCCCTACACTAATAAGAGCTCATGTGCGTGCGGCACTATGCTACTCCAGCTTATATATAGAGGCTAAGTCACATGCTGCACTGGCCAGTCACACTGGCCAGTCACACTGGCCCTGCAGCCTTTCAAAACGCGCCATTAAATCAACGAACACCAACTCGAACATACACTGATATGTCCGTGTTCGGGGTCTAAAAAACTTAATGTTCGGTACGAACCCAAACTTTATAGTCCGGGTTTGCTCAACTCTAGTTAGCAGACATGTTTACGTAGACTTTTTACTGATGGTGAAAGACAGTAGATATAACATAGCAGGAGGGGAATTATTACTCGTGTAGCTCTGTGCTTTCTGTTTTAAACTTCTGAACCTTGTCTTAGTAGACAAAGAGTGCATTGTAATAACAGATCCCAGTGAGAACCATAAACACTGAACATGGCTTCTCATCTGTTTGCATTGATTGGATACAATGTAACAATTCTGTGTGAAGTAAATTCCCAGATTTTACTATTAACATGACGTAAAGTCATGATTTTATTAAAGACACGGAGGCGAGTATTATGCATAACTCTTTCTTTATTTCCTCAGCAGCAAAGATAGAGGAATATAAATATTGTCAAAATGAAAGAAAAACTGCATAGATACACAGGCAACCAATCACATAACAGAGGAAGTGACTATAAAAGGCCTGTGTCTCCCACAATCCCCCTCTTTCTTGCGGAAACCGAAGACCAGATAAGAAGAACGAAATCCAACTTGTCCATAACAGGAAAAAGGCAACGAACCGAAAACTTCAAGCTAAAAGAGAGAGAGAAATATGGTAATACCCAGACTTCAAACTGTAAACTTACCAAAACAAACTGTTGGTTACTCAACGACAGATAATATAGGGATCAAAGCAAACATTAGCAGTTCCATGATAAACCGGAATCTGAAAAACATAAATAAATAATTAGTCGATGTGATATAACAAGTGAGTCACATACCCATAGTGACATAGAAAAACATACCGACATGAAAAAACGTACCTGAAGAGCTCAAAAGCATCTCAACCCTATACCCTCACGGGAGGGTGGGAGGGAATAATACTCGCCTCCGTGTCTTTAATAAAATCATGACTTTACGTCATGTTAATAGTAAAATCTGGGAATTTTATTAAAGACACGGAGGCTCATATTATGCAAGTTTAAAGCTGTGCGATCACCTGAGATGCGATATGCTCAATAGGTTTGAAATAGAATTCACGGAAGGTCGATTCTCTAGACCAGTCCGCAGCACGCATGATGTCCTCTAGTCGACAGCCGACCGTGGATGCCTTCGAAGCCATAGCACCCCGAACCGAGTGAGGCGTAAAGACCGAAGTGTCAACGCCCGCCGAGGATAAAAGCCAGCGCACCCATCGTGCGAGAGTCGGAGTCGAAACAGGCCTATGAGGTGTCCTAAAAGACACGAACAGAGGATGCAAGTCCAAGGAACGAAAAGGTCGAGTAGCATCCAGATAAGTCTTCAGACATTCAACCGGACACAATGCTGGAGAGCCCGGGAACCTAGGATACGTGAACGACTTGGATGCCGACTTTGTCCTCCTGGATATGTTGAAAGTAACACCCTCCGGGGTGAATACAATGGCGTCCCAGTCAAGGGCCCTAACATCAGACACCCTCTTACATGAAACCAAACAGAGTAGCATCACTAGTTTGGAGGATAACTGCTTGAGACTCAGTTCGTGGTTAGGATACCAAGATGAGAGGAATCGTAACATGACGTTGACGTCCCAGAAGGCAGAGAAGCGAGGTCTAGGAGGGCGAGCGAGGCGGATGCCTTTGAGAAGGCGGCACACAAAAGGATGTCTGCCGACTGGTGAGCCATCCAAACCACTATGCCCGGCCGAAATCGCCGAGCGGTAGAGGTTGACGGTGCGGTATGCCTTGCCCGTCTCAAACAGTGTCGTGAGAAACTCTAGGATCAGATGGAGAGGGGCAGATACGGGATCCACAGACCGTTCCATGCACCAATCAGACCACGAATTCCATGAAGCACGGTAGGCTGATCTCGTACCGGGGGCCCAGGCGTTATCGAGGAGCAGGAGAGTTGATCGCGGAACATTTGGGACAGCCCAAGTTCCCCTGAAAGGAGCCACGCCACAAGAGGCAACTGCCGTTGACGCACAAGATCGTGAGAGTTCCCATCCGGATCCAGAAGGAGGTCCTGGAAGCACGGGATCAACCGGGGATAGTCTATTGACAACTCCAACAGACGAGGGAACCATGGTCTGGATCTCCACAGGGGGGTGATCAAAACCAGGCGGCACTCGTGACGAGTCATCTTCGATATCGTGCGGGCGATCATGTTGAACGGGGGAAAGGCATAAAGGCAGCCCGGTGGCCATTCCTGGAGAAAGGCGTCCGTCGCGACCGCTGCCGGGTCCGGCCTCCAGCTGTAAAATTCCGGTAGTTGAGCGTTCAGACGGGACGCGAACAGATCCATCCTGAACCGCCCCCATAGACTGTCCAGGCCTTGGAACACCGAAACGTGCAAACGCCAGTCTCCCGAGTCTCTCAAATGTCTGGAATTCCAATCCGCGTCCGAATTGTCCAGCCCCGGAATGTGTTCCGCTGTCACGGACACATTGTTGAAAAGGCAAAATTTCCAAAAATCTTTCGCTAGCAGAGCCAACATCCTGGACTTGGTGCCTCCAAGGTGGTTGATATAACGTACGGCCGACACGTTGTCCATCTTGAGAAGAACGCAGCAGTTCGCCCGTCCTGGGGTAAGGCTGCGAATCGCGAATGCCCCTGCCAGGAGCTCCAGGCAATTGATGTGCAGGGATCTCTCCGTCTCGGACCATCTGCCTCCTGTGGAAACGTTGCCACAACGAGCCCCCCAGCCGTGTAAGCTGGCATCTGATTCTATTATCACGTCCGGGATGGAACCGAAGATGGCCCTCCCGTTCCAGGCTTCCATGTGGGCTAACCACCACACCAGTTCGTCTCTGGACTCCACGTCCAGCTGTACACGGGATTCGTAGGAATGACCTGCTCGGAGGTGAGAACCCTTGAGCCTTTGGAGGGCACGATAATGGAGTGGGCCCGGGAATATCGCCTGAATGGAGGCCGCAAGGAGACCGATAATGCGTGCCAATTGCCTGATGGATAGATCTTGTACACGCAGAGCCCTTCGAAGCTCCTTTCGGATGGCTCTGATCTTTGAATCCGGCAAGTATAGGAATTGGCGGATGGAATCCACCTGGAAACCTAGGAACTCCATCGACTGTGATGGGTCCAGGATCGATTTGTCCCAATTGATCAAGAACCCCAGGTTTTGCAGTAGATCGATCGTCCATCCCAAATGCGTGAGAAGCTGGTCTCTGGACTGGGACATGATTAAGATGTCGTCCAGGTAAATGATTAAACGCACCCCACGGGTACGGAGGAACTCCATCGGAGGCTTCATGATCTTGGTGAAGCACCATGGCGCCGAGGAAAGGCCGAAAGGCAGACAGGTAAAGCGCCAGCGTCTCCCATGCCAGGTGAAGTGCAGGTAATCCCTGCACTCCAACGCTATCGGGACCGTGAAATACGCGTCCTTCAGATCCAACTTGGCCAGCCAGTCTGACTGACGGAGGAGGTCCCTGAGGCAGTGTATACCCTCCATCTGAAAGTGTTGGTACCGGAGGAATGCGTTGAGGGGGCGGAGATTTATCACCGGGCGGACTCCGCCCCCTTTCTTGGGGACCAGGAAGAGATTGCTCGTAAAGCCTTGAGCGGCGAACGGCAACTCTTCTATAGCGCCTTTCGACAGCATCTCCTCGACTTCTGCCGAGATCATCTCGTCTTGGTCTAGCGGGAGAGACAATTCCCTGGGGACATGAAATTGGACAGGGAGAGAAACAAACTCCAGGCGATAGCCCTTCACACACTGTAGAACCCAAGCGTCTGAAGTAATACTTGCCCACTCTTGGTGGAACAGAGCCAGCCTGCCCGCTACCCGCGCCCGAGTAATATGGGAAGAAGGGGTACTTACCATAAGGGCGTCTTCCCGAAGCGGCACCGCGGGGGTATCTGGAGCCCCAAGGTCTCCCTCTGGCTGGGAAGAAAGGGGGCGTCCTCGGATCCTGGAATCCCCGGGACGGAAAGAAGGAACCTCTTTGGGCACGTGAGGAGCCACGGAAACCACGGCCGGGTGGACGGTTCCTGCTACGCCCGGCCCCTCCGAAAACCTTGGGCGCGAACATGCGCTTCATATTCGCCTGCGCCTTGTCAATGGCCGTAAAGGTCTTAACATACGACCCCAAGTCCTTAACAAAGGAAGCACCGAACAGCATCCCCTCCTCGGAAGGATCAGGCTCCGCCACAGTCATGGCAGCCAGTTTTGGGTCAAGCTTGAGGAGAATTGCCTTACGCCTCTCTGAGGACATGGCAGTGTTCGCATTCCCCAAAAGACAGATAGCTCTCTGGACCCATCCTATGGCAACATCAACATCCAGCATGGAAGTGCCTGCCCGAGCGCCGTCCAGGAGCTCGTATAATTTGGATAAAGGACCCAGGGTGTCCAAGAGCTTGTCCTGGCACCCCTTGAGCGAATAGTCTAAGCCCTTCTTGGGCTTCCAGCCCGATTTGTTCATGAATTGAGCAATCTGAGGGTCGATGTCAGGGGTTTTGCAGGCTGCACCGGGCAGAGAGGGTCTGGGGCATTCCGCCCGCAACTTATTGCGACCTTCTTTGGAAAGGGGGTGTGCATGCGCCGTGCCACATATTGAGCAATATGGTCCGGGGGAACCCACTCTGCGGACCTAGGGTGACGAAGATCGTCGGGGTCAAATAAGGGGTTGCCCTGAGGGTCAACCAGTGCCTTGGTATCCCCAGTGGGGTTTATCAACTGACTACGGGCAGGGGCGGGTGCCCCAGAAGGGGTCACACCCGCAAGCGGTAAGTCCTCACCCGACTCACCCTCATCAAAGGAGTCATACTCCAGAACGTCTGATTCATCCTCCACACTCCGGTCGGAATCCGACCCATCATCCAGGGCTTTAGCCCGTTTCCACAACCTAGCCTTTTTAGCCCGGCCAGGGGCTCTTTTGCGCGTGGGAGGCGCGCTGTCTGTGACCGCCTCTAGCGTGTCAATCATGGCAGGTAGAACCTGCATCGAGGAGTGGGAGTCGACGTGTTTAGATTTCTCCTTAGCCTTACGGGCCCCCGGCACAGTCGGGGTAAGAGAGGGTAGTCCCATGCCCAGGAGGGCGGGAGTCGCCATGGAAGGCAGCAGGAGAGAATGCAGGGATTGGGAAAAAGAGGATGATACAGCCCCCATGGCTGAAGCAAAAGCCTTCTGCAGGGAAGAGGCCATAGTGGCATCCAGCAGGGCTTGGAATTCCTGGGAAGCAGTAGCCCCTACAGGATTATCTGTATTGAAATCAGTGGGGAGGCCCTCAGGCCCATCCTCCCTCTCCTGCATAGCTAAAGTAATTTACCAGGGGAAACCCAACACAAACAGTTTACAAGTTAAAACAGTGTCAAAAACAGGATTGAAAGGGTTGATTAACCCTGCAGAGTGAAAATAGGAAGAAAAACCTGAGCACTGGTGCACCCCAGGGACCCAGGAGTAAGGTAGAGCGCACGGCAGCAGAATGGAACGACCGGGGGTAAGGACCGCCCTCAAGATGGCCGCCGCACGTGCAGGGAGCGCTCGTGGCCTGCAACCCGGCGGGGGAAGGGGCGCGCGCCCCTCCCCGCGCGGGCAGCCCGCGAGCGAGCCGGGAAACACGCTGACAGCCGCGGCAGTACCAGAGAGAGCCGCGGCTGAAAGCCGACCTGGGAATAGAAGGCACCCGCCGGCCGGCAGAGCGGTCGCGGCGGGCGGAGTGAGGGAGGGGTGGGTGGGAGCACCAGCGCAGGGGACAGAGTAGGAGCTGCAAGAGGCAGCTCAGCAGATATAAAACACAGAGGAATGAATGTGAACAATCACAGTGCAATCTCAAACAACCATAAGAAAAGCACCATAACAGTACAGCATAACACCATGTAAATATAAAACACAGCAAATAAATACAATGGACCAAGCAAAGTACTTAGCTGTCTGAGGAAGCAGCAAAGAAAGAGGGGGATTGTGGGAGACACAGGCCTTTATAGTCACTTCCTCTGTTATGTGATTGGTTGCCTGTGTATCTATGCAGTTTTTTCTTTCATTTTGACAATATTTATATTCCTCTATCTTTGCTGCTGAGGAAATAAAGAAAGAGTTATGCATAATATGAGCCTCCGTGTCTTTAATAAAATTAGAGAAATAATTTGTTCTGCAGTAAGAGAGGCCAAATTGCACATAATTGCTCATGTGTTTATGGTCTTTTTCAAATCCTTGGTTAAAAAAATAAAAATAAATAAAAAAGCCCCTATGGTGTCACAGACACAATTAACCTCTTCCGATCACGAAGGCAAACAATGAAGGCCAAATGGTTCATGAAATAAAACTGCTACTCTGGCTGGCTTGGTGCCTTGCAGCAGTCTGAGAGAAGGGATGTAACATGTTGATTAATGAGACATGGCATTTATTAAAATGATTGGGGTCACAGGAGCAATCCTGGACTTCTACAACAGCCAAGTTTAACAAAGTTTATTGTAAAAAGGGCAGAACAAAGCACGTGATGTTACAGACTGTTTAGCTGCTGGGGAACAGTAATCTTGCTTTCCGCAGATACATTTTCCTTCTTTTTGAATCAAAACAAAAAAAATGTATGCACCTTGGAAACTAGAATAAACACATAAGCTTATATACTATACACTAGAGCTACACCAAATGGTTGAAATAATAGACAATGTAAACAATCAGATCTACCTGCTGCTAAACTAGTGTTCAGTTCTCTCCCTAAAACACTTGTGATTCT